AACACCAAGTCATTGTTTGTCTTTATATAGTCAGATTTTTTTTTGGCATAAATGTCAAGGATGGAGAGCCCCAGGTTATTGCTAATTGTGTTTGATTTTCTGATATCGAGGGCTGGAGGCCCTTTAGTGATTGATCAAGTCTGGGCTGGATTGGCCGTTTATTTTTTGCAAAAAAAATTGAATACAACCATGAAAGGCCATCCAGTCTTGACAGTTTGTCTTTATAAAACTACTGCTGCCTGAACTGATTTCAAAAAAGGCCCCTTCAAACCCTTGGATTGCCGATAATTCAACAAAGAAATCGGCCCAGGGCTGGGACCTCCATCTCACGTTCATTTTTTTAAGTTCAAAGAAAGTGGATGGCAGCAAAACAAAATGACAAACAAACAAAAATACATGAACACCCATACACACGCATGAACAACCATGAACATCCATGGACACCCATGACCACTTGAGCTCGCATGAGCACCCATGAATTCACATGAATTCGTGTTTTTCGAAATACAATGCAGCTGGCAAATTACTTGTTGAACCATATGTTTCACAGTTCTTGAATTTCTTATTTTGGGTTGTTGGCTATGTGAGTTTTTGGTTTAATTGTTTTTTCTTGAACTGAACATTAATTCTATTTTTATGTTTTATATTTTTTTTGGTTTTGTCCTGTGGTGGTTTCGCGCTCCGAAAAAAATCGCTGATTTTTGCAAACCATGTTTTTTTTATTTATTTATATATAGTTATTTATTTATTCTTTATTTATTTATTTATTCAAATTTATATATATATATATATACATCTATGTATATATATATATGTATATATATATATGTGTGTGTGTAATGTTTTGTATTTATATCTATAATTATGTATATATATATATAAGTGTGTGTGTGGGGGGGAGGTTGTCTCAAAATGAGGTGTCCTTTTTTTCTCTCAAAGAACCCTTTTAGGAACCAAAAAAAGACACCTCGTTTTGAGACATATCCATGTATATATATTACTTTTTTGACATGTGTTTTTTGTTTCTATCCTGTGTCGGTTTGTCCAATCCAAAATATATGTTTTCTGGTTTTCTTTTGTATTTAGTTTGTTTCAGCATCATTTTATCGGAAAAATGCATCAAACCAAAAAATGTGCAATTGGAGATTACAAAATATTTTTTGTATATAAAGAAAACGAAGTTTCTCCAAAAAAGGTGCCAATACAGGTTATTCATATAAATAACCTATAAGAAAAAAGTTTATTCATATAAATAACCTAAAGAAAAAATGTTATTCGATCATTCTGACTATTAGGTAAAACAGTTGTTTTACCTAATCGGTAAAAACACAATTTAACTAATAGTCAGAAAACAAGATATAACCTAATAGATAGAATTTAGCCTAACCAGAGCTTTTGGGAAGATGGTGAAATCCACGAAGACCGATGTGGACTTGAAAGCACTTCTGGTGGAAGCCATGAGTGAGGGATTTGACTCCTACATGGGGAAAGTCCTCGCACCCTGATATTCCTATTTATCTTGGAGCCATGCATGAATGTCATGTTTGTCATGGGGTGGTCTTTGAAGATGAGACATGCATGTGATTTCATGGTGATAGAACAGATCGGTTCGCTCATGACGTCATGACATGGCCCTGTTTTGCTTTAGGCATGGACAGCTTCAGATGAGGGAAGGTGTCAAAGTGCCCAATCCGACCAGTGGATGAACTCAAAGTACTCGCTCTCGAAGAAGACGCGAGTTCAGACTGGGGGGTCTTGCGCAATGCTGGCCCTGGGGGACACTGGTCAAAACTTGTTCCGCACGAGTTATTCTGTCAGCATGCTGGAAGTCAGCTTGAAAATGAAAAATCCGAGCATGTCCCACAACATGTCACTTGTGAGATTCACCAACAGTTTAGCCAGCTCATGCCTTGCAAGTGTGTCACATGGGAGTTTGCCAATGACATGTTCAATATGCTCATGAATTTTCTCATGTTTCAATAGGAATTTGACCATGACATGTCCAACATGCTGATGACATGCCATCATGTTTCACATGGGAGTTTGACCATGACATGTCCAACATGCCCATGACTTGCAACATGCCCCGCATATGGGTTTGTGGTACCACATGTTGACTTTATCATAGGCTCCCTACCATGGACATAACTTGATAAGGAAAGGGCAGTGGGCGTATGGCAGACTCGCAGGATCGAGACTGTCTTGATGAAGTGGGACGGTGTTCCAGGGAACTTGGGCCACATCATTCCCACCGTGAAGGTGAATTCGGATCTGTGGACTTCAGACACTAACAAGATCAAAGACCTGCAGCGGCTCAACGGTGATTCCGAGTTGGCAGCTGCGCTTCTGATAGCCTTTTGGTTCAGGAACGACAGTGACATTTGCCACTGGTTGAAGAGAGAGCTTGCCGACATCGTGTTGGAATTCTACAGCTACGGCGTGGGCTCGCAGTTCGACTTGGCAAAGTTCGGCACCACGGTTGAATTAGTTTTCCAACACTTATTGGCATCAGGGAGTTCATGTTAATTTCTCACCTTAGCTCCGAGTTACCTAACCTACTAGTAGGTCTGGTCGAAGACGAAGAACGGGACCGGCAAGTCATTGGACTCGGGGCGGCCGACAAGCGCCTTGTCCTAGCGAAGATGGTGGACGGCGCAATGACCGAAATGGCCCTGTCGGAGGACAAGGCGATCGAGGCCTTGTTGAGCAAAGGGAGCTACATGCGGGGATGGCACCCTGGCCTTCCCATTCACATGTCATGACATGATTGACATGGATTTGTCACTGATTGCATGCCATAACATGGTTGATCAGGTTGCCATGTTTCCGTGTTGCCATGCAACCAGTTGTTGTGATGATTCCATGTTGACATGATGCCATGTGGCCATGACTCCATGTCGACACAACGTGGCCATGACTCCATGTTGACATGGTGCCATGTGGCCAAGACTCCATGTTGACATGATGCTATGTGGACGTGACTCCATGTCGACTTAACATGGCCATGACTCCATGTTGACATGATGCCATGTGGCCATGACTCCATGTCGACATAACGCGGCCATGACTCCATGTTGACATGGTGCCATGTGGCCAAGACTCCATGTTGACATGATGCTATGTGGACGTGACTCCATGTCGACTTAACATGGCCATGACTCCATGTTGACATGATGCCATGTGGCCATGACTCCATGTCGACATAACGCGGCCATGACTCCATGTTGACATGGTGCCATGTGGCCATGACTCCATGTTGACATGCTTGTCATCATGCTGACATGCTCTCATGTTGACATACCAACTGTCATGGTTTTGGGAGGATGCATTCTGACATCTGGTCCTTTAAAAACCTCAGCACTTGCCAGCGCTACACCAACATGGGCAGAAAGCTGAAGGAGCTTCCGGCTGTCATGGAGGCATTGAACACCATGTCCCACCGCTTTGGCGTGGTCCCCTTGACGGAATCACCTTTGGGGGTTCACCTTGGACTCGGAGAACCAAATTCCATTCTCCATCCTGGATAAAGTCTGCTGGATAGACCTGACTGGATTGAAAATGTCCAGCACCCAGCGGGGAGCCTTGTACCGTGCTCACAGGCTCATGCGGACGACGGGATGATGCTGGCCAATTGGTTCAGCCCAATTGGCCAGCCCATGCTTGCCACACATGGAGTTTCATGCTTGTCATCCATGGAGTTTTGCCATGCTTGCCATGTTAGGGACCGTGGGTATTCATGTTTGTTGGCCATGTTTCCCATGTGTGTCATGTTTGAGTCATGGTTTCGTTTACCACCATGGACTTGCATGCCTGCCATGGGTGTCCCAAATTCATGCAACATTAACACTAGCCCACTGTCCGGCCCCCGCAGGAATGCCAAAGAAGAAAGATGAGTCCCCTGATCAGCGAGACTTCAAGAAAGAAGCGAAGAAATTTGTAAAAACCTTGATGGAGGAATCGGACCCCAAAGCTTTATCGCTCCAAGATGTGAGGGAAGCTGTCCAAAAAGAGCTGTTGAAGGGAGAAGAACCCAAACATGTGGCAATGTTCAATGCCATTGTAGATTCCACCGTTTCACATTTTCACCGCAAGGAGAGAGAGGTGGCCAGCTCTTCGAAACCGAAAGGAGTTTTGAAACCAATCTTCAAGAAATGAACGGTTGAACATGAGTTGGGAGCATGACCTGCTTCATGTGGAGCTTGTCATGTCATGGTCACATGAGATGGGAACATGGCATGACGTGCCATGACCATGGCATGTCCATGTATGACATGTCATGTCTGAACACGGGATGTCTTGCCATGACTGTGGCATCATGTCCATGTATGACATGACATGGAATTTGCATGAAAGACATGCCATGGGGGGCTTTTGGGCGGGCAGGTCTGGGGGGGGGCTTTTCAGCATCAAAAAAGTTGTGGCATCAATTTTAACAAATTCCTTCATATAGAACATCATTACAAACAGTGGGCCTTTCATAGGGATTTTATTCCCGGGGACACCGGAACGCCGAGGACTTAACTACCAATCTTTTGACGGAATGGCATCGCACAATGGGTTTACCAATGGGGAAATTTTCTGCCTAAAGGGCTTTTTTGTTGACCTTGGATATCTGCCTCCAAATCAACTGAATATGTTGGATCATTCTGGACTTAAGGGGCGAATGTAGTCACGCAACTATGTGGATGTTGCCTAAGGCCTAAAGCTCTGGGAACCTTCATGTATGCCATATCCCTACAAGTTGTTCACCACGTCTTGGTTTGGGAAAGTTCATAATTTTAGCTTGCCCTCTGATAAAGGAACATAACTATGGAAAATCACCAAATTTTAATGGCAAAATCACCTTGTTTTATTGGCCATCTATACCAGAGCTATGTTAGTCATAACCAGAGGCTACCAGAGGGTATCCCGCCACCTTTCCTGAAACATCCCGAACCGCAACCGCATTTCGCATGGCCAGTTTCGGATGCCCCGCTTAATGGATTGATTTCAAGGACTGATTACAGGAAAATCTGTGGTTTCCGGCGTTTTTTCATATTTTTTCCACACCAATCCATTGAAGATTTCCATGTCGCCCTGCGCATTCTCTCCTTCAACACATCCAAGACCGGCTCTGAGACAACAGGCACGGGAGGTAACTCGCTACTCGCTGGCCAGTTCTTCAACTGAACCTGACGCGCAAACGTTGCGCAAACGTCTGACACCGGCCCTGTCGCCCAGGGCTGTGGATCACGGCAACTTATTAGCATAAAATCAGCAGAAATGCTGGCTGTGGCTAATAGTTGGCTGATATACACATCAGAAACTCACCAAAACTATGTATGGTCTTGTAAGGTCTGAACTACAGTCACTCCCGTAGCCCATGTCTGGGATAGGAACATCTGCCCCAAACATGCCCCAAATGCATGTGAATATACTATGCATAAAGTGATGCCCGCCAGTCTGAAGTCGCGTCAAGTATAGATCTTATTGATATTACCCTCTGGTGAACTAACATAGCAATGGAAAATCACCATTTTTCATGGGAAAATCCACTATAAATGGCCATTTTCCATAGCTATGTTAAATTACCAGAGGGTACACCAGGGCCAGCCACCAGTTCACCTAACCCAAACATGTCTAACCGGTACATCCGCCAAAACATCCCATCCAGCACGGACCAGTCAGTGGATCAATCTAAGTCGGGTTATAAACACCAAGAACTTATATTGAATGTATATATATATAGTAATAGTATATGTGTGTGATTATACAATTACAATTGTATGGGTTTATATGGATTTATGGTAGTTATATATTTGATATATCTTAGATATTCCACATAACTACAGGAATTCACCTATAGTCGTTTCAACATGTTTCAATCACAATGGCCTCCCGCTTTTCGCGCTGTTCCTCTTGTGCTTTCCACTTGGCAAAGTCCTAATTGTTGAAACCACAAGCGGGTTGCTACCATAGTGGAGCTGCCCTATGTTCTACCGGTTGTTTGTTGCAGTTTGCTATGGTTACTAGATCGTCCATTTCATTTAGTAAAAAACATGTTTTGTGATGTTTATTGATGTTTTTAAAAATGATGATTTTCCGAAACTGTTGCATGACCAAAAGGTAACGTGTTCTAATGACGTCTGATAACGAAGTTAGTCCTAGTTTGTTTGTTTTCATATTGGATGATAAGCCTCATGAAGGTCCGGTTAATCACCAATCTAATAACCCTCGTGACATCTGCAAGTTTTAAGCCTTGAATTTGGTTTTGGAAATTGATAAGTCTGAGACTGATGGTCCTATGGGATGCGGACAGTCTCAGATTCAAGGAGGGTACATCACAGGGCGTCGCAGCACTCAACGTCGTCACAGCACAGGGCGTCCGGAAAAAGCTGTTTCTGCCCGAAACGGAAACTCGAGAAACATGTCAGAATTGTTAGTCATGGTTCACAATGCTAAAAAGAATTATGGTTACCCCCTGGTAAACTAACATAACTATGGAAAATCACCATTTTTAATGGGAAAATCCACTATAAATCACCATTTTCAATAGCTATGTTAGTCATAACCAGAGGGTAACACTGGTGTTTTTTTTGGAGTTTCAGGTCACAAGCAACAAACCGGTGACTCGGTTACTGTCTCCTCCCCAGTGACCGCATCTTCTTCGGAGCCATTCTCCTGTGGGCCAGTGGGCCCTGGCTATCGCTGACCATTGGACCATGGCGACCGAAAAAAGACGAGCTAGGCATTCCTATCATAACAAATGGGTGGGATCCATTCTTCACATGAATGGTGATATCATGTGATATCTAATTAATCTAATTAATTCTACATCCCACTTTAGAAGAAGAAATTGACACCACTAATGTGAAACCACATTTTAAAACATATTTATGATTAAAAAAACATTCCATTAACCAACCATGACTGAGGATAATTTTAGATCATTCTTGTGCTATATCCAAGAATGAATCTCCATTGGGGAGATTCTTTTCAGCCAATTTTTGGTCGCTAATGGTCGCTAAAACACCTTTCTGAAATCCCATTCGATGAATTCCCAAGTCCCAAAATCCCCCCTAAACCCACCTCAGCGGATTCGGCATGGGCATCATCCACCATGGCCTGTGATGTTCCGTTGCATGAAAATGATTCCACGGTAACGGTAGCACAACCACCAACAACCAGCTGACATTGACAGAAGAACCTCCAAAGTTCCAGAAGCAAACAACATGACGTCAGGTGGTTCATGAGGACGTCCAGGGTTGTTTTATTCCGTATGTCCATCATATATATCATATCTTGCTGATCTTGAGCTAGTCTTGATCATGGGGAAGCGATGTCGTGGTGGGCAAAGAAACTGGATCTAAACAAAATCTGCAGTCACTGATCATCTGTTTTCTACTTCAACGTTTTTCCGAAAAGTATCCCAAAAAGCCAAAAACTCAGATACCCTGCGAAGACTACAGTTTTAGCCGGGGAGATCCGGGCCATAGCAGTCACCCTTTTGTTGTCCCAGGACCAAACAGTCCAGCACCTTCTGTGCCGCTCGCCTTTCAGCGGCCTGTGGACAGCGGATTTTAGTGGCTCTTCCCATCGGTTTTTTTGGGCTCAGAATCCTCAAACAGTTGGAGAAACCCTTTTTTGGGTGGTAATGATGGTGAAATATGGTGAAGTTTCTGAAGGCAAATCCCATCAAATCCCTGATATTGGTGGTATATCTCTCATTTTTGATGGTGAAATCCCAATTTTTGAGGTGGCTTCAAACTTCAAACTGTGAAATTTGCACTTGGACCGGACTATGCCTGGCGTTTGGCTGCTTCTAGCTCTGCTTCAGCAGCTTCGTATTCGGCTTGCCTCCCAGATGGTGAGGTGCGTGGAGGTGAACTGAAGGTTTTGTGGCACCAGTTAGCATGTTTCTATCCATTGGGTTTGACTGAAAATTGTGTGATATCATATTCATTCATTTTCCCTATCAAAATTGCAATTTGGGCATGTACCCCATTTTCAAACCCAGCGATGACCCTGTTGAAGGGGCGACCGCAGCCTCTGTTGCACCACTTCCGTGGCCAGCGGCTTTGCCACCTCAGGCTCCTTTCCTCTGAAGCGCCCGTAGAAACGCTCGGGAAAATGATGTGGCTGATGCCTGAAATGGGGTATACCCCCAAAAACTTACTGGTGCTTAGTAGGGAATGGATAGGAACGGGTGTTGCTGGGATGATTATTACTAGTGATTATGGATCATTCCCGAAAATTCCCTGTGTAGTGTTTAGCACCAGTAAGAAAATGGCAAACGCTAAAAGAGTGATCATCATGAAAACACTAGACTATGTTTGAAACTTTGAGAACTCAACTCCTGATTTGAACCACAATTAAAACACGATATTAAAAATATTAAAACGCTTTGATGAGGCAAAAACCATAATCAAACCATCTCCAACTTTGGCTTATTGGTGATTAATGGGATGGCTCATGTTTTAAGGCCAAAGCCTGACATTTCCCACACCCAAAGTTGCCAAAGCCGCTTTCCCCTGCCTGCAGGGCGACTCCGAGCAATCTTTGGCCCAGGGCGTTCAACTTGTGTCTTTCCTCGAAATCTCTATCGTCACAGGCGAAATGACATGAATTCCATGTTTTTTTCAGTATGAAATTCTTTGATACACACACACATATATATATATACACAATATACACAATTGCATTTATATATGTATATATAGTTGTATATATATAATTATATATATACATATGTGTGTGTGTGTGTTTTTTAATTGTCTGTATATATATATATATATTATGCCTGTTTCTTGTGTCATGTCACATGTCCTATGAACTTCTGTGATATGGCTAAATCATGCTAAATCATAGGTCACAGGCAAATAGTAGGTGAAGATTCACAGGAAGCAAACTGAGTTTACCAGCAATGAAACATGCGGGTTGCTTACATGCGCATGCAAACCGGTTTTGAGAAAGAAATGACGTCGCAAAGGCATACAAGGTACAGGCCTCAACTGGTTTGTAGCATTCTAGAATCACTAATCCCAAAAATACACAGGTCAAACGGTCAAACATCTGAAACTACAACTGACAATCATGAACCTGCAATTAACAATCTCAGTTGAGATTGTTTGGAGCGCCGGTCTTTTCTGATGACCGAGGCACCTGTCAAGATGTTGGCATAGTAATACCTTGGCCAATCTTCCAAAAATGGTGTGTGTTTATAGTTTGTTGGAACTGGTTCGCTAACATTCCCCCCATATATCTTAAGCAGCAAAAGATGATAAAGATGTATTACAATAGCAAATACAGCATAGTAGGTAAATCAAAATAAAGCGATCCAGCTGACCGAGATACGCTCCCTTCTTGGATTTGGATTCCTTCCGAATCCATCCATAGGGCAACGGCGGCGCCGCCTCTCTGCTCCGCTTCTTCTCCGCCTTCGCCGGTGCAGCGCTGGCCTTCGCCGGCACCGGGGCGGACGGTTTTTGCGGCGCGGGCGCGTCCGCAGTGGCGACCACGTCGTCGTCAGAGTCACAGAGTTCAACCGACATGGCGGATGAAGGTTGGAAGCGATCAGCGGTTCGCCCTTGTTTACATAGCAACGTAGTATCTAGTTGCATTTATATGGGGGGGTTCCTAAGTCATAGGGGTACCCCCAGTCACCATCCATGTATAGTAATGGAATTTCCATGAAATAAACCATCCAGCTATTGGATGCTATTGGGGTACCAAGAAAACATCCCCATATGAGATCATATTAGTATAGACATGAGTTCAGATGTTTCTGTAGACATGACTATCATGACACATCTGTGAAGGATGACGTTTTGCGCAAAAAAAGACTGAGATGTGGACCTCTTGGGTCCTGGCCGTGTCCTGTTCGGTCATGGTACCATGGATGATCAAACGAGGCTGGCAGATGTTGCCCAACCATTCGAATGGTTGGAGGGTGCGACTTCATGCCTGGATTCCATGAAGATTCCGGTACTAGATTGTACTAGTAGGTATCATTGCTTCATTAATCAATGGATTGGTTTAAGGGAAAACCTACAGGAAACCATAGATTTTCCCATTAAATATGGGGCTTTCCTGTAAATTGTCCCTTAAACCAATCATTGATTCATTAAAGTACAGTGGTGATACATCTGATTTGATCGTGATGAATCCCTATCTCTTTTGCCGTTGCGCATCCCTGACTGCCACATATGAAACGAGGCATAAAGAGCCAGCAGAAATACACCAAAACAAATGGCAAAAAGTTGGCATCTTATGATTTTTTTAAACGCAGGAAAAAACTTGCGCAGCTGATGTACTCATGTAGGGCCTCATGTTCCAGTGGTGTACCTGTTGGAATCTTCCCCTGAACAATCACCCGTGAACGGCCAGAGTGCTATCCCAATTTAATCCCAGTATTTCCCCGGAATCATGATTTACTTGTTTGTCAGTGGTATCTTGTTACATCCGAATCCTATCCTCAATCATATCTAAGTTATATCAGATTCTAATTGATCAATTATTATCAGGAAGACCATATGTGAGTTAATTGGTTTGCACCAGCGAGTTTCTTATCACCAAGCGAGTTTCCAAAAAATGGGTTTATCTATTTATCAGAAACTTATCCATGTCTAACAGTTAGTTAACAATACGTCTCATAATATTAATTTGATTAATTTTCCAATGAATGCATGCCCCTAGACCTCATGAATCTACCTTATTCTAATTGAAAAATTATAAAATCAGGAGGATCATATGCAATTTTCACCAGCGAGCTTCTTGTGCAAAGCATGTTGGACTGCTCCTTTCGCCGCTCTCCCACCAAGTCCAGCCACATTGTGATTCAAAATGTCTTGAAGCCGCAGGTCCCCTTCAGGCGACGCCTCGAAGGAAGGTGGTTTCCAGTGGAAACCACAAAAAACATGGCTGGTAAACACCAGTTTCCCAAGGGGAAACATATGGGAAAATGTGGGCAAATATGGGCAATTATGGAAAATCATCCATAGATAGTTTGAGAAGTGCAACAGTCATGTAGGCATGATTGTGAATTTGTATCTTTAAAAAAAACAGCGGAGGGTGAGCATTGAAAGGAGCTGAAATGATCCAGTATGACTCATTTTGGGGAGCACCCTGTTGACACACTGGGTTTGTGCTTCCCAGGGAACATCCGGAAAAAAACGAAACGTCGAGATAGATAGACCTGCAAAAACCAAAGCTATCCAGGACTTAAACTCGTACCTGCAACATCCAGGCACAACTATAAGAGGCAACCACCCAAATCAAAGATCGAAAAAAACATGCTTTCTGTCATAAGTCATCAAGGATATTTCAACGGAAAAAAAAGCCGGAACTTGTCCCATCGTTAATGATAAAATCCCATGGTTTCCAGCCCTGTGCCTCCACGGTTGGTTCACCCGGGGGCTCGTCTGCGCGAATGAAAAGCTCCTCGCGGTCTTTGGATCACGGGGGGAAAGCCATTCAACTCAAGAGTTTACCATGTTTATAAACAACATGATATTGAATGTTGAATGTATGTGATATATACAATCATATAATATATATATACAGTATACATATATAGTTAATTATATAATCATAAATAATATATATATTATATATACATAGAGCCAATATGACAACAAATACCACCCATGACTGAAGCCTGTCATGAATGGATCCAATCTATTTCACCACGTTTTCATCTTCAGCACGGAATGTCTGCTCCCAGCAGCTGAAAAAAAATCAGCCCTCCCAACGTAATCTAATCTATATACCCTAAGGATGACATGCCATTGCTAAATGGCCGATCTTAGATACCATTGATTTAGCCAATGAGTACCATCTGGTTATTTAACATAGCGAAAATCCATTATAAATGGAGGTTTCTAGATGGGAAAATCATCTGTAAATGGGCCATTTTCCATAGCTATGTTAAATAACCAGAGGGTATATCATAGATTTGCATTTGCTGCAAAAGATTGAAGTACTAAACTACCCCAGTAAACTGCTACTCAACCGTTAGATGGGACTTTTTTTTGCGGAATCAACCCCCCCTCACAGAAATAAGTTGCATATGCAAGGTCAACAAGTCCCTGGATATATAGATATATATAATTTTAATGTATATATATATATATACGTATATATGTATATATAATACGTGTATATATGCTAATTCTCACCAACCCGAAAAGTTTGGGCCATTTTCGGGATAGTCCAACCGATGTTACCCTCATCCTAGTCATCATCTACAGTGATGTCGCAGGGTTAAAGGTCGTTAAAAAATGTCTTATCTCAAAATGTTCACCCAGGTTTATGAACAATTTTCCACACTAATAATACTACAATACATATCAATACTGGTTGGTGGTTGAGCCTACCCCTCTGAAAAATATGATTTCGTCAGTTGGGGTTATGAAATTCCCAATATATGGAAAAATAAAAATGTTCCAAACCACCGATCAGAATAAATTGCAAGAAACCATATATCTGTACGTACATATAACTGAGGATGTCTCGCAAATAAATGGTTTGTAGATGCTTGTAGCACATGTCTTTTCTTGGATTTGCCATAGGAACCCCAGAAAAAATGGAACCTATTCCTTTCTCATCGATTCCCCGACTATCCTGAGTCACTTCCTCAGGTGACATGGTGGATCCTGGCGAGCATGGTGGCTCAGCTAAATCGCTGTTAAGAGGGGAAATATGCACAGAGTTAGATACAAACATTGTTTTATGTTATAAGATGTTATAAACCATTGTCTTAATGAATATTACATCATATTATTACTAACTGCATGTCACTTATGTAACTTGAAGTCAGCTTGAGCAAATTGTTAGTGTGTGCGGACCAAGGGAACTTGAAAAGGGGGGAAGGGCCCCTCCTAGATGGAAATTCAATTCTTTCAGGTCTCTTTTTCAGTGAAAGACTCCACATGCTGGCACCAATAAGTACTCAAGTACATGGAACTCAGGTAGCCTAGGCTACCTTTCGTGAAAAACCTTGGTGACTTGACGCATTACGTATGATCCCAGGTCTTAATAGGTCTTATGGGTGATGTAATTATTTCAAGAAAAGAACCAACTTATAAATCACTTATAAATCACCTATAAATCACTTATAAATCTATAAATCACTTATAAATCACCTATAAATCACCTATAAATCACCTATAAATCCCATTTTTTGGCTGTTGGAAGGATCCCAGCCACCATCGCGCCCACCCGGTCTCCTCGCGCCCCGCCGTCCGCCAAACATTCCAAGCGCCGTCGGGCGCGCTGAGACACGGCACCTAACGGGTGGTGATCCCCTGGTGCTATGTGTTTTTGGTGTAACAAAACCATCATGCACACGCACTATCTATATAATATATATATATATATCTATATATCTATATATCTATATATCTATATATCTATATATCTATATGTCTATATGTCTATACAATATATATATGTGTGTGTGCTTTGTGTGTGTACATATATAATTATATATATATATAATATATATTGTGTGTGTACCGTGTATATATCTACAACTACATTATAAGATGGGGTCACGATCTTTCACCTACACCAAAACCTGTAGCCACTGTAGCCACAAGTGAGTTCCACTTGGAACCCCATCGAAAATGAACGGTTGCTTCGCCGTGCCCGATCATTTCTGATGTGAAAATGTTTAGTATCAGGCGCCAGTCACTAAGTCATGAGTGGTCACCCTGTGGAATGTCTCCTGCAGGGAAGGAAGTAGCCCTGGAACCAGAAAGTTGACATTTCGGCAAGTTGCTGTGGACAAACCTGGACACCCAAAAATGCCATGGTTTGCGGACATTCTGCTTGTCAAACCCTACACTTCCAGCAAGTTCAGCCCTGTATTATCAACATGCTTCACATCACACATCCTCCATAATCTGGACAAATCTGGACAAGTTATAATCGATTCAATGCTTTTAATCAAAAGGCGTTCTACCCGTTAAAATAAACATGAAGACTCCTTCAAACAACGACTTTTCTTGTACATGTTTGTTGCTCAAACATGCTTAAACTCCATGTCCATGTTTTTTTCACCTAAAAAAAATCTTGGAACATGGTTTATTTATATGGTCATAATATATGCTGATTAATTAGATGATAACTGAGGAACCCCCTTGACTTACCCTCTGGTAATTTAACATAGCTATGGAAAGATCCACCATTTTTCATGGGAAAATCCACTATTTCTATGGCCATTTTGAATAGCTATTTTGACATAACCAGAGGGTAACCCCCAGGGACTGAATATTACAGTAACTGAACTATTATATTTATCATTAACCATTATTAACCATCATTAACCATCATTAGCAAGCGACACTTTCGCCGCAGCTCCGCCACCAGCAGCGGCCCGTTCTGCGCGGCGAAGGCGATGGGCTGCGCCACCATCAGCACCTCGCCCGCCTCGGCGCCGCAGCGCGGCGCAAGCGAACAACATGGGAAAACAATGGGGAGATCAGATGGTTAATGTGGGTAAAACATGGTAAAAACCAATGTTTATGCCATATATAATGGTTATTATAATGGTATAACCATGATTTTATATGGTTATGATGATATCTTATGATATCTAGATATCATATATGGCATATGGTTATCCATAATAGATGATAATGGATGATAATCATGGATTAACCAAATGTGGGTAAAATAATGTCATTCTTACCACCCATGGGAATGGTAAACATACCACCTATAAACATGGTGAAATTGGGTGGATGGTTATGGCATTGTTTTACTTACCATCTGGTTATTTAACATAGCCACGGAAAATGGCCCATTTATAGATGGTTTACCTGGGTTTACCTCTTAAAAATGGTGATTTTCCATAGCTATGTTAAATAACCAGAGGGTGCATTATCCATGATAGAAAATCGTCTCACTGGTGCTCAACGCAGGGAATCGGGGTTGCTGGGATGAGTGATCGGATCATTCCACGATTTCCCACCTTTAGCACCAGTGATACCAAGATATTGAACTACCCTCCAGTAAATTAACCTAGACTCTGGTAGATAGGGGTTGGAAGATTAGTTTCCATTAAAAATTGGCTATTTTCAGGGTCTATGTTTATTTACCAGAGGGTATATTGAAATATGAAAGCCTTGGAGTTGATTGAGGTAAACCCAAAGATATTGAACTATTGATGATATCCAGGGCACGCGCTAATTGCAGCTGTAAAAAAGAAACATATCGCATGATTTTTGACCATATCCCATGATTCTCACATAAGATGCAATGACTAGAAATATTGTTATTATAATGAACCGGGAGATATTATGTGATACTACCAGTATGGGATAACAACTTGGATAATCATGAGATCTGAGACTTGGTCAGTAGCTATGTAATATGTTCATGATAATGTTGGATATTGCATCAGCATTAAATGGTTTGGTTTGATATGTCAATGACGATATCAAGGGTATGACTGTTACATAATGTTACATAATGTTACATAGTTAATGATTATATCAATATATGTTACATAATGTTACATACTGTTACATAATGTTACATAATGTTACATAATGTTACATAATGTTACATAATGTTACATAGTTAGTTAATGACTGTTACATAGATAATGTTTTAAAGAGCCATCAATATGTTCCTGAATATGTTGAATGACGGTTTGGCATCGTCACCACGTTCTCAATGCACCAGCCAGACTTGGTGCTTCTCCGCAGTGCCATGTGGAGAACTGACACAGCCCAATCAAAGTGTTTTTAGTCCTACTATTGTCACTAAATTGGGAATAAAATATAGACGAATATAGTCACTAAGTTACTAAGTTTGCACTGTGAATTTTAGCGACAAAAAACGATATGATGAGTAACCTATCATATAATATCATATAGTCATATAGTCACTAGCATATGTCACTATATGATATGATTTTAGTTACCGGTACTCATTTTTTATGAGTCATATGACTCGCGATATGAACATCGAACTTTAAGAAACCTCTATAGGTAGCTCCTTGGTTCCATGCTGATTTTCCATGTAGTTCGCTCCTACCCGGCCTGGTAAACATACCAAAAAAAAACCATGGAAAATCATCATTTTTGATTGGTAAATCAACTAATTATTTCTATGGCCATTTTCAATAGCTATGCAACAAATTACCAGAGGGTACAGGCATTCTTTTCAGGCATTCATGGCCCATCTTATCTACCCTGAATTTTGTCTAGCTGCTAAGGTATCGCCGTTTCTGTTGGATAATCCCATGCCCCTTTCATATTCAACACCCCCAAACGAAACCATTGCTTAGTAGGTGATAAAACGCCTTTAAAAACACACATGTTTTGGGACCATAGAATGAGGTGCTCAATATGAATGGGGTATGTGATTATCCCTGATTATCTCTATAAGATTCATCCAATACAAATGATATCTGATGATATCTCTGACCTAATCACTGCAAACAATTAGATAAAAAATGCATATTCTATGATTCCCCATGTAATGTTATGTGTATATATATATATATCCATCGCCCTCTCCGGGATGTTATGTGTATATATATATATATAATCTACATGGTTGTTGTCTCACTAACAACCTACGTTGATAGTGAAAACATGTCACTGACAGCGCCATGTGCCTCCCCCAACCGAAGCGCGGGCCTCGACGGCTCGAGAAGTGAAAAGCCTCGGCACGAAAGAGAACCCACGATGGTAAGAAGTCACACCATAGTGACATATGGAGGTTTCCTAGAATGGAGGTAGCCCAGACATGGATGGTTTAATGGAACATCCCATTAAAATGGATGATTTAGGGGTACCCTCATTTTTGGAATCCCCTGCATATCACAAAAAAATACCCTCTGGTAATTTAACATAGCTATTGAAAATGGCCAGTTATAGTGGATTTTCCCATTAAAAATGGTGATTTTCTATAGCTATGTTAGTTTACCAGAGGGTAGTGATTGAAAGTCCCAGATTCTTTTCGCAGACACACCTAGATCCTGGTCGGGGACTTTCAATCACCCGAATTCACCTTTTCGTCTCTATATGTCACGATGTATCACCATCTAAAACCTCATCTGGTTGGTAGTTTCAACCCCTCTGAAAACTATGAAAGTCAGTTGGGATTATTGTTCCCAATATATGGAAAAATAAAAAATGTTCCAAACCACCAACCAGTCATTGTGTGTTCTTCAATGGGCAAACATTCTTCAACCTTTCTTAAGTTCTCAAAAATAGAGCATCTAATCGTCAACATGGATTGGTTATGTCAACTGGGATTATTCTGTTCATAACTTAACGATACTTAACGCCAACTGGCCAGCCAAGGTATATCTGCATTTGCCCGAGGATGATGTGATGGCCATTTCGATGGTTGTGTGGTTTTGCGTGGTGCCCTCATCTTGGAGAAATCCAAGGGCCCAAGACTTTGCAAGCACAAAACAGTGCTGCTGGTTGGTGGTTGACCTACCCTCTGGTAAACTAACATAACTATGGAAAATCACCATTTTTAATGGGAAAATCCAGTAGAAATGGTCATTTTCAATAGCTACGTTAAATTACCAGAGGGTACCCCTCTGAAAAATATGACTTCGTCAGTTGGGATGATGACATTCCCAACATATGGAAAGTCATAAAAGCCATGTTCCAAACCACCAATCAGTGCTGGGTATGTAAATCTTTAATGGATTGATGACCATTCCCTAAATCCCAAAGTCATCGCCATGGATTTATGGGATTATAGTCCCATTATAACCAGTTATAACTTCTACTGGTTGGTTTTTTCAACCCCTCTGAAAAATGTGATCAACATCATTATACCATAGTATACCCATCATTATACCATACTATCCCATATTATCCAACACACCACCAACCAGTGCTGGTTTTGGTTTCTCCCAAGGTCAAAGCAAATCTCGGCTCCCCAGTCGTCCCCAGTCGTCCTCAGTCGTCCCCGAGTGCCCAACCCTCTCTCGCTTCCTTCAGTCCACCGCCTCAGCCGGGTGTCCAACGTGGATCTGATTCCCATGACGGATCCTAACGGTGCTGCTATATATGGTGACATGGATCCCATCAATATACCCCAGTCATGTTAGCATTTTTCTACAAGCACCATGGATCCGTCATGGGATTGGATATTACCAAAAATCGATTTTTCAAGGGGGGAATCCCTGAACATCATGCCAAGAGAACTATTTATTGCGGCCCCAATCCCAGAAACCATCCCAGTTACCATGGCCTTTTGGTCATTTCATTCATCCCAGTAGGGCGGCATCTTTTTGGGGACGATGTGCATGAATAAATTACCATCTGGTTATGACTAACATAGCCATGGTATAGATGGCCCATTTATAGATGGTTAGATGGTTGTTTACCTATCAAAAATAGGTGGATCTTTCCATGGCTATGTCAAATAACCAGAGGGTATATAGACGAATAAACTGAATGAACAAAAACACCAAGTTGGTGCTCGATAATATGATGAGTAAATTCACCCTGGATATATTTGTTCACCAAGATTTGTTTACTACCAAACTGGATGATCATGCGAATCACAGGCGCACGAAATGGTACAACATGTTCGATCATGTGGCACTATCGAATTGACCAAGAAACAGACATTGGTAGACACAGTCCAGAAACAGCATTCCAGAAAAAAACATCAAAAACGAGTTCAAATTGTCCAATGAAATCAGAAACAATTACCACTTATAGTGGATTTTCCCATTAAACATGGTGGATCTTTCCATAGTTATGTAAACGTTTACCAGGCCGGGTATTCTACCAGTGCAGCGAGCAGCAAAGCTATTAATCTGGCGGTCGTATCTGCCCTCACCACCATGCTATCCACCATAAAATCCATGGTCACCCCCAGCCATGCATTTTCCGGCGCAGATAGGTGAAACCATCGGCAAAGCGGACCGAACCTGCAGAAGGTGCTGGGAATGTTGATCGATTCTCTTCGACTGTTTTTCAATACCCCTTGGAAACCCTGTTTAGTGTTGAAGTCTTAGTATGGGATCTATTCCTTTTTAGGGTGTGGCGGATATTTCATGTTTGCAGTTGTGAAATTACCTTGGATTGGTGGAAATTCTCAGTGTTCAATAGGAAAACACACACCTTCAAAAGTGATCCACTCCACATCGTGAGAGTGAAGGCATAGAAACACAAGGGCAAACATATATAATATATGTACACATATATCAACATATTTCAACCAACCATGTCATCATGTTCTAGTCCAGACAGGTTGTGATTTCCCCAAATGAAGAATTTCCATGAATTTCCATGTTCTCATCACAGCTTTTGCATCGTGAAATGTCCCGCCTAGCGCTCCAGAGCCCAAGTGATGAAGTCCTTGTAACTCACCATGTCCTGTGGATGGTTCAGGTGAAAAACTCACGACATTTATAGGCTAACATGTGAATGAATAGAACATCAATGGAACATAAAAGGGGAAATCTTCAAGGTAAGTTTTGAAGTTATTTTCAATATCATATATATATATATACATACGCAACATATGTTATATAACATTAAATAACTCTATACACATATCTATATGTTGAATATGGTTCAATAAATCTTAGCCCAAAATTACCGGCCGCTCTATGTGATGTCCAACCCCAACGGCCTCGTCACTTTTCAAGTCCGCCATCCTCGGTGAAACGCCCGACAGAAGCACTGGGAAACGGGTTTCTAGTACGTGCGATTTTTTTACGCAAAAAATCAAAAAGCCAATGTGGATACATTATGATGAATTATGATAACTGATATGTTAATGTCATCTAGTCTGGGTAAATTATGGTAAATTATAATAATTCACTAACCTGAAATAATGCCATTTTGGGATGATTCCTCTTATTAACCATGATTCCAGGGTTCGGTCGCAGTGAGGTCATAATTCACCCAGATCAAATGTCATCTAAAAGATGGCATGGTTCTTTTTGAAACATTTGAAACTGGAACCTGTGACAAAACATGCCGAACATTAATAACCCATGACGGATCCATGTATGGTATATATGCTAACATGACTGGGGTATATTGATGGGATCCATGTCACCATATATAGCAGCACCATGGATCCTATGGGTAAGAATACACGTTTCAGAATAATTACACGTTTCCCATAAGAATAGTACATGGATGGTGACTGGATTTCTGGGAACTTTGTGGAAACACGAAACGCCACTGATGTATACCATCCCCAGTTTCACATTTGGAATGGCCGTTAAAAGCCCTTTTCATATATACTATATACATATATATATATATATATGTGTGTGTATGAGTGTATGTGTGTATGTGTGTATGTATGCATGCATTGCATTGCATTGCATTGCATTGCTTTGCTTTGCTTTCATTTGCATTGCATTGCATTGCATTGCATTGCATTGCATTGCATTGCATGCCATGCCATGCCATGCAATGCAATGCAATGCAATGGAATGGAATGGAATGGTATGTATGTACGTACGTACGTACGTACGTAAGTATATAAGCCTCAAATTTCTTGGAGGTTGGTGGCCTCCAATGTGTCCCACATAAAAATGAGGCCAACTGGTTCTAGCTGTCTCTTGCCAACAGTTTGGACGGAGTGACCAGTTTGGGAGTTTGGAATCGTCCAATTGGGTTTTAAAATGGTGCCAAAAAAAAGAATTTGTGGCTATGTTCATGAGGAAAAGCATGATTTATCATCAAATGTATTTGCAAAAGCACCCAAAGTTCATCAAATTTCACAGTGGCTCAACCAAACTTGGCTCCGATAAATGAAAACTGCCAAAATCACATATGAAAATCCATTGCTTTCCGGTGTTGGTGGTTGTCATCACTTTTATTTAGGCTAATGGCAATCTTGGATGTGCATCCCACTTAAGAAGTGGCTTATAACTCATAGCCAAAACAGGCCAATACATATCTGGAGATATTCCACAGGATGGGCCCCCTAGTTATAAGTTGGTTTATAACCCCTCTTAGATATATTTATTTGCGTATCATACACTATTGATATCATAGTCACAAACCAACTTCGCTAACGAACTGGGGCCCCATCCTGCACATACAACTGGACTATTTCACGACGACAACTCCATGACTGGTTGAATCGCAGTGGGAAGGGACGGCCAAAAGCGACCAATTTGGCAATGCCCCATGGTTTGAGGGAAATTTTACAGGAGGTTTTCCGGTTCCGATTTTCCCTTGAACCAATTCAATGAGAAATTGGTTATACGAATCCTCTGGGAATGGGTCAATATATGGTCAATATCTGTCAATCTTGATTCACAGAACTTGCATCATAGCTATCATCAATTAAATAGCTAATACCAGTACATGGTCGGTCAATCATGTTAGCCCATCTTGGGAAGATGCATCACACACAATAAATCATAATAATGCATTGGAGGGGTGCATGCTTTCAATTTTTTCCTAGCCTTAAGGGTTATCCTTGAAAAAAAAAAAAACGAAAACGCCAAGAAACAAACAACATTCTTCAACATAAGCCATAACCCACCCTTGTTTGCCAAACGGCATGGCTGTCACCTCCTCTGCTTCAAACCTATCTCCCAAAGAGGTCATGATGTGAAGGAACGCCTCCGGCCGATTTGCAGGGCGAGTCGGAGGTGGAATTGATAGCTGTTGGGAGTAGTGGCAATATGTGGCTATGATATATATGAAGGGTAGAAGGGGGACAAAAAACGAACGAATCATCAACCAACAGGGGTTTTGAACACTGCTCATTTACCCTCTGGTAATTTAACGTAGCTATGGAAAATCACAATTTTTAATGGGAAAATCCACTATAAATGGCCATTTTCAATAGCTATGTTAGTTTACCAGAGGGTATGTGGCAACAGGATGAATGAACATGATTTCACTCAAGACATGGGCTAATCCAACGGTCACGGAAATTTTGAAATCACCCCGGGCCGATTTTCCGTAAGCGCCAACTGCCAACCGATTTCCCAGCGACCAGCTGCCTTCTTGGTAATGCGCCCAGATTTTTCCTGGGCCACCCCGGCTGAGCCGCTCGCCATTTTTCAACGAAATAAACATGTCATATTCGAGTCCTATGCTTTACCAAATGCATACCCTCCGGTAATTTGTGACATAGCTATTGAAGCCATGGCCCACTGAAAATAGTGAGTTTTCCATAGTTTTCCCATTAAACATGGTGGATCGTTCCATGTTTTTTTGTATGTTTACCAAATGCATAACTATTGATTCACCAACAACTCCTCCACAAAAAATATCATTCCCGGCTCGATTTGGTGAACCAATAATATCTCAAGATATCTCAAGTATATTGCAATAGTATATATATATATGATATATATATATATATAATTATATGTATATGATATATGATAATACATGTGTGTGTGTGTGATTCAGTATGATTCTATTGTGACGTTAAAACATCATTTTTCATGACAGTTGAGGCATCATTTCTGATTTGGGAAGTCCCGGCCGGGTCCCAACAGGGTGTCGGGACCCGGATGTGAAAGAAAAAAAAGGTGCCCCAGTGATGGCCATGGTGGGGTATAAACTTCATGACTTAGTTCGATACATCTTAGATACCCTCTGGTAATTTAACATAGCAATGGAAAATCACCATTTTTTAATGGGAAAATCCACTATTAATGGTCATTTTCGATAGCTACGTTAAATTACCAGAGGGTAAAACCAACAGTTGATTGGACTTAACCAACTTAGCTGATAAAGACAACAGTTATTGGAACTGTAAACCAACTCCACCACATTGTATCACTGTATAGAGATGAAGCTTGAAGCTTGGAAGTGATTTGAAAACACACAAGCCCATTTGTTTGTATCGTCGCTGCTATCGGCATGCCTGGAGTTTAGATCAAAGACGTCGAAAGCTGAAAAGTGGTAAAAATATGGTAAAAATCATCCACCAACAGATATCTAAAAATCAGTTGGTTCCTATGGCAAAAATGTTGCCACAATACCGAACCTACCCTCTGGTAATTTAACATAGCTATTGAAAATGGCCATTTATAGTGGATTTTCCCATTAAAAATGGTGATTTTCCATAGCTATGTTAAATTACCAGAGGGTAGCCACTAAATCAGCATCCAACATCTGGGTTCCTGAAATCTCGGCTCTTCGTCCCACAGCCCACTCCGATTCCGCGCTGACTCCGCCATGTGTCAGGGTCAAACTGCACGAAGAAGGATGCAAGCTCTTCAAAGGATGGGTCCTATGCAACCGGTGCATATCGATGCATGATGGTATGATTTAAGATGTTCAATCATATTCAATCCCATAGGATCCATGTATGCTATATATGGTGACATTTACCATCAATATACCCCTAATGTTAGCATATATACCATACATGGATCCTATGGGAATCTGAATGGTGGCGGAAACACCGGCTCGGCGTTTCCAAAACGATCCAAAAACAGACAGCTTGTCCGGATTGGGGATACCATTGTGCTGTGGGATTGGAAATCCAATCTGGTTGGTGGTGCGTTTTAACCATCTTGAAAAATGATGGAGTTCGTCAATGGGAAGGATGAAAACCCATATATGACATGGAACATAAAATTCATGTTCCAAACCACCAACCAGCAATAGACTTTGGAAAAAAACAGCCACCACCAATGATTTGAGGTTCTCGTTCATGGCTTCCAAGTGCAGATTTTGGATGGTCAATTCACCCCAAAACTCTCCAATATAAACGTGGCGTTGAACCATGCAAAACCACCATATTTCATCATATTTGTAGGTGTGTTTCCTTGGGAAACCATGGCCGTTTAACCCATCTGAGTTTGTATCCCCGGGAGGTTCATCAGATCGTCCCATCTTTTCAAACGCAAGCGCAGCTGGCAGAGCAGAACGGAACCGTTAGGCCGTTACGTTCTTTCTTCGACGTCCACAGTGGGAGGCTGCAGGCAGCACTCGGAAGACGGACCATTGTGGAGAGCTACTTCAAATGATAATCCAAAGTGGTTGGCCACCAAATCCCTCCGGAGAAAACACTGGATTACATATGGATCATGTGATGAGTTTGTGACGGTGTATTTTTTTGGGGTCCCAAAAAAACTTCTCAGCACATAGATCCCAGAAAGTCATGGTGGATCTCCTGAGAGACAGGACAGGATCAGCCGGAGGTCTAGGCTTCGCTGTCATGTTTCCCCCAGGGATTGGCCGGCGGATCGGCGTGGGACCAACCACGCGGTAAATGGGATTATGAGACAAAAGAGCTACGCTTGGCCAGGCTGGTGTGGAAATCCCAACGGAGTGGAGTTATCGCTTTGAAAATCGTAAAAAAAAAAGGATCCCAACAAAACAAGCTCTTGGGATTTCTAGTTTTCACAGTTGCGTGCGCCACTTCTGTGATCTCCAATGAAATCTAGGTTATTGTGAGTTGGTTGAAGAGAACAAGTGAAAAATGACAAAAGTTCAAAATGTTCAGCATCCAAATGGAAGGTCTTAATGCACATGTTCCCTCTCTAGGTGAGACCTGAAACCCAACATATAGACTAGGAGAAAGCTAGAGTCATTTCCATGGATCGAAACATCACAGTGAACATCAGTAGACTACAGACTTCAAAACGCGCCATCAGTGATCTATGGCTCTGATCTATGGCGCAACCCCCAGAAAGATACAGAAAAGTTGGAACCTGGAATTGATGGGGGAACATCATTGAACAGTTATTCTTTTGGATACTTTTGGGTATCTTTTGGGGGTTATGTGACCCATTGACTGGGATGAGCCAGGGTCCAATATCCTTAGGATCATCACATCGGTGTCCCATGGTGTCACTGATCAACGACGACTTCTCCCCCGCTGGATCGTGCTCGTGCACACCGATTCAGTGCTGACGGCTCAGAAGCATGCCTTAGACTCGAGGAGAACCATCTGATCCTTCCTAACGACAACAGAAAGTGTCCATTGCCAGGTTTGGTTATCCCAGGGCGCGACAATTGGCGATTTGTTGATCTATCCATCATGTCTCTTTCTCGTAGTCTCTCTCTCTCTCTCTCGCTCCCTCCCTTCCTTTCTCTGCATTTATGTATAACCTAAAGTCCTGTGTTTTCAACCTGATTTGTTTTTCGCGTTTGATCTTCAGAATGTTTTTCAGTGGTGAAAAAAGCCATCTTGGGGTACCTTCAACATCCGCCAGCATCCCCTGCAAGGTGGGGTTTGCTGTTTCTTGGTTGATAAAATCCAAGAATACCCGGCCTGGTAAACAAACAGTTTGCAATTGAAGCCATGGCCCAGTCGAAATAGTGAGTTTTCCCAGCTACATAGCATGGTGGATCTTTCCAGTTCGTTATGTGACAGTTTACCAGGCCGGGTAACCCCATTAGCCATGTAGAATTTAGTAATGTCCTCCATGAAGCCAACAGTGGACCCAGTGATCTGCGTGAACTTCGCTAGCGAAGTTCACATTCCCATGGAAAAATCACCATGAAATCACCATGTTTTTCTGGGTTAAGTCACCATTTTCCCATAGTATTCCATGGTTTCCTATACTTTTCCTAGGGTTTTCCATGGTTTTCCTATACTTTTCTCAGGGTTTTCCTAGGGTTTTCCTATGGTTTTCCTATGGTTCTCCTATATGTTCTCCTCTGGTTTCCTATGCATCCCCCGCCCTCCATACCTGAAAAAAACTCCGCCGTGGGACGATGCGAGTCCGCCACTCGGCGCATCTGCAGTAGCGCCAAGCCTAAGCGACGGATTTTTATGGTGAGTCTATGATGATTCATGATATATATATATAATCACATATCTATATTTTTTCACTTATATATTGCATGTATATATATATATATATATTCATGATGATTGATGATGATTGATGATGATTCATGAATTATCATAGTTGTATCTCTCGACATCCTAACTTTGTGGAGATGGTTGATGCTGAATACCAGGCCTGGTAAACATTCACAGTTTGCTATTGAAGCCATGGCCATTGAAATAGTATCATATCCCTATTAGATATCCCCTATGGTGTTGGTTACCCTCTGGTAAACTTACAAAAAGCTATTTGAAAATTGCCATTTATAGTGACTTTTCCCAACAATAGCATGGTGGATCTTTCCAGTTCGTTATGTAAACGTTTACCAGATGGTAAATCTAAATGGATATGGGTCAAAACCCTATACCCCTTCTGTTCACATCAAAATAGCTGGGATTTATGGATGTTCATCCCCCTAAAAATGGTATGTATAGGTACTGATCCATAGCCAAATCATATCCCTATCTATTACCCATAGGATCCATGTATGGAATATTTACCAACATTTGCCTTAAAAATCACCCAAATGTAGGTAAATATTCCATACATGGAGCATATGGGTTAGATATCCCCTATCTATCAGACCTATCTCCACCAAAAAACACCGCGGTCCAAACCGCTGCCACGGCACGTCCGGTGCGAATGACCTGCTCCTGCTCCGCATTCATCAGCCGAATCTTTGAGACGTCCGGGAACATGCGACTCACCAGGCGTTGCCGCAGGGAACAGTACCTGGCACCAGCCAAGGGATCAAGGGATCCACCGCCAGGGGTAGGGGTTGGGTATATACCCTTTGGAAACCCATAGGAAAATGGTGGTTTAATGGGATTTAATGGGATTTAATGGGATTTAATGGGATATAATCTGGTTACCCTCTGGTAAACTGTCCCATAACTATGGAAAGATCCACCATGCTATTAATAGGAAAATTCACTATTTCTATGGCCATTTTCAATAGCTTTTTGTTAGTTTACCAGAGGGTAAGAATAGGTAATGGTTGAGGTTTAAGAATGGTTACCCTCTGGTAAACTAACATAGCTATTGAAAATTGCCATTTATAGTGGATTTTCCCATTGAAAATAGTGATTTTCCATAGCTATGTTAGTTTACCAGAGGGTAAATGGATGTTGATGGTTGATGAATGTTGATTATGTTTAGAGAATGGTTATGATATAATTGGTCCCAAAGCAATTTGGATGGTGATGGTGTTGGGTGGTGGGATGGATTGGGATGGGCTGATGAAATGAGCCTCTGGTCATCTTCCATAATTTCACTTTCACTCGGAAAAGGATGGTACTTGGTGGCTCATCCCACTTAGTAAGTGGGTTATAACCCCTGTTATAAGTGGATTAACCCTACTTATCCCATTTATAACTGGGGTTATAACCCACTTACTAAGTGGGATGAGCCACCAAGTAAAACACTACATTCGTTTTGCCTGACTTGTTCCATTGAAGTGTGTTTTTTCTCGGGGGTTGCGATATGGGGCATCCTTGCTGGCATTAAGCCACTGAAACAACCGTCCTTTCACATTTTTGCTCAAACTACAAACAACTTGGGCAGCCTACCCTGGTTTTTTTCTGCTTGTCCCCCATCTTCCAGAACTTTGTACAGCCATGATTTTAGTGAATTGAAGCCCGCCGCAGTACCATGATGATCCATGATGTAGGATTGTATACAATATATAAATAATACATATATGTATAATGTATGATATATATATATATATGATATAGATATGACATCAACTGACCATAGATTCTATCCATTCCCCCTGCAGCTTACATCATCCTCCCGCCTCAACAAGGCTTCGATGCAATTGTTGAAGGCATCCTCCAACGCAGCGATGCCTGGTCCGGGGTAAACATCTGACGCTGACATAGGCTGACACTTTTAAGGAGAGCTCAGATGGTAAACTAACATAACATGGGGCATTTTATAGTGATTTAATGGGATTTTATAGTGATTTAATGGGATTTTATAGTGATTTAATGGAATTTTATAGTGATTTAATGGAATTTTATAGTGATTTAATGGGATATACCCGGCCTGGTAAACGTTTACAAAAAGCTATTGAAAATGGTGATTTATAGTGGATTTACCCATTGAAAATGGTGATTTTCCATTGCTATGTTAGTTTACCAGAGGGTATCTAATGAATCTAATCCCAAAAAAAGGCAGAACAGTTCTACATCTACTGTACAGCTACAGTCACAAAAGGAGCCAGACAAGTGCAGGGATTTGATATTTTGACCTGTTTTGATGATAACGGCCCCCAGATCCCAAGAAACTGCATGGAAATGTTGCATCATTCTTTCAAGTTGGGCATTAGAAGCATCACCTTAAGTATGTTTCAGCAAGATATGTTGGCTTTATTCCAAGCATATTCAAGCAACAAATTGGCAATTTTTTCGCTCGAAGAATTGGGAAATAGATATGAAGGGACTAGCGCAGACTAGCGCAGCATGGCTGACATGAAACAGCCACACATCCAAAGGAAAAACTACTTGTCCAAGCCGCCCTGTCTCCTTGATCCCATATGATCCCATGGGTCCCATGTGAATAAAACACCCCCGAAAGAGATGGTGCTTGACGCCACTGAAAGTCAGGAAACAAGAGGTCAACGATAATTCTTTATTGGCTAAATCATGCTACACTTCATGGTATAAATCATATTAAAATCCAATTTGTGTAACGTTTTTTATCTACAGAAGATCCCCCCAACATCCCCAACTAACAAAAAACCAGCCTGCCAAAAATGGCGAATTCTCGGCCGGCACTATGAGAAACTCTCCAGTTGGTGGTGATGTTTTTTATTCACCAAGGCTACAACCATTCACAACCATTGCTGGTTGGTGGTTGAGCCTACCCCTCTGAAAAATATGACTTCGTCAGTTGTTCACCTTATTCCCAACTGAATGGAAAGTCATAAAAGCCATGTTCCAAACCACCAATCGGATTTTCATATCTACTTCAAGCTCCAAAAAATCAGTTCAATCACCCAATCTCCCATTCATCAGGATGGGTCTACCACAAATTGCTTGGAAGGTACAAAAATCCCTGCCGTCCTCCCCTCCTTGGAAGGTGCCTTCCACGGATGCCTTCCGCCATTCACACAGGCAGTAGGCTCGAACTGAGACGCCCATCTCAAGCTTGTCCTAACTAAGGCCGACATGAATTTGAATGGAAAACATGGGTTTCTCATCATTTTCCCTGTGAACATGTTTCTATATAAATGAACCTTTGGGGGTACCCTCTGGTAATTTAACGTAGCTATTGAAAATGGCCATTAATAGTGGATTTTCCCATTAAAAATGGTGATTTTCCATGGCTATGTTAGTTTACCAGAGGGTATGCCCCTCAAAATCCTTGAGACAAAACAACAAAAATTGGTCGACCAGGTCCCAAACAGTCGCACGATCTTGGATAATGTTGCTGAAAGAAACCCTACAACGACTAGGACGTCGTTCCGGGAAGGCGTCATGTAAAACCTGGTTTTCAATCAACCATGATCCCAAAAAATAAATTTGACCAAGAAAGAACGGTTTTATAAGTACTAGATAGTACTAGGCTGTGTATGCATTTGTGCTCGCCATTTGTGCTCGCCATTTGTGCTCGCTATTCTGCATACCATGGATACCTTAACCTGGCAAGGAGCAATCCCATAAAACATGACATGTCAGAATCATCAAGCATATCATTATTTATTTGTTTTTGTTTATCTGGTTGGTGGTTTCAACCCCTCTGAAAAATATGAAAGTCAGTTGGGATGATTCTTCCCAACATATGGAAAGTCATAAAATTGATGTTCCAAACCACCAACCAGATAATAGTTGAACTATAGTTGGTTTGATTGTGGGTATTATGGTTCTCTGCTGGTTAATTACTGTATATTTTATCCTAATTAAGTATATTTTACTATAGTTGTAATAATAACTATATATTATGGTTTATATCCTAATTACTATATATTATGGTTAATTAATCACTATATTCTATAGTTAGCGAGACGATTTCAGCATTCTCTGATGACATGGTTTCAAGACATGGCTTTTTCCGCCGAATCTCCGGACGTTCTCCACATATCACATGTTGGAAGGTTTGGGAACCACACATAGAAATGAAAAAAAGATTCACCCTAACAGGTAAGCCGGTAGCCAAGATCCTTTAAAATATATATATATACCCTAACCAATCAACAAGTATCACCATAAACAGGTGGTATAAACCATTCCCAAATGGGTGGTTTATGGCATTGTTTTACCCACATTCACCCTAACCAATCAGCAAGCATCACCAAAAACAGGTATCTTCTCAAGGGCTCAGCCAAGCTGCCAGAAAGTCACGATGCTTCGTGGCCATGCAGCGCCGACCCTGCATCTGCCAATGTTCTTGCAATGGCCCTGCGATGCCGTCGAGCTTTCCTGGGACGACGATGAGAACTCCAAGGGTGACACAAACATGACCTGCAAGATTTAGACAAGGATTAGACCAAATGAGCTCTGAAATTTCATAATGTCCAGATGTTCAAATGCGTTTAATGGTTCAATCATGTTCAATCCATAAAAAGCATGTAGCATAAGATGGATTTCTCTGAAAATAAGGCCCCAAAATGTTGCCAAATCCACTGGTGAATCATCATTTTACTATGGTGGTTGTACCATCCACTGGTGCAGACCATGAAATCATCTCTAACCCGAAATTTCGATGGTCAAAGCGACTTTTGGTGTTAAACCCTCAATATGTTGATCTCTAAGCCATCATATCTACCCTGAAATGTGATAAAAAGTTATTTTTTGGTAGTCAAGACCCCAAGTTGTTGATCTTTAAGCCAGCCTTGTTCAGATTGCCGTTCCGTCGTCCACCAAGGCTCTCAGCCCCAAGATGGCGTGCAGCGCGGGAAGCAGCGGTGAGGAACCTTCGGCATAGACCCAAACCTCGGAAACTGTGTTGGCTATGCTGAGTGAATTATAATATGGTTACCCCATCGTATGTATATAATTAATTATAATTACATATATTACCAGTATAAAATGAGGGATCATCCCATTTTTACATAGATCTGAGTAAATTAGAATATTTCACTCACCTGAAATAAAGCTATTTGGGGATGATTCCTCGAATCCTAACCATGATTCCAGTGAGGTCGTAGTGAGGTAATTGTAATTTTTCCAGATAGACATATAGTGGTTATGAATAGAAAGTCATTAACATGATGATTGATAGAAATAGCATTGAACTAGTGGTTGATTTATAGAAATAGCGGTTGATTTATATAGATATATGCATAGTGCTTATAAACCCGGCATTCCCTGTTAGTGTTCGACCACTATGTCTATTTCATGAACCGCTGTCTGTAAATAAATTGTGGTATAATTTAATGATAGTATAATGGACAATCAACCACTATAATTTATGAACCATAGGCATGATGCCACCATTCAAAAAAACACTGGGCCAGGTTCAGTGCAGTTCCAGTTGGATATTCTAAATGGATCCGATACATACGACCATAGGCTTAGTCATATCCCAACTTGTAGGAGGGATCGTTGAGACATAGTTTTTACCCCTCCATTCTGGTAAACATACCACCCACCCATATGGTGATGACTGGGAATATACTGGGAATGGTTTATTATTGGGTAGCACCCATAACACCCATCATCATCATATTATGTTTACCCATAATATAAACCCATAATATGGTTTATTATTGTTTTAACCACATCATGTAATATAAAGCATGCTGTATAATTCCGCATTTATGGAATTTAATGGAGATTCTCATGGGATAAGCGACAAACGTGATATGGCTGTGCCCGAAAAGGTGGTATACCAACAATCCCCGAATTCATGGCATGTTTTTTGGAGGGAAATGGATGATAAATCACAAAAATTCGACGCACCCTTTCAAACAAACCCTAAATTTGGAGGAATTCCCAATAAGATTAGATCTACAACCAACGAACCATCACTTATGCAACATATCATCTAAATAACACCCTTCATTTAGATGAAATTCGAAATTCATCTCTCATGACAACCAATGAACCATCTATGAAACATCAAGTAAATTGACATGACGACCCTGGCATGAGTCGGGGTTGGAAGATGAATGTTTCCACTCAAAATAAGCAACTTTTCAGGGTCGAACCATGTCGAACCGTTAATCTACCAAAAGGGTGACACTGGTAATTTATGTGTACATATATATATATATGGATATGTATATTTTACTGTATATATAACTATGATTAAATATGGATAAATTATATACCAATTCATGATGATTCACTAACAGTAGTTCATCATTCATAACAAAATTCATCATATGAATTCATATATAACCATATATATATAACCATAATCCTGATAACCATATGTTACTTATGATTGGTTATTTAACATCGCCATGGTATAGATGACCCTAATCGAAATAGATGGTTTACCTATTAAAAATGGGATCTTTCCATGGCCAACTGTTAGTCATAACCAGATGGTAATCATATGAACCATATATCTGGGTAAATTATAATATTTCACTAACCTGAATTAAGGCCATTTGGGGATGATTTCCCTTACTAACCATGATTCCAGTGAGGTCGCAGTGAGGTCGTTATAATTTACCCAGATATATCCTCCCCACGGCGGCGCTCGGCATCTCGGCACCGCATAGTCCTCCTCGGAGAGATCTTCCGCCACGAAGGCCCTCAAACGTTGCATCATCACCTCGTTGCGTATGGAGAAAACTCCGTGGGAGAACCGAGAACTGCTGTGGTGCTGTGGATGATTCAGCCGGCCTGGTAAACTAACAAAAAGCTATGGAAAATCACCATCTTTTATGGGAAAATTCACTATAAATGGTGATTTTCCATAGTTATGTTAGTTTACCAGAGGATAAGCCGGTGATGTGATGAGTTTTAGGGGGATTCTATGGTGATGTTCTATGGGGATTTAATCAACAAGAATGGGGATATCCTATATGTAGGAATTAGCCTCTAAGGTTAGAAAAAGCGTGGCTAGCTGGAAAATCCCCGAACTAAATGGAGGTTTATAGCTGGGAAACCGGGAAAATATGGGGGAAGTATCATAAACAAACCATCTGGACACACTTTTGGGCACTTTTTGGGGGGTTGCTTGCTATACCTACCATGCCATAAACATCCATAAACATCCATAAACATCCATAAGCATCCAAAAAAATCCAGAAACATAAACATCCCATAAACCCTCTATATCTATATCTATATATATATTGCAGTTAACCAACTTATCTACCTTGTCAAGGGCCCCACCACTCCGCCACAATATCGGTGTCCGGGGTGCAGCTTCTCCACGACTGTCCTTCTGATCGAACTGCTGCATCTGAAAATTCGACAAGGACGCCTCAGCATGCAGCGGATGCAGCGAGTCCTCTAGGAATCATTGTCAGCCTCGGAGCTCTGTGTACGGAAAATCACTGTTATAAGAGGTAAATCGCTGAACTAAGTGGTGAACAGTTTCCGTAGGCATGGTAGTTTACTGGAGGGTAATTTCTCCGGATGTGTCTTTTTTTGCATGCTCTAAATCTCAAGCCATCCCAAAAAGTAACAGCCCACACTCGGCTGAGTTATCCAAATCAGAACCGGAGATGATCACTGATGACGCTGATATTTGCTGAAACTTCCCTCCGCTCAAATGTCTCAAGTTTTGCACGTGAATCTGCGAGCACCTGATGTCATACAATATCATTTACAATGATACCATCTGGTTATTTAACATAGCCATGGAAAATCCCAAAAAATAAATGGAGGTTTCTAGCTGGGAAAATCATCTATAAATGGGCCATCTATACCATGGCTATGTTAAATAACCAGAGGGTAGATGATATATTACCCTCTGGTAAATTAAGATAAATTAACATAGACCCTATGTCTGGTACAGTTGCCCTCTGGTTTAATAATTATTCACTATGTCTGGTAAATTTATTAAAAACATGCAATGTACAGTTTGCATATCACGCAGCAAAGAACGGGGGATCATATCCGAGAGCCATCAAAGAGGCTGTGATCGATCACAGATCTGTCGACGCCGGGAAAAATCGCACTGATCCAGACCCCAGTTTCATTGGATTGGTTTAAGGGAAAATCTACAGGAAACCATGGTTTTTATCATCAAATATAGGGCTTTCCTGTAAATTTTCCCATCATCCAATTCTATGACAGTTACCCAGTTTGATCATTTTGCAGGGCATGAAGAGAACCCCACCAAATATCTTGTTCTTTTGTCTTCAATGCATTTCAATGCCATGTCCTACATGATTTTTTTTCGCCCCAATCGTTAGCCAAAAAATACGAGCGACTGGCATTCTATGCCCACCCAACATATATGCTCCATGAATATTTACCAACATTTGAGCAGTGTTCAAAATCCTTCTATCATTCCACTAGTTGGTTAAGAACGGGGTTCCCCGTTCTTGGATTTTTGTAAGTCCCAATATATGAAGCGTAGAAGGGGGACAAAAAAAGGAACTAATCATCAACCAACAGGGGTTTTGAACACTGCTCATTTACCCTCTGGTAATTTAACATAGCTATGGAAAATCACAATTTTTAATGGGAAAATCCACTATCAATTGCCATTTTCAATAGCTTTTTGTATGTTTACCAGAGGGTACCCCCAAAATCTCGCAGTTTTGGTGGGAACCCCCATGGTTCGCAGTGCGCACTGCTGGATGCCGAGATACCACGTCCTGGGCCAGTTGAGTCAAGGCTGCGATGACCGCCCCGGTGTCCTTGCCAGGCCAGGCCGTGTTTGGAACTGGAACTGGTTGGGTGACCCAAAATGATCCAAACGCCAGGCGATTTACCCTCTGGTAATTTAACGTAGCTATTGAAAATGGCCATTTATAGTTGATTTTCCCATTAAAAATGGTGATTTTCCATAGTTATATTAGTTTACCAGAGGGTACCCACAAAAATGAGGAGTTGAACAGCAAAGCTCCAACAAAGTTTCAAGAAAAAGTGGGGATTTCACACTGAAACGACTGAGGATCCTAGGAGCGCAAAGATCACCTTTTGCGAAATCCGGCAGGATTTCAACTTCTTCCGAGTTCGGCTTTTTTGTGGGTCCGGGCTATGTCTTATGTGGTAATTTTCAGGAGGGTATTCAGGGATGAATTACCCACCCTTGTTCAATCATCCCCACTTTTTTAAGGCTGATGGTCATTGATGGCGCTGGTTCTCCACCCAAAGTCGTTCTAATTTGTTGGGTGGAAAAGGAACCATTTAGTAAATGGATGCTAAATGGGATATGGATCATGAACCATCTGTTTGGGTGGAAATAAACCACAATTTTTCGTGTACTTACCAAACTGTTAATCCCATTTAGCATCCCAATATGTTCATGGAAATGCTTGTTGGATCTAGGTGGATCTTGCTGGTTTCATCCCTTTTACTGAACAGACTTACCGAAGTGCCGGGCGGGAAAAAAACAGGGTTGATCCACTGACTTGTCTGTTCTTATAACCGACTCACTAAGTGGCAACCAAACCACCCAGCCGCCAAGGGATTCACATACAACCAAGCTGCCCCCCCTAAATCAACTTATATTGTCAACATCAAAAGAATGTTTCGCAGTGAAAATCACCTATACATAAACTAAAACTCCATGAAATCACCTATTCAAGTCTAGAAATTACCATTTCTTCCGAAAAGTGTATCATCTAAGTCCATTTATCAAGATCAAACTCCGCACCTATGAAAAGAGGCATCAAAATCCATAAAAATCCATCATCAAATCCATCAAATCCATCACTGAAGACCTGGTTTTTCCCAACGGTCGCCACGCGTCTCGCATGGCGATGGCCGGCTGAATGGTCTTGTGCGCCGCGCTTATGGCGCGGCCGCCCTCCGCTTCCAGGACCAGGTGCAGCTTTCCTGGGTCAAAAGTGATGGATTTCACCCGAAAAAATGGTGTATTCTTATGTTCATGGGAATTTAATGGGAAATTAATTACTGGGAATTGAGTGGTTTAGCTGTAATTGAGAATGAAGGTTTTAATGTAAAATCATCTGTAAATGGACTGGTCGGTGCTTTCAATCCCCCTGGCCATGGGGATACCTTGCAAGAAGGCCGTGCTTTTCCCTCCTGGTTAGCATACATCTCGACCACGAGATCTCCTCCACACAGCGCCTCACTTATCCTCCGGCAATCAAACGTGGCAATTCAACAATCCACCATTTCCCATATGCTCCATGTATGGAATATTTACCAACATTTACCCCATAAATGAGCCAAATGTAGGTAAATATATTATACATGGAGCATCTGGGCTTTTATTTACAGATGAACCTTCCATTTAAACCTCCGTTTATAAAGGATTTTCCAGCCAGCCACGTTTGATTCCCAGAGGGTACATGGCAAAATCCCTCCAAGCGACGATACCACTCCTGGCAGGGAAGGATCAAATGGGACTATAGGTCAAAGCCCTGGTACGTACCTCCACCTTCAGACCAAAATGGCTGGCAAATGGACTCTGAGCTCAAAAAAATCTGAGAAAATTGCAGGGTTTGAGCAAAAACACCGATTGTTGGAAGACAAGGTGGCAAAATCCGCGTTGTTGTCAAGTCTTTTTCTGCCAAACTGATCATCATCTTTCACAAGATTGGCAGTGGTAATGTCAGAATCCTAACATTTCATGCTACCCCTTCAGCATGCTGGGCGATCCAAACATTTGAGGTGCCCCGTTATCAAGTCCTCGGTTCGCCGGTCGTCATCCCACTATTAATTTAATTATAACAAATTATAGCTCCAATTTCTAATCAGTTGCCCTAGGGTAAATTAACATAGATATGGAAAAATGGCCCATGTACAGATGATTTTCCTACTAGAATGCTGATTTATAGATGATTTTCCGTATCTTAAAATAAGATAGTCCCCTAAGTGGATCTCTCCCCGTGACCCCCGTCTCGAATCCTCATCAGGAGTGGCGATGAAGCGTGCAATGGGTTGCACTTGATGAATCGTCTCGCGCGAAATGATGAAGTCATGCGGAGACCTGGGGGGTGCGTGGCTGTAATCCCTCTGGAGCTGTGAAAAATTGTTTCGGCTATGTCATGCTAGATGGCTCTCTTCAAGGTGATTGTGAATTTGAGACAAAGACAGACAAAAATAGACCAACGCAGACATCAGGTTATTCAAAGTCAGCAGAAATGCCCCCCAAAAAAAGTTGCCACCTTAAAACTGTGCTCGTTGAGATGCAAATTCAACCCCTGAACTACCCAATCAAGGTGTACCCAGTCGGTACACCACCAAGCAGCTCTTGAGAACTGGCCCAGTTGTTGAGGACGAGCTCGCTATACTCCTTGGAACGCCGTGTTATCCCCAAGTTCAGGGTACCCTCTGGTAAACCTTCACATAACTATGCTTAAAATCACCATGCTATCTAGCTGGGAAAATCCACGATTTCGACTGGGCCATGGCTTCAATAGCTATGTGAGTCATAACCAGAGGGTATATCCCATTAATATCCCATGAATATCCCATTAAATCATATTAAATCACTATAAAATCCCATTGAATATCCCAGAAGGTACCAATGGGCCCACCATATCCCATCTCCTCAGATCTCCTCAGATCTCGCCGCGGATTTCGAGATTTCGACCCAAAAATCCATCCCGGTTTTTTTCCCAGTTAGCCGATCCGAAAAGACGCCATTTTTGCAACAAAAAATAGCTGGTTAGCCTGAGAGATCCTCTGGTAATGATTAACATAGCTATAGGAGAAAAAAAAACATCTTTAATAGGTAAACCATCTATTTCTATGGGCCATCTATACCATAGCTATGTTAGTTTACCAGAGGGTATCCTCGTTTGCAATTGGGTTTCCCCACTTATACCACCTATATCCCTATTGTTTGTGAATCATCCTCGTGCTGATGGAAACCATTTCAATATTCCATTCGTAATCGCTAACCCATTCACTCAAATATTAGATCATCCATCTTGAATTCACCACAACTCATCGTATTTTTTGTGGTTTGCATCCTAATTCATATGGTATTATATGGAATTCTATGGTATTATAGTCCCATTTCTTATTGCTTTCCCCAGCTTTCCCCGGGCTGCCCCCAGCTTTCGCTTAGGACCTGCACCAAGTGTCCGGCGAGCCATGCCACTCACGGCCCAGCAGCTCTTCGAAGTGGAGGATCAACGCGGAAAGCCACGGGGGCAACCTGGGAACAGCTGAGGCCAAAAGCTGCCCAGGTGATCCATTGAAACATTAGGGATAGCCTGAGGAAAACCCATTGAATTGGATATTGTTTTATTATTATTAAATAGGGTTAGAATATGTTCGCTACAACCTGGACGTTTGCCCGGAGTTGATGTCCCGCCTTCCTGATTTTGATCCCTCATGAAGATAAAGTTGATGCTATTATCCAAATCAACGTATTGTTCTGTTATGTCACAATCACGAGTCTGGGCAAACGTTAAGGTTGCGGACAATATGTTCTAACTTCTTATAACTTATAACTATGACTATAACCCATTTGTTTTGATATTTGCGATTGTCTGTGCGGGAGAACCGAGGTTTCTTGGGAGCTAACCATGACCAAGGTTTAACCATCATCTATCTGGGTAAATTACCAGAGGCTATGGGATAATTTACCCCAATATTCCATTAATTCATTGCTTTATCATCAGTTAGAAGTACTTAAATAAGGATAAATATGATATGATGGCCAGGTAGCTATTAACATCTATTGACTATCATGAACAATGCTTCCAATTAACCAGCTATGATTAACTATCTGGGTAAATTAAAATTTATAATATGTCACTAACTTGAATTGTTGGGCAATTTGGGGATGATTTAGAGTAGTGAGGTCGTTATGATTTACCCAGATCTATGAGCAAATTGTCTTCGTCATTTTAGAACGTTGTAAGTTAAAATCTACTTACCTGTAGCAGTTCTTTTAGATTCTTTCAAGTTAAACAAAATCTGAAGTTTAAACTCCCAAGATTCAAAACTTCAAAACTTAGAAGGTTCAACATGGTTCAACTCAAAAAAAAACATACAGTAATTCCATGTACAGTATATATATAATTCATAGATGATGCGTGAAGCGAATTTCGGCGTCTCTTGAGACGTCCAGGACACTTCCGCAGGGCCGAAGCGCGGCGTGGCTCCTGGCAGAGGGGAGCCTCTGCAAAATGTGGGAAATAGGCAGCCGGGATACCCCACATCATTGGGAGTGTTCTATATGTGGGATTTTTTCCCATGGTTTAAAGAGCTTTTCATGGGGAAAAGCATGGGAAAACATTGGAATTTGGTTGGAAAATAATATGGGAACATCTACCATAAATCTGGAAGTTTGTGGGAAAAAAAATAGGAAAACACGGGAGAATATTGGAAACATCCACTATAAATGGAGGTTTTAACGGGAAAAACATTGAACTATGGCTGGTGTTTTTTTTCCAGCAAGCCATGTTTGATTACCGGTGTGAATCAATCATTTTACGGTGGGTATTCAATTTATTTGAAGCTTCTGAAACTAGTGGAGCTCTATATGTCGGCTTTGCGTTGCCTTTGTCTCGATAAAATTGGTTACACACAAGCTATTTTGGATGGTTGATCATTGGGATTAAAGTTACAAAGTTTCCATTTATCTAATCCCATTTCCATTTATATAATCTTAAAGTTCCCAGTTCCCATTGTTTTTTCCATGTGTTTTCCAAAGTTTCCATTTACCCTCGGGTTATTTAACATAGCCATGGTATAGATGGCCCATTTATAGTTGGTTTACCGATTAAAAATTGTGATTTTCCATGGCTATGTTAGTCATAACCAGATGGTAATAGACCTGTTGATCATAAGTCCTCCAGATTCTGTCCCATGATTTATTCACCATGTCGGGCAACAAAATGACCGAGCACATGTTATCATCAGCTAGGCGTTTGGTAATTTAACATAGCCATGGAATCCTTTCATGAATCCGTTACCCAGTTGTACATGCCTACATGGCAGATTAGCAGATTAGCCCTTTTCCATGGCAAACTGTTACCGGTTACCAGAAGGCATTGGTACTAAACTATCGCCGCTAGTTGCGCCAGCGCAAGCAGATGTTACAGGGGGACAAATCGACGGGACCTCCCACACTACTCCCATAAGAACCACCCTCACTGACTACATATACGACAAAAATATAGCAGGAAAAAAATATACACTCATATCATCTCATATGCCCTCTGGTCATTTAACGTAGCTATGGAAAATCACTATTTAAAATTGGTATACCATCATAGATCATGAACCATCGAATTACCCTCTGGTAATTCAACATCGCTATTGAAAATGGTGATTTATAGTGGCTTTACTCATTGAAGATGGTGATTTTCCATAGTTATGTTAGTTTAGCAGAGGGTAAACGGCAATCTATACAACGTTCATCATGATTTTCCCAGCTACAAACATCCATTGAGTTCGGGGATTGTCCATAGCTCTGTGGAATTGCCGGAGGGTATCCATATTGATAACCATCAATCACCATGATTACCCTCTGCTAAACTAACATAACATAACTATGGACATCACCATGTTCAATGGGTAAATCCACTATTTCAATGGCCATTTTCAATAGCTATTTTGACATAACCAGAGGGTAACCATTCCAAATATCCGGTCATAGTCATTCCATGATGATAACAATCAATCAATCACCATGGTAACAATCACCATTCATGTGAAAATCCCTTCAGAACCAATCCAAATCACCATGAGATCTAGGCCGGTGAGGCTCCCCCGTTCCAGACATCTACCTTGGGACCATAGAATTCAACGAGCTATTTCCACCAACTTAGCTGATCCTTGTTCTCGGTCAACATCACCATTTTCCGACGGTTTTCCGATGCTTTTCCCATGGTTTTGATGGTTCAATCACCACTTTCCAAGCTCCATCCGTTACCGACCAAGGCACCGCGGAACACCGCGCGTCAGTCCCATGGCGCGTGCCGTGGCGGACGTGGGACACAGCGCTGCGATAGGCGCAGCAAACGAAGGTCAGGAGAAGCCAGGCGTGTTCCTGGCACGAGAGGAACTGGTGAAATCTGGTGAATGTAACTGGGACCAGAATTCTTGTCATTACCATCAGATTTCCATCTTAGATCCAGGTTTTAACCATTGGTAAACTTCAATGGATTGGTTGGGAATTGGGAAAATCGAAACCGGAAACCCATCGATTTTCAGATTCAGTGTGGGGCTTTCCTGTAACTTTTCCTTAAACCATTGAATTATAAGCAGAATTCTATTGAACCCCCAGGTGGATATATCATGATATATGGTTCATGATGTTAAGGGATGTAGCCACTGGGATTAGAAGCAGAACTCACTCTGGAAACTCGGTGAATTCTACCGTAGAATTCTGGAAATTTCTTCCAATCCAATCGTGTTCCTGGTGGGATGATGATCCATTTTAGGAATTTACGACATTTTGAGGGGATCAAATTTGAGGGGTATATGATGATCTTGGGCTAGACTATTTAGGAATATATAGTTGGATAATGATGATCATGGATTCTAAGGGATTGGTTTGGGGGAAAGACTCGCAGGAGATCTGGAGAGACCTCTGTTACCTTGACCTCCAAACAAAAAGGCTGGTTACCTGGTAGATCTTTCCAAAAACCAATTCTGTGAGAATTGGGCCCATGCTTGTGGTCAACACCTAGGGTCTTACTTCTGTATGTTTCTCTTCATTCCATGCAATTGCTAAAGAGTACAGTAAAGAGTTTCCCGAAACGTGGAACAAGCTGATCCTGGATGTCAATCAAAAAATCAGCAGTAAATTTCACATTCTGGTTGGCACATGCAATCACCATGTTTTAATGTTGAAATCTAATACAACCACCAATGTTTGTCGCTGAACTCATATGGAAATCAGCAAGTTTCATGGCTTTTACACCGTTCACCCTCCGGATCCCTCAACCATGGCTCGAAAATCGCATGTCCATGATTTTCCCATGAAAACACCACAAATATATATATATATACATATATGCCATTAGCCATTATATACCATTTTTTCCCATTCAACCCTCCAACGGTCCTTTTGATGAGTGAAAAATCCCCAAACTCCTCAGTTCCCGAGACGCCCGAGGGTTTTCGGGTTTATGGCACCTGATCCTGAACCGCCATTGCGTCCACCTGAAGTCCAGTCAGCACTTCGCGGAAACTCTCCTGAGCGCCATGGCCACTGGCGATAAAAATGGTGAATTTCATGGCGATTTGATCGGATTTCATAGTGGTTTCATGAGATTTACCCTCTGGTAAACTGTCACATAACTATGGAAAATCACCATTTTTCATGGGAAAATCCACTATTTCTATGGTGATTTTCCATAGTTATGTTAGTTTACCAGAGGGTAACCAAACAAACATGGGGATTTTTTATGGGATACCCTTTGGTAATCAAACATGGTTAGCCCTGGTTAGCTGGAAAATCCCTGGTGGATGGAGGACATGGAGGTGTTTTTTTGGGAAAATCATTTATACATGGGGGATTTTCAATTGCCATACCGGATGGTAACTCTAGTTAGAAATCGGCAATTGACTCAAGTGGCATTTTTTCGTTGTCTGAAAACAGGGTGTGATGCCCAAACTTCACGTCTTGAACCTCAGCACCCCAGAAAAAAAAAAAAAACAAGAAAAATAGTGGTTTTTTTATGGGGTGTCTCATGGGATATAATTGGATATCATTGATTTCGGGTGAAAACTGCGGGGGCATATAAATATGTTTTGGGTGGTTACCCTCTGGTAATGTAACATAGCTATTGAAAATTGCCATTTATAGTGAGTTTTCCCATGAAAAATGGTGATTTTCCATAGTTATGTTAGTTTACTAGAGGGTAGTAGTTTACACATGTCCCCAGCAAGATGGCAGATGATTGAAGTACCCATTTGAGCAAAATCCATTGGGTTGTTGAGCCCGGGCCAAGCTTGGATTTGTGGACCCGGAACTTCCCTGAATCGATCCCCCAAGTAGTGGATTTCCCATAAAATAGGCCAAATCATCTTCAACAAATCTAAGAAAAATGGCAAACAACGCAATCTATATGAGGAAGTGACGGAAAATATGGTCTTGATTTTGGCGTCATTTCAACTTTCAAAATCTTTGATGTCAGTGTGAACTGACCGATTGTCATGTGCATGCGCCCAGTCAATCAGCAAGCAATTGTCATATCTCCCTGAATAGTATTCTAGGGATACAGAAAACCACCATTTTGATGGCAAAACATTGCCATTGCAATGTAGTCTCACAGTCTGATTTTCCCTTGAACCATCAAAAAACAGAAACTGAATATATTGAACAAACCCCTTCACAGAAATTATTTCAAATAGCCCTAGAAACCTTGGTTGAGTATTGATTCTCAGCTTTCCAGAGGACCTTGCTGCACAAGGCTCGCATTTGGAGATGAAGGGATGGACGTAACTGGAGCTCTCCTGCTCAGTAGCTTAAAGAACGTTGAAAGGTGGAAACACTTGGATGTAAATAAGCCAAGTTGTTTTTCGTTAATCTACCAACATGGCCAAGTGGTAAACTTACAAATTCTGCTCGTTGAATCACCATAGGTATGTGTATGTATATATATATGTATGTTATGTAATGTAATGTAATGTAATGTAATGTTATATTATGTATGTATGTATGTATGTATGTATGTAGGTAGGTATGTATGTAGGTAGGTATGTATGTATGTATGTATGTATGTATGTATTTATAAATATATATATATATATGTATATATATATATATGTGTGTATATATATATATATGTGTGTATATATATATATGTATCTATGTATGTATGTATGTCTGTCTGTCTGGCTGTCTGGCTGTCTGGCTGTATGTATGTATGTATGTATGTAAATATCATACATTACATTATATAAGTCTAGGTTCCCCCGCCATCTCCGCCCATGGTCTGCTTTTCGTCCCCATCACGGGGCGGTCGTGACGCGGAGGCTCGGTCCTCCATGTGCTCTAAGCCAGGGTAGGTGTAGCACACCTTGGGCCGACACAACCAATGGGGGAGGTACTTGGAGGATCATCCCATGGATCGTAACTGGATGTAACTGGTTTCATAACATATCTGATTGTATCTGTACATATACATATGATATATGATGTATATAACTATAAGTATAAGCCAGTTATATTAATGGGATACCCACTGAATGGAGACAAAAAAACCGGGTTATGATAATGGCTATTCGCATTTACGGTCGGACCGTTTTGGATGATCCTCCAGGTACCTGACTCAGATTTTTTTTCGCGATCCAGGGAGCATCCTAAAAATAACGATATAAAAAAGGTCCCTGGATACCCATAGGATCCATGGTGCTGCTATATATGGTAACATTTACCATCAATATACCCCAAATGTTAGTATATATTATATACCATACATGGATCCTATGGGATAGTAATGCCCTTTTTTGGGGGAATATGATCCAATAAAGGATCCAATATGTTGATCAATAGGTACCTATTTCATAAAGACTTGGCTGACCAATAGTCCCTGGATCGAAATTTTAGGTCGACCATAAATTATTAATACCTTTTCTTGGGGGGAATATATGATCCAAAATCCATCAAAATCCTTAGTTTTACCGTATAATATAATACTATAGATTTAGGTATATGATCCAGGGATTTTGGCATATTCCCAGTTTCCATCCTGACGCTCCGATCATCCGATGGAATGACCCCATGAATCTATACACCATTAATGATGTGGGTAAAATCCATTAATGATGTTGGTAATTACCATGTAATTACCATTCATGAGATGGTACATTACCCATAGCCATCCATAGCCCACATATGCCCACATATGCCCACATGCTCCATGTAATGGCATAATATGGCATATTTAGCTACAAAACTGGGTGATTATTAGGGCAAATGTTGGTACCATCTGGTTTATTTAACATAGCCATGGCAAATCACCATTCTTAAGAACGGTAAACCATCTATTCCTATGGGCCATCGAGAAACCATGGCAAACTGTTAGTCATAACCAGAGGGTAAATATTCCAGACATGGAGCAGATGGGTTATGGCTAATGTACCATGTATCATCTCACCACGAATTGCCCATCTGGAAACTCCGCGCTGAGGATCATAGCCCCGAACTAGTCAATCATTGGCAATACATGACACATCCTTGACCAAAAAACGTGGAAATCGGCTAGAAGATGCTAGAATCTAGGACCACTTCAAGGATATATCATGTGGCTTCATGTGTCATTGCGTCCCTCAAAACTCTCATCTCTGTTTACATAGTTATCTAATCATTAGACGGACTTTCCCAAGAGAACCCAACAAAATGCCATCCCATTTCCAAGAGGAAAACAATATCTTCCAGCGCGCTAAAAATTGCCCAAAATGCGTGCAAAGTCCCAGCCGCATTGGGGATGATGCCCGCCAAATGAACCAAAGCCCTACCTTGGAGCAACGCCATGTTCGGTCGCAAGTGGCAAGCTGCTCTGCAATGTGGTGCCGAATGTATGTATCAAATGATGGTGGTTGGGGAAAGTCCATTCGTAGCTCCAACTGGCTCCGCATTTTTCAAATGCCCATAGCATCCCGTAGCTCACAGCTCCCTAACGTCCCATGCTGTCAATCTTAGAGACCACTTCCGGATCCTCCGAAGTGTATGGGTCAGATTTTGATCGGCTCCAAAGTTTCTGGTCTTACATTCAGTAGTGTAGTAAACTTCCCAATAAAAATCCTACCATTTGGGGATACTTGTTTTAGTGCAACCCATGGTGATTTTGTCTTGGATTTGCTTAAGGAACACCCCTTGGAAAAACAAATATTCCCTTAATCGATTCCAAGCAATGGAGTTCCCATAGAATCAGCCAAATCATCATCCCAACAAACCCAAGGTTGTAGTATAAATCCCATGAAATCACAATTTGTCTGGTTCAAATCTAGTATAAATCCCATGAAATCACATGTTTTTCTGTATTTTTTTGGGTGAAATCTCCCTTTTTCGAGTTTCGAAGGTTCTGAACTCTGGAAGTTTGCACCATTTTTCAGCGAGTTGCATGCAGGGGAGGGGGCCTTGAGGAACCTGGCTGTCGATGGGGCCAACAAGGTGGGGATAACATGGGATAGCTGGGGATTATAGCAGTTGTCACTACATGATTATAGCCTATTTTTATATTATAATAGTTGAGACATGTTATTAACGTCAATGATTATAAATTGTTAAGAAATGTCACTACATGATTATAATAGTCAATTATAATAATAGTTAAGAACAAGTTATAGCTTTTACATGCTTTTACAACATGTTATAACGAACTAGTTAGATGATGTTCGATGTGCCGATGGGTTTTGAACCCAACATTTCACTGGGGTGCCTCACCTTCTCGGAATACCCCACGGTTCACCCCATGAAACTCCAAGGTGGTGCCTTACGGCGTCCCATAAATCCTTGGCTAACGAACTGGGGCACCTTTCTCGCTCCCATGAAACTCCAAGTTTTGATGATGTCATTCCCATCAATTCCCCAGATGTTCTTATGTTTCCTTGTATATATATATATATCTTATATGTATATGTTTTTCTTGGGTTCAACAGCTCAACGCCCGCATGTTTGAAGTGATCCTTCCCCACCTCCCATCCCCTCCCCACCTGTTGCCCCACTGAGCAAGGCATGCGCTGCGGTGCGATACGAAGCCGTTGGGCCCGGTGGGGTCCCAGAAGCCATGGCTCGGGCCATCCAGCGGTTCCAGTTCGACGTCCACGGCGGGGCGGAGCTTCTTGGCCACCTAACGATGGGTCGGCGGAGGGTGACACCATTGGGTTGGGAAAAACCCATGGAGCTTTGGCAAACATTGCAAAAACCCATGGCTGTTCTTGACCATCATTCAGTTCGTCTCAGGCCATGCGTTCTCAATCAGGGGATTGGGAGCTTCCAAATTTTGAGACACTCCCACATGATGGATCCTGCTGATATGGATCCATGATGCGAGCGAGTCAAACAAATTTGAGCTTTGCGCGGCTGAAAACTATTCTGATCTATTCTGGAACTCCAACAAATGGCTTGAAATCAGGAAATTCATCTTCCAAATCCGCCAAGCCTGGTTAACCCTGAAATTCGACATGTCAAGCAAACTCGCCCCATCTCAACATGGCAAAATCAACAAATCACCAGCATCGGATCCCCACCTCAGGGGACCTCAGCAGCGTATCCGTCACGCCCAGTGGAATACGAGCCATCTGCGAATCCTCGGCGTCAAATTTTCGCACCCGAAATCTCCGGGGCTTTTTTTGAGGGAAACATCCCCAGGCACCACCTGTTACCCTCTGGTAATGACTGGTAAACATACAAAAAGCTATTGAAAATGGCCATTGATAGTGGATTTTCCCATTAAAAATGACGATTTTCCATAGTTATGTTAGTTTACCAGAGGGTATTTGATGATGAACACATGCAAAAAAAAGAAAATGTGCTTTTCGGTGGATTTTCCCTGAAACCAAGACCATGAGAGTAGCTAATCCAGGGTTTTTCCACCACATCCGGATCGTCAGCATGATCTTCCAGATTTATTTTGGATATGGTATGATATGTTCATAAACATGAGTAAATTAGCTGTAGCCTATAGTAGCTATACCCCCCGGTAATCAAACGTGGCAATTGGAAATCCACTAGAAATGGGGGTTTCACTAGGAACATCACCGAACTAAATCGTGTATTTTCCAGCACGCCATGTTTGATTATCGGAGGGTATTTAGCTAAACCCCATTAACTATAGATATATCACCTACAAATACCTATAAACCATAGTTGTTGGAGTTATAACCCTATGAATAATGGTATTGGTTTCATAATAACCCCAAAACATTTGGCCCCAAGAATTCTCATTCCTTTCATTTCCTTTCGCTCTGATCCCCACATGTGCCAGCAAAACTTCCCGCTGCATCATTGTCATTGTTTCTGAAAATCGCTGGATAATAGATATAAACACATATTCAATCATATATTATATATACATATATCATGCATACATGTATATATATATATACATATATCGATCATATCAAACTCAAAGTCGATTGAAGTCTAATCATATCCACAAGTGTCAGTGTAATTAAGTGGCAAGCATTCACTTTTTTACCAGTATCTTTCTACAAAATTACCAAGCCGTGACCAAGACATCACCAATCACCCAGGGAATTTTTTATTTCGGCCCAAGCTTCAGTGATGTGCTGCTGCAGATAGTCGAAAGTGGTCCCTCCTGTGCCCACCGGCGGCGGAGCCGCCGCAGTGCTGCTGCGGCCCGCCACGGGGCAAACGCTGACGCTGGAGGCCTTGGAAAAACGATGAAAAACTTAATGGGGCGGAGGTGCTAAGAAGTTAGGTATGTTACCAGCCAAAAAATGGTGATTTCATGGAGATTTCATAGTGACTTAATGGAAAGTTATGGGAAATGATTGACGATAGAATATAGAATGATTTCAAAAGTAGAAAAGATGGACATTCACAAACTGCCGAAGCAGCAAATTGATATCAAGAAGAATGATTTGGATTCCAGTAAACATAATGCGGATAGAAGCGGATTGAGTTTCACCCAAACTGGCAGGACTGAATGTAAGGTGGGCTCCCACTGGTCAAACCATGGGATATGGGCATGGGTCCAAACTCATTCTCTACCAACATGGCTAACATCTCACAACCAAGACTCTTCCGTTCATTTAAGGCATGCTCACTGTAATTACAGTTTGTCACCCGCAAATATGGTATTCATTCGTTCCTGTTTACACATCGGGGTCCAAATCTCAGACCGAGGCAACCTCAGATCTATTCATCTTGGCCCGTCATGGAGGTATTGGATATAATAGAATCATGGTAAATTATAATAATTCACTATATAACCTGAAATAAGGCCATTTTGGGATGATTCCCCTAACATAAACCATGATTCCAGGGTTCGGTCGCAGTGAGGTCGTCATAATTTACCCGGATATATATATATATATTATATGTATATATATATATATATATACACACATATTTATGCATACATCCCATACATCCCGAGTATCTCCCCATTTAAAGCTGGCCACGGAGACCGTCGACGAGGATGGCCGGACGATGAACTGCTCCACGAAACCTGGGCGTCCGTGCCAGCCACGAATCTTTCAATTTAAGGTGGTCCCCCTAGCTAAAGACAGGTCAATACCCTCTGGTAAACTGTCACATAACTATGGAAAATCACCATGCTATTCATGGGAAAATTCACTATCAATGGTGATTTTCCATAGTTATGTAAACGTTTACCAGAGGGTAATGGTGTATGATGGTTAATAAATGGTTAATAAATGGTTAATAAATGGTTAATAAATGGTTAATAAATGGTTAATAATGAATCATGGTGTATAAATAATGGTTAATAATGGTTAATAAACCCCATCTTTCAATAATGGTGTATGATGGTTAATAATGATCATGAATGGTGATTAGTGGTTAACAATGATCATCAATGTGGTTAACAAGATATGAAAATAATGGTTAATAGATGTTAATAATGGTTAGTGTGGGTAAAACAATGCCATAAACCACCCCGTTTCTTATGATTTTATACCACCCATAAAAATGGTGATGACTGGGGGATGGTTTATTGTTTTAACCACATGATACAGTTCAAGAAATCAACTCACAGGTTATAATGTTTGGTAGATATGGGTTTATGATGGCTTATGGGTTTATAAACCAACTTTTTTTTCTAGATATATTTGTCGTTAGATGGGTTTATAACCAACGTGTGGCACCAACTTGTAGTTGTGTCTGTTTCCCCGTCTAGCTGCAGACAGCTCTTCCACTAACATACGGGACAGGCCGGGCACCACCCTGTAGACACCCTGCAAAAACAGCTCGCCATATCTCCGCATTATATTTTTTACATGCATGCAAAACACCTAGGAATCAAAACTGACCCCCAAAAAAAAAAAAAACGTGAAACAAACCAGCCTTCTTGGGCTCTGCACATTTCTGGGTAAATTAAAAAATATTTCACCAACCTGAAATGTTGGGCTATCTGGGGATGATTTCCCTAACATAAACCATGATTCCAGGGTTCGGTCAGCTGCTAAGAGACTCCAGTGCCTCCAACGGAAGTCTAAGACGCGACTTATGCCTCAGGCAGCGTAAGAAAGCGACATGACCCCGGGATGTTAACGGTTGGATTAGCCTACCACTAAAGAAACAAACATCACCTGGTGTTTAGGCAGAAAAGGACCTCGTTTTTTTAAAAACATCTTGCTGTTTTAAGTTGATTCTGTTGATGTTTGATGATGGTTGTGTCTAAAAATGTCTAAAAATGTCTAATTGTGGGCCAGGGGTCAGCAGTTCTGAACCATGGACCCATGGACCGTGTCTTGTCAAAAAGCGTAGCTCAAAATTCGATGAATCTCCCGAAAAGTTGGTTTATAACCCCCCCATGGCAACTAGTTCGAGATATGTATCATAATCATCCCCCATTAACTATAGATTCATAGAGATATATGTATCATAATAATCCCCCATTAACTATATAGATTCATAGATATGATATATACATATCATATATATATATATATATGTATCATAAACATTTCATATTTATCTAGAATATCTCATGAACCCCATATTTATATAATAAGTACCATGATAACCCCATATTTCTTGGACTTCCCCGAACTTCGCGTTACCGACCAGGGCATCACCGACTGTCGTCAAGTTCGTTCCAGGTTCCAGCAAGGTGCACGAATTGAAGGCTGCTGCTAGGGCGAACCATGTACCTTGGTATCTCGCCATGTTTGAACATCTGAGACGAATCCGAGTTATGTTTCTTTCATGGGAGAATTTCACAATGTGGGGCCCCCCCAAGATAGCTAAGTTGGTTTATAAACCCCATGAAAACTATAGTTATAAGTACCATAAACCATAGTTATTGGAGTTATAAACCAACTTAGCTATCTAAAATTGAGGTACGTTAGTACCATATTTTTGGCCATATGAATTGTGGGGATATTCCCTGAAATTTAGGCCTGAAAAATGGGCCTTATATATGGAATCGGTACCTCCAATTTAGGTTCCTGAGATGGCCATTGATTTCTTGGCTTATGAACCTTTGAAATATAGATATATCATGATATATCTACCACAAACCATAATTAGTGATCCTAGTTAGAACCAACCTCTTGTTTGGGGGTCTCACCTTGTGGATATATCAATGGGGATTAGCCAACAATAAATGGGGATGTAACTTGGGTCCCAGTTTTTTTTAACATGGCACCAGTTGGAAAATCATCTCCCCCATTTTTTGGGGTTGTATGTTACCCTCTGGTAATTTAACATAACTATGGGAAAATCACCATTTTTAATGGGAAAATCCACTATAAATGGTCATTTTCAATAGCTACGTTAAATTACCAGAGGGTAGGGAAATTTAGGGTGTAATCCCACATCGCCAGGCAACTCTCATCGATGTGTTCCTTCTTCTCCTCGATGAAGCTCTTCACGTTTTGCGGCGCATTTCGGAGCCGTTCCAGGAAAAGTCTGGCCGAGACACCGTGGCGGTCCAAAGCCGGTGGGGAAGTCACAGATGGGGGGAAGTCCAGAGCCTGATACAACGAAAACTCTCATGTGCAAGGTGAAAATCGTGAAAATCAAGGACCCTCTGGTAATTTAACGTAACTATGGAAAATCACCATTTTTAATGGGACAACTCACTATGAATGGCCAGAGGGTAATCATCGAAATAGTGCATGGGTTACAGTGTACATGTTCATTGTACAACGACTCAACGATATTCACCCACAGTGGGAGACATCCCATTGGCCCGCCGCCTGTGTGCTTTTGGAACATAGTCCTGGCCATGAAATCCAGTGGTTAAAACATGTCAAAATATGTTAAAACCCATGAAATCCGAAAAAAACACGTGCATCATGTCCCCATCATTTCGTGAACTCACCCGGAGAGTCCATTGAAATCATTCATCCACCATATTTTCATATATGTTCCATGATTTGTTTTCATATGTTTCCATATGGGTATGGATCAATACCTATTAATACCATTTTTAGGGGAATGAACATCCATTTACCAGCTATTTTGATGTTCACCAGGGGTACAAGGTTTTGACACACTGCCATATTTTCCCATTGATTTCCCAGAAAAAAATCCCCCCCATCTTCTCCTCGAAGGTCGTCACGGCCTCCCGCAGTTCCACCGAGGTGTTGCGGATGCCCAGCAAGGCATCCACCGCGGGTAGGATTGAACTCATGGCACCTGCGACGCTTCCGACGGCGACGGAATTCCCAGGTTCCGAAGACATGGGATTTTTCAGGATTTGAATGTAGATCATCTAAAGATATATGGAGAATATTGATGAATATTGGAATATTGGAGTGGTCCTTCAAGTACTGAAAGATTTATTCTGGTTGGTGGTTCTAACCATCTTGAAAAATATGAAAGTCAATGGGAAGGATTATCCCATACATTATGGAAAATAAAAAATGTCCCAAAACACCAACCAGGATATATGGAGAATGTGAATGTGAATGTTGGAATATTGGAATAATAGGAATAGAGTGTGAATCTTGGAATAGATGTGATATATGGCCAATGTATCCAAAGATATTGAGTAATATCTTCATGGTGGTTTTAAATATTGGAAAATCAGCCATAAAATGATGATGAATACTGCATATGATGATATATGATGATATACCCTCTGGTAACACTTTGCAAACTGGAAAATCACCATGTTTAAAAACGGTAAATCACCTATAAATTATGGAAAGTTTGAAGGGCCTTTGAATGGAAAAATATAAATTATGGAAAGTTTGAAGGGCCTTTGAATGGAAAAATTAATCTTGGATCTTTGTTGAATTTTATCTTCCAATATCTTCCAATACATTTATTTTGTTGACCAACACTGCGTGATTTTTGATGAACGTTGGTTCAAGATTTTCCTTCAAGTCGTGGAAGTCATTGAAGTCCATGGGAGTTTGATCAATTCCATTTCAGGTACGATGGGAGGCACCTAATATGTTGAAGAAAAGCATGGAGTGAATTTGAGTCGATGTTTGACCAATGGTCCTAAAAGATGGTTTTAATCACGAAAACTTTTGGAGTTTGATGGGATGTGGTTCATGTCTATTATTAAAAAAATTGGTTCATGTCTTTCTTCAAATAAACTATGATCATTATATATATATACACATACATTACAGGGTTGACTCTGTGAATTTGATGAGATTGATGGTGGGTATGTATTGAATTACTTGTTTTTTGAAAACCATCGTATAACTGATGGTGTTTGGTTGGTTGTAAGGAAGAACGCTAACAATGATAGTAGTAGTGTGTAAACATGTGTGTCAATGTGCAAGCAAACAAGTTACCATTAGTAATAAACATGTTGGAGGTTGGTTACAGTAATATATCATAAAATATCCTGGAGTAGGAATCATTGATACTCGGAATATCGTGGAATGTTCTTTTTTAAATTCATCCCAGTCATAAGGATATTCCCAATAATAAACCCCAAAATGGAGACGGTGTTTTATTTCGGAATTTATCTCATTAATAGGAATCAAATATATACCATAAGATGGTCCTGGGATAAAAGGATTATAGATACTATATAGGAAGATAGGTTTATGAGATCAATGGAAGAGAATAATGAGAAACATCAATATTTCGGTTGAACGAAAATCTGGGTGAGAAGTTAACAAATTGCAACACAATGGAAATGGATATATACAAGAATGGTGGCATATTGCCAGCCGATCATGGATTTGATATACCCTCCAGCAATGAAACATGGCAATGGCAAATTCCCCAGTTACAGGTGATTTTCATTGAGGATTGGATTTCCGATTGCCGTGTTTGATGACCGGAGAGAAACTTAAGAATTTTTGATGGATTGAATTCAAAAACGACAAGCACGATTCAATACATCTCACCAGTGTTTAAGGTTGGAAGGTATTGAATAATATAGCAGCCAACAAAAGATCGAAAAGTTGGAAAACTGAAAAATATACGGAGAAAAAACAACATCATCGTTTGCTAACTATCCTGGAAACGCTTCTCATTTTTTCAAACACACTCTTATTACCTATATGTCTAAGATGATCAACAATACCTCGATACCTAGATCTTCAAGGGGTAGATTTGTCCGTATTTCATCCACAATGGGGCCGCATGGCGCGCACAAGCTGCGCGCCCGATCTCGGCAAGTTGGAATCCCGAAGGAAAATCCTATCTGGTTGGTGGTTTTAACATGTTTTAACCATCTTACAAAATATGCGTTCGTCAATGGGAAGGATGACATCCCATATATTATGGAAAATAAAAAATGTTTGAAACCACCAACCGGCTATGTGAAAGGGGGTCAATCCTATATCCTATACATCAATGGTGCTTTAATCGGAAAATCCTTGTTCTAAATGAGGGATTTCAATTGCCATATGTGTTTACCAGAGGGCACCACTGCATCACCATTGCATGACTGCGAAAATCCATCAAAAATTCCCATGTATTCTCAGTATTCTCCATGTATCCTCAGCCTTTAATGAGTTTACCATTTCCCACCCATTACCCGCAGCGGAAAAATGCCACCCTTGGCCAGGACCCCGAGGGCCTGAGGGGCCATGCAAGTGGAATTCTTCCACATCGGATCCTTCGGACGATTTCTCCATCTTGACATCTAGCGACTTGATGTAGTTCCGCAGGCGGAAGAAAAACCTCGGTGACTAAGTGGTGATCATGACCCCCGGGTGTATCCCAAATATAGCTGGCTGGGATGCTGGCTTATTACAAGGCGGTTTGTAATTCCAAATAGCTATGGTTTATGATACTACTTATATAACTATAGTTTTCATGGGGTTTACAAACCAACTTATAACTGGGGGCCCCACATTGTATAACATGTTATCACCCACGTTGCTGCGATGCAAATCCAAGGTTTTCCCATCGTCCGACAGTTGGGGGCCCCACGATGCTCCCCGGGGCGATGGTTTGAAAATTGGGCCCCGGGGCTCCCCATTTTCCAAAGACATCAACTGGTTGGTGGTTGACCTACCCCTCTGAAAAATATGAAAGTCAGTTAAGAATATTATGGAATATTCTTCCCAATATATGGAAAATAAAAAATGCTTGAAACCACCAACCAGATCATCAAAAAATAATTCGATGGCAATTTGATGCAATGAAAATGGAGAGATTGGAGAGGTAAGTCCCATTGACGGACTTCTACAAGAAGGCCAATGGGGGGAAAGTAAAAACCAGACGTGGCCAAGAATTCCCCCGCCGTCCTGTTGATCCGGCCCAGGCACAGGAAGGGTTCGCAGAGCAGCGTGTGATCGCGCGGGCTGCGGGCGAACATGATGGGCAAACATACTGAGGATAGCCTCCTTGGAGCATTCGATGAGCTGGGGGAATTGACATAGTTGACATAGGAGGTCTGGAAACAAGTGAAGGCAAAGTGAAAAATTATGAAAAGCTCGGGTGTTCATCTAACGTGGGAAACCCCATGCCATAAACTATCCGCGCGAGATGTTTATTGGATATACCCCTAGAACTGCCGTCATGGGTTGATGGGACGGTGACAAAAAGGCAGCCAGGGTGAATCCCACATGCCGTCAATATTCCACAAAGATAAAAGATATGGATATCCCAGATGTTCAATCTTTTCCATGAAAGAATTGGTCAACTATCCTTTTAAAAAAACCCGAGTGTGAGGCGGATTTTCCATCGGTTTTTGATTGGAGATGCCAGGCAGATTCCGTCATGGCTCCATAGGTTTTGCTCCAGCGAGCGCAGTTCCTCCAGCAGGATGCGTTCATCGCTGTTCCTTGGAGAATCCCCGAGAGTTTCTCGAAATGGGGGATCCCCGAGAGTTCTGCTGAACACCGAAGGCGATGGAGAGAGAGGGAGGGAGAGAGAGAGAGAGAGAGAGAGCTGGGGGAACATGGTGAATGGTCTTGACATAAATATAATTAAATATAGAAATATTCTAACTGGGGCGTCATTTCCATATTCTAACTGTCGCGCTCGTGATTCATGAATTCATGAAACCGTTATATGTTCGCCAAATTCTATCTTATTCACCCCCCCTTCAAAAAAAACATCAAAACTGATTTTTTAAAATATATATATATATGGCCATGGACCTGGTTCCACTTGAGAAAGGACCTGGTTCATATGCCTCAATTTTATATATATATATATACACTTGTCGTTTATAGTAAGTTGATGTCTTGTATGATTTGGGGAACCCATTTCAGAAAAAACCTCCGAGATGCTGCACGGCAGAACTGATGGCCTCCAAACTGCTGACCTAGAGGGATGCTTTTGGGTGCCCATCATGAAAGAAAAGTGAAAAGCATTCCAGGACATTCCATGTCAGGACATTTTTGGAGGGTATTTGTGTGATTTGTTCAAAATCTGGAGTGTTTTCGGAATTTTTCGGAAATTTCCGGATGTTTTTTGGAATGTTTTGGAATGTTTAGACAAACCCAAAATGGTTGAGAAGCAGTGGAAGATTTCAAATGTTTTTGACAACGATTCAGAATGATTGTGATTTTGGGGGAATGTATTTAGGTATGATTTCCAAGGTTTTGGAATTCTGGCATGTTTTGGGCACGGCTCTATAACTAGCTCTGCTTATGAGTAGCCCACAGGTCTCAAATGAAAAAAAGGAACCCCCAAGGGAAAAAATAGAAAATAATCCCTTAGTTAATCGATTCCAAAAGTAGTGGATGCCCCATTGAGCAAATACACGACCATCCTAAACAAACCCAGGATGTAGATAGAACCAAGTACCATTTTGGAGAGTGCTATATGTATTCTACTGGCCCCGGCCAGCTGCATACCCTAGCATGCCCAACATATCAACTGACTGCGAATGCTGAAAGAAGAAAAGAAAGGAAAGGAAAAGAGAAGAAAATAGGCAGGGAAGAGGAAAGAAGAAAGAAGATACGAGACCAAAAAGAAGGTAAGGGAAGAGGGGAAAGACGAAGAAAACAAAGTAAGGAGAAACAACCAAAGTAAGGAAAGAAAGAACAAGGCAAAGAAGGAAGAAAGAACAAAGCCAAACAAAGCGGACTTGGAAGGAGTCAAACCTTCACAATCTGCGTTTCAGTCATGAAGACTAGAAAGAGCGACGCCACACCAAGGCCAGTTGCTTCTGAAGTTCTTTTGTGCTTCATGTTCTGCGGTGCACAGCTTGGTGATGCGAAGTGCCGCTGTGACACCTGACCTGCTCTGCCTGCCGTGTCAAAACACATCAGGGCACGAACAGAGAAAAAAGAAGGAAAAGAAAGAGAGAAAGAAAGAAAGAAAGCAAGCAAGGAAGGAAGGAGGGAAAGAAGCAAAAGAAAAAGATGAGAGATCATTATTCCCAACTGAACGGGAAAATAAAAGCCATGTTCCAAACCACCAACCAGAATATGACAGGAAGCAAAACAGAGCATTACCCTTTGGTTATGTCAAAATAGCTATTGAAAATGGTCATAAAAATACTGGATTTTCCCATGAAAAATGGTGATTTTCCATAGTTTTGTGACAGTTTACCAGAGGGTATTTTGCTGCGAAGGCACCACGTGGCTCCCTTCCGCCTCAATCACGATGTGCGTCTTGAAGAACCACTCCTCATCCACCTGGCGGCCCCGGGCGGGAGCTCCCGGGAAATCGCGGGGTGGAAGCCATGTCTTTTGAGGGGAAAACATGGGAAAACCATAGGAAAACCATAGGAAAACCATATACCCACCAGCAATCAAACGTGACTAGCTGGAAATCCCCGCTATACGGAGGTTTCAATGGGAAAAACATGAAAAACATCTATCAACGGAGGATTTTCCATTGCCGTGTTCGATTCCCTAAACATTCCACCGGTCGTTATCCCTCAGTTCTCAGTTGTAAGTTTGAATATAAAATCTACCATCAACCCACACCTCTCTCTCTTTCTCCATCGCCATCTCCAGCACCCACCACCTATTGCAACCTATTTATTTCCACCAACTTCGCTAAGTTTTTGCGGGTGTCACACTGTGGTATATTATGGTCATACATCCCACTATATATTCAGCAAATGGTTGGCTTATGTTGCTTTTATATCCAATGTTTTTTTACTAGACTACCCATCGCAGGTTTACCGAGATATATCAGCTATGGGCAATATCGCCATTTTTGCTGCTGCGCATTGCCATGTTGATACATAAATCTCCATTTACCGGACCCAGATTATAGCAACCCCCCAGCAAAAAAAAATAGAACATATATATTCATACTACATTAATCTTTTTTGCGTGGTACTCCAGAAAATCCATCCAAAATTGATTTTCCAAGAATAATCATCTGTTTGTTTTCCCGGATTCAGAAAAATCCGTTGTATTCCATCGCTAATACAAATCTGTAACACACAGCCGCAAAATCTAAAGGATTTGCGCATGGAGCCCAACAACAAATCAAAAGAGATTCCCTTCTCATCGATTCCCCTTTTCTAGTGAAGTTCCAATGGGGAAAATAAGCCAAAAATCCTCAGCAACTCCCGCCGAACCCCCATGCATTGATGATTAATTCCCATATGGTTATGGGTCAATACCCTGGTACCCTAGGTACCCCAAAATAGCTGGCTAATGAATGGTTATTCCCCCAAATATGGTAATAATAGGTTTTGATCCATCCCCATATCAATCCCATATTATCCAAATAATTTTATGTCACACGATTTCTCAACATGTTCTCATCAGTTCGTGCATTCCCAGGCTAATCAGGATAATCCCCTTCGATCAATCCCATCTAATCCACATGTTTCCAGGCATTTTCACACACCATTTCATCCACATCTTTCCAGGCATTGTCCCATTTTCCGGGGCATTTTCACATAGTTTTCACCATTTAAAATTTATTAATCCACATGTTTTCAGGCATTTTCCCATATTTTTTTCCCACATGTTTCCAGGCATTTTCCCATATTTTGCCCATATGTTCCCACATTTTTCCAGGCATTTTCCCATATTTTTCCCATATGTTCCCACATTTTTCCAGGCATTTTCCTATATTTTCCCATATTTTTCCAGGCATTTTCCTATATTTTCCCACATTTTCCCACATTTTTCCAGGCATTTTCCTATATTTTCCCATATTTTCCCACATTTTTCCAGGCATTTTCCTATATTTTCCCACATTTTCCCACATTTTTCCAGGCATTTTCCTATATTTTCCCATATTTTCCCACATTTTTCCAGGCATTTTCCCATATTTTCCCCATATGTTCCCACATTTTTCCAGGCATTCTCCCATATTTTTCCAAGGACGTCCCCTTGCGCGTCAAGGGCTGGCCACGAGGCCGGTGAAGCGTCGCAGCAGTCGCAGGTTCGAGGGCACCAGCGGGCGCCGCGGGTCGATGCGCTCCCAGTTGTTCCTGGCGGCAACGGACGTCCGTTGCTGCAAGATGTATACCATCTGGTTATTTAACATAGACCCTGGCAGATAGGGGTTGGAAGATTAGTTTCCATTAAAAATAAGTGATTTTCCATGGCTATGTTAAAAATGAGTGTTCCATGTATACCATCTGGTTATGACTAACATAGCCATGGAAAGATCCACATGCTATTAATAGGTAAACCATCTATATATGGACCATTTTCCATGGCTATGTTAAATAACTAGAGGGTATATCTTGTGTGTTCTACTGTGATCATAGTATATATTATATAGAGTAAATATAGTATATATTATTACTTATATACTGTGGTATGTATCTTATTACTTATGTATAATTATATTGCTGTTAAGTGTTGCAGATGTATATAATACAATATATTAAGTGTATACAGTATAAGATGTATAATATATAACAATTTCATTGCAGTGTAATCATAGAATATATTGTATTATATTGTTATCAAGTGTTTATTACTACTATGATTATTACTATAATTATTACTATTATTATTACTGTCATTATTATTCATGATGATGATGATTTTTACTATTACTATTGCTATAGTTATTATTACTAATATATTTACTAATCTATCTATTGATTCGGATATGTGTAAGGATAACCCCTTGGTAACCCAGTAGAAACTGGGAATTCTTCACCCATATTACTGGGATAAGCCAAGAAGAAAGGGGATTCGTGGAATGATCCTTCAAGTACTGAAAGATTTGTTTGTATATATATATAGTATACATATAGAAATATAAATATATATGCATATAGAAATATATATATATATCATTTTGTGTACTATTGTATACTTAAATGTGTAATATTGTGCGTAATCTTGTGTAATGATAAGTTACGTTGCTATAATCTGGTGGCCTGGAAACTCAGCATACGCATGTCGATTCCCACGGAGGATCTGGCCGAATTCTCCAAGGCGCAAGACGCAGCCCGCATAGTCCAGCATGGGTCGGCGCTCCAGCTTTTCCTACAGATTGAGGGCTTTTTTTGCCCCAAAATGAGAGGCCCTGGCTGCTTGGGCTCCTCTAAAATGATAGAAGGACCAAACATGAAAAACATGTGGCCCTGGATTTCCAACTGTTACAAGATTGCGGAACATAGACGGACACGTCGACCGGACCCGTTGCGGGGCCATCGACAAGATCGGCGTCAGGTATGGATTCACAAAGGCCACCTAGCTGATCTCCCCAGAAATAAAAGCAGTCCAAATTCATCGTCCAAAGCGTGAAACAATACTAGACCCACATGTTTATATATATATAATTATATGTATAATATTATATATATATATGTATGTGTGTGTGACAGTGTGTGTGACTGTGTGTGTTGAGGTTTAAAGAACATGAGAACATGCAAGCTTCCCCTCAACTCACATAGACCCTGAAAACCTCCGAATGTTTTGTAGCTGGGGAAGCAGCCTTCCAACCCCTCATGGCATTTTCCACCTGTTGGTAGGTGATAGTTGGGTGCTTTATTGATTGCTTGAGTCTTTGTTATAAATATGTTGGCTCCGATCACAGCTCTCTCCATTCACTACCGGAGAGTTTCAATGTTGAATTACTTATGTTCCAAATCGTGCCCAATACATCAAAATTAATGTTAGTAAAACAATAAACCACCCAGATGGATTGATGGTAAAGACAGCACTCAGAAAAACGCGATTTTTGGGGGATGGTGTATTATTAATTATTGTTCTACCAACATTAATCTGGGTAAATCATGAATAGTTGGGCCAATAAAAGGGGATGATTCCCCGCAATCCTAACTATGATTTCCAGTGAGGGAGGACAGTGAGGTCGTGATGAAATTTACCCAGATTAATGGTATTTCTTTCTTCGCCCCATGCAGAGCCAGTGACGCTGACGCAAAGCCAGGGCCGCGACAGCCAGGGAGGCAGCGTGTCTAAGGGCTGACAACTGCTCATGATGTTCACCTCAGTTGGATGGCCAACCTGGGAAAATCGCAATGTCTACTGGATCAATCTAGGAAAAACATTCTATGAATCTGGATATAGTTGGACTATAGTTGGTTTGATTATGGGTATTATGGTTATTATGGTTAATTACTATATATCTGGGTAAACGAAATAATATTTCACTAATCTGAATTAAGGTCATTTCGAGATGATTCCCCTAACATAAACCATGATTCTGATTGGAAAAATCTAGGAAAAACATTCTATGAATCTTATTGGAAAAGCAATTTGAGTTCACCTGAGAGCGTGATGTTCACCCGGAAAACTCATCCAAAACCAGAAATTTGACCATCAAACATGGGGTTTTATCACCCAAAATCCCTAAAAAGATCAGCAAAAAAACGCTGAATTTTCTATTGGGACCCAAAATTGGGATTCATCACCCATTGATGGATCATCCCTTTGGAAATCACCAGCTGATGATTCTCATGGTTTTTCATCTGGGAAATCTGGTTGTGATTGGCAGGTGGAACATCCCAAAAAATGTGGGAATCATTGTTGGAAGAACCCAATTCCTAATTTCATTTAGTTCCATTTTTTGGGGTTCCGAGCTCATTGATGATCAGAATCCCCACTACATAAAAACCATACTGTACCCCCCAACCAACCGTGCAGACTAAGGCCTCTACTTCCAGGGTGTCTAAGCAGCTTATTGAACCGCCGATAGTTTCTGTTCTTGGATTTGCAGAGGCTAAGAACCGCAAATCAAAGGCAGGGCAGCCGTAGTTGTACGAGGCCGTCGATGATGAGTCTCTAGAGGTGATATATCCAGATCTCACCAACACTTTAAAAGGCTGCAAACAAGTGGGATGGTGAGAAAATTAGCAACATTGATGGAACATTGATGGAACATTGATGGAACATTGATTTCTATTATATGATGCAACATTGATGAAAAGGGACCTGATGCGTGTAATTGGTCTGTGTTTCATGACGCCTTTGAAAATTGCAGCTGGCCTTTTCCTTTACTATTGATCTTCAGGGGTACTTGGCCCCTGGTACCCTGCTGAACACCTGAAACCGTCAGAGATGTTTTTTATCTTGGGAGGTTTTCTCTCCAACTTTTGCTCCTAGATTGCCAGAACTGCCTATGAACCGGTATAGTACTGACAACATAGGATACCAATAAAAGATCTCACAATATCTCATGGTTAATATTGGTCGATCATCATATCATGAAATTTACATAAATTAGATTTTCATGAACATGACAGTATATATATAGTATCATATCTACTATCATCATATAAATCTATATAAATCGACTAATATCACCATGTTCAATGGCTAAATCCAACGATTTCTATGGTAAATTCACCAGAGATTTTCTCCCACCCAAACCCCTGGTCCCGAGAGGCAGGTTCGGCATCCTGCTCGTAAATCTCTGGAGGGGAATGGAGGTAGGCCAGGCAAACGTACCCCAACCTGAACGTAGCGGAGTTCATGTCAGGTCAATGGAATGTAATATCTACGTGTTAAAAAAAAAACAAAAACATCATATATAATAGATACACTATCTAAATCTATCTCATCAATAGCATCTAGTATGTTTTAAAATTATAGATACTTCAGGAGGAACAAAGTTTATGCTTCTTGAAAGCTTTACAAGACATCCATGTCGGTCAACCGCGGATCGCATTTTCAAGTCCGTTTTGTGTGGCAGGTGTGGGACGGTCAATTATCACCCTCTTTTAAATATATAAGATTTTAAAGCTTTTGGAGGGTGGAAATGCGACCGGGGTACGACAAAGCTCCATGCTAGGATTCTACGGGGAAAGGGTGTGCAGAAGAAGAAGCCAAACATGTTCACTGTGGGAAGCTCAACAAGCGCAACTTTTGTCCTACCAGTGCGTCACGGCACATGTGTAGCAGTGCAGACAAAGAGGATGGAGACAGACATGTTATGTGGAGTAATGTCCAAGCTGAAGCAGGTGCAAAAATCAGCAAATGACGTGGCAATTCCCACTAAATAAGCTTTTTGTACCCTGCGTCACGGCACATGTGTAGCAGTGCAGACAAAGAGGATGGAGACAGACATGCTATGTGGAGTAATGACCAAGCTGAAGCAGGTGCAAAAATCAGCAAATGACGTGGCAATTCCCACTAAATAAGCTTTTTGTACCCTGCGTCGCAGCACATGTGTAGCAGTGCAGACAAAGAGGATGGAGACAGACATGTTATGTGGAGTAATGACCAAGCTGAAGCAGGTGCAGAAGTCAGCAAATGACGTGGCAATTCCCACTAAATAAGCTTTTCGTACCCTGCGTCACGGCACATGTGTAGCAGTGCAGACAAAGAGGATGGAGACAGACATGTTATGTGGAGTAATGTCCAAGCTGAAGCAGGTGCAAAAATCAGCAAATGACGTGGCAATTCCCACTAAATAAGCTTTTCGTACCCTGCGTCACGGCACATGTGTAGCAGTGCAGACAAAGAGGATGGAGACAGACATGTTATGTGGAGTAATGTCCAAGCTGAAGCAGGTGCAAAATCAGCAAATGACGTGGCAATTCCCACTAAATAAGCTTTTTGTACCCTGCGTCACGGCACATGTGTAGCAGTGCAGACAAAGAGGATGGAGACAGACATGCTATGTGGAGTAATGACCAAGCTGAAGCAGGTGCAAAAATCAGCAAATGACGTGGCAATTCCCACTAAATAAGCTTTTTGTACCCTGCGTCACGGCACATGTGTAGCAGTGCAGACAAAGAGGATGGAGACAGACATGCTATGTGGAGTAATGACCAAGCTGAAGCAGGTGCAAAAATCAGCAAATGACGTGGCAATTCCCACTAAATAAGCTTTTTGTACCCTGCGTCGCAGCACATGTGTAGCAGTGCAGACAAAGAGGATGGAGACAGACATGTTATGTGGAGTAATGACCAAGCTGAAGCAGGTGCAGAAGTCAGCAAATGACGTGGCAATTCCCACTAAATAAGCTTTTCGTACCCTGCGTCACGGCACATGTGTAGCAGTGCAGACAAAGAGGATGGAGACAGACATGTTATGTGGAGTAATGTCCAAGCTGAAGCAGGTGCAAAAATCAGCAAATGACGTGGCAATTCCCACTAAATAAGCTTTTCGTACCCTTCAGGAGGAACAAAGTTTATGCTTCTTGAAAGCTTTACAAGACATCCATGTCGGTCAACCGCGGATCGCATTTTCAAGTCCGTTTTGTGTGGCAGGTGTGGGACGGTCAATTATCACCCTCTTTTAATATATAAGATTTTAAAGCTTTTGGAGGGTGGAAATGCGACCGGGGTACGACAAAGCTCCATGCTAGGATTCTACGGGGAAAGGGTGTGCAGAAGAAGAAGCCAAACATGTTCACTGTGGGAAGCTCAACAAGCGCAACTTTTGTCCTACCAGTGCGTCACGGCACATGTGTAGCAGTGCAGACAAAGAGGATGGAGACAGACATGTTATGTGGAGTAATGTCCAAGCTGAAGCAGGTGCAAAAATCAGCAAATGACGTGGCAATTCCCACTAAATAAGCTTTTTGTACCCTGCGTCACGGCACATGTGTAGCAGTGCAGACAAAGAGGATGGAGACAGACATGTTATGTGGAGTAATGACCAAGCTGAAGCAGGTGCAAAAATCAGCAAATGACGTGGCAATTCCCACTAAATAAGCTTTTTGTACCCTGCGTCACGGCACATGTGTAGCAGTGCAGACAAAGAGGATGGAGACAGACATGCTATGTGGAGTAATGACCAAGCTGAAGCAGGTGCAAAAATCAGCAAATGACGTGGCAATTCCCACTAAATAAGCTTTTTGTACCCTGCGTCGCAGCACATGTGTAGCAGTGCAGACAAAGAGGATGGAGACAGACATGTTATGTGGAGTAATGACCAAGCTGAAGCAGGTGCAGAAGTCAGCAAATGACGTGGCAATTCCCACTAAATAAGCTTTTCGTACCCTGCGTCACGGCACATGTGTAGCAGTGCAGACAAAGAGGATGGAGACAGACATGTTATGTGGAGTAATGTCCAAGCTGAAGCAGGTGCAAAAATCAGCAAATGACGTGGCAATTCCCACTAAATAAGCTTTTCGTACCCTTCAGGAGGAACAAAGTTTATGCTTCTTGAAAGCTTTACAAGACATCCATGTCGGTCAACCGCGGATCGCATTTTCAAGTCCGTTTTGTGTGGCAGGTGTGGGACGGTCAATTATCACCCTCTTTTAAATATATAAGATTTTAAAGCTTTTGGAGGGTGGAAATGCGACCGGGGTACGACAAAGCTCCATGCTAGGATTCTACGGGGAAAGGGTGTGCAGAAGAAGAAGCCAAACATGTTCACTGTGGGAAGCTCAACAAGCGCAACTTTTGTCCTACCAGTGTATGTATATGTACCTAGGTTCAAGCATGAGTTTCCAGGATATTTCACATCAACTCACTGAATAGCATCGAAAGCCCAGCCACATGCTATGAAGGGATTCGAGCTGACCTGAGTCGCGTAGTCGCGTGCCTTCCGGTAAGCCCAAATAGGGATAGAAAACATCCAGAAATGGAAACTAAAATAACCATTTTGTGGTGAATATGGTGAATACCTGTCAAAACATCTAATTTTTAGCTGCTGAATGTAGATTTTACCATCAACAGATTAAAGTACTAAAGATCTAAAGTATCTAACCAAGGTTCACCAATAATATGAAAACTGGTTGATGGTTGAGCCATCCCCCTGCAAAAAAAAAGGTATTGGTCGTTGGGGGCCATCACCCAATGATGAAGAAGAACTGAAGCCACCAACCACAAAAGCTAGGTTGAAACAACCACTCCAAAATCATCCCTCGGGCGGGGAATATGTGTATATATATATATATATCTGTGTGTGTGCGCGTATGTTTGGTTTATATATCTATATTATCTATTTACTTAATTTTGCACATGAGACATGGCCAACCTTTGAAACCCGTTGGTTCGGAAAAGTTCAATTCTTGGAAACCTTTTTCCAGCGGGGTCTCATCCTCTTTATGGCTTCATGGCTTAGTCATGCACCAAACTCACCAAAACCAAAGTTTGCCAAGAACAAAAGGCACTTCAAGATCTTCAAGGAATGGAATTTCGGGAATTTAGGACATCCTGACAGGGCACGCTCCAATTTTCCTCGGGTTTCTCAGTTTCTCATCAACTCACAGCACTTTGATTTCTGCATGAAACGCAGGAGGTCGCAGGGCCAAAAATGGACCAATTTGCCAAGTCTCCTTCCGACAAATCCCTAATGGCTCGCCGGTTCTCCTGGCCGCAAAACGATGCGGTGAATTGGTCTTGAAAACAGCATTGATCATGTGGATTCCAAATAGGAAAGTGTGGATAAGTTGGATAAGTGGCCTCAGAATCCAGAATATCTATGAATGTCTATGGTTTATTGGTGAACCCAGCATTTTTCCGGCGTAAAACAAAAGGTTTCAATCCTTGTTTTTGTGTTGGATGCAAATTCCAACACAACCTCACCGGTCTGAACCCCCGAGGGGGCACAGCCACAACTCCAAGAACTTTCTTGGCAGGGGCTGATGGATGTCTGGATGTCGACATCCATATCTGCCGGGGAAGCATGTAAAGCATGTAGCATTTGACCATCCACATGCAGTTTGGTTCCTACAAATGGATACAAATGGCATCCCCTGCAAAAAAGTTGGACTCCGCTGGTCAGTCTACATTGATGGTGAAATCCCGACATGGATGGTGAATTCCCACTTACAACATCTCAAAAAATTGGGGTTCGAACTGGGGTTATAACCTACTTCCGAAGTGGAACGGACACGCCTCCCATGTCTTTGGCATGGTCTTCTCCAACTCCACGGCGGCCAATTCGCGGAAGCGCCCCTGCACGCCCTGAGCTGCAACATGGTTTGGGGATGGCGTTCTTTCTGCCAGAAGTGGTGTCCAAATTTTGAATATCTCAAACAACATCGGCCCTCAGAATTGCATTTGTAAACACAAAAAATATCAGAAAATACGGCGAACACGATTAGAACAATCCCTCCAAAAATTCGAAAGGTTCTGGAAGAAGTTCCGGAACAACTACATGATGCTTGAAGAAAACCGAACTCCAAATGGTTGGATTATGGTGGATTTCAATACCCTCTGGAAATTTGTTACATAGCTATTGAAAATGGCCATTTATAGTGGATTTACCCATTGAAAATTGTTATTTTCCATAGCTATGTTAGTTTACCAGAGGGTATGTCCAAAGCTGATAGGCTCAATCTTTATGCAGCCTCCAGGTTGGACAGGTCACCAGCCAACCGGTTTACACAGGAAGTTGAGCATAATAAACCATATCCCATTGACCCGACCATTCCAGAGAAAGAAAGATATATATATATATACATAAATGGATGATATATATATATATCCATAAATCTATAATCCATATATAGCCGACTAACTTGTCATCCATTTCTATATAGACTCCTGTCATATAATCCACTAATATCATCTAATATCATCATTGTCCCATAATATCCCCACTAAAGATAAGAAAGCAATATCCTAGCAAAATAGTGATACATTGTTTCTTGTGTCCTTTTTCTGGCATGATATAATAGAGAAGGACATATATATATGCTTTACCATTCCCAAATGGGTGGTTATGACATTGTTTTAACCACATTACAGTGAGGTAAACTAACAGTCACTAACATTAATAGATAGATAGATAGATAGATAGATAGATAGATAGATAGATAGATAGATAGATAGATAGATAGATAGATAGATATATATATATATATACATACCTATGATATATATGTATATATTATACTATATATATATATGTTATAGTGGGGTAAACTAACATTAATAAATCTCGCAGATGTAGAAGACAAAACCGAGCCGCAAAGCTCGGGATGAAGTCCGTCAGCTGTGCCAGTTTGGCCCAGCGCGCCGGCAGCTCCTGCTGGAAACAGCTGGTGCTAAACGTAGGGAATGGATGGGTTGCTGGGGGTTGCTGGGATTATTACTAGTGATTGTGGATCATTCCCCAAAAATTCCCTGCGTTTAGCACATGTTGATTTTTTTGGAACATAGTTTAATAGATTGGGGTGGATTATTTCATGTGATGATGATCTGCCAAATATGAATGTTAAAATCGCTATCCTATTGAAATCTTACTATCGTTCATGTCTTGCCCATTTACAGTTGATTTACCGTTCTTAAAGATGGTGGATCTTTCCAGTTCGCTATGTCAGTCATTACCAGAGGGTATATCCCATTCATATTCCATACATAGATGGTTTACCTATTAAAAAATGCCATTTTCAATGGTATCTATAGATGGTACCTATAGATGGTTTACCTATAGATGGTAACATAACTATGGAAAATCACCATTTTCAATGGGTAAATCCAATATAAATGGCCATTTTCAATAGCTATGTCAAATTACCAGAGGGTAACCGTTGAATCTTCACCCATCCACGGTGCCATCGGTGCCACCGGTGCCATCCTTCACTGGATCGGCTGCTGGCAGAAAGCCTCGGCAGCGCACATCCCAGAGCGACTCGGCGGCCACGCTGCCGTCGCGGCCACCAGTGAGCCTTGGAGACCACCAGGACCACCAGGATGGAGTGGATTAGGGGACATCACCAGGTACTTTATGGTTATTTTATATGGATTTATATATATATACAATATTTATATACATACATATATATATATGGATAATATATGGGATTTTATGGATCCATATGGGGGTTGTCCAAAATCTTTTTTCCCGGACAGCCCTCAATCGCTCAGCCAATCGCGTAGCAACCGCGGTACCACAGTGAGCAATCGCGGAAGGGTTTGTTCTTCGTTGATCAGATCATATACATAAAATATAAGTTATGTATTATATAATGAATCCTAGTAGGTTAGTAGTAGTAGTAGTAGCAGTAGTAGTAGTAGTAGTGTAGTAGTAGTAGTAGTAGTAGCAGGAGTAGTAGTAGTAGTAGTAGATTAGTAGTAGTAGGGTTATGTATTATATAATATCTAAAACAAAAAATAAAAGAACACAAAGGGGGGAGCAAAAGAAAGGGAGAGAGAGCGAGGGAAAGAAACAAATACTCGCGCTTAGCCGGTTTCTGACAGGTTTCTGACTGGTTTCTGACTGATTTCTGACCCTTCCGTGGAACTTTTGTCAAGTAGTAGATTAGTAGTAGTAGATTAGTAGTAGTAGATTAGTAGTAGTAGATTAGTAGTAGTAGATTAGTAGTAGTAGATTAGTAGTAGTAGATTAGTAGTAGTAGATGTAGTAGTAGTAGATGTAGTGGTAGTAGTAGTAGTAGTAGGAGTAGTAGTAGTAGTAGCAGCAGTAGTAGTAGTAGTAGATTAGTAGGAGTAGTAGTAGTACTAGTACTAGTACTATTACTGTTACTAGTACTAGTAGTAGTAGTAGTAGTCGTATCCGTACAACCAATCGCCAACCAATCGCTCAGCCTACTAGTAGTAGTAATAGTAGTAGTAGTACTGGTACTAGTACTGGTACTAGTACTAGTACTAGTACTAGTACTAGTACTAGTACTACTACTAGTACTAGTACTAGTACTAGTCGTAGTACTAGTAGTAGTAGTAGTCGTAGCCGTATAACCAATCGCCAACCAATCGCTGAGCCTATCGCGATGCAGGTTTTGGCAATCGCGCAAAGCAGAGTAAACGCATCAATTCATAATTGTGTTATCTGCTTTTACGGACGGCTCCCATATAAATCCATGGATAATATGGTATGTTATCCATTTATGCATCTATGTGGTATTGTTTAAGGTGTGTTTCTATTTTTATGGGCGGATTTTTTGGGTTTTTTGAGTGTTCAAATGAATGGATGGAACCATGATGGAACCATGAAAAGTTACGACATGATAATTAATGGTATTGATATGGATTAACCAACAACAATTTGCGAAGTATATTAGTGGTATTAACCAATATTGTTGTTAGGATATCAATACCAATTAACCATATATCATATCACTAACATGGTATTAACCAAATTGTGAAGTAAACCAGCAAAAATTAGGTTCAATGGAGTTCAATGGAGTGATATGAGTGAGAAACTTGAGCAACATCCGTAGGGATTTAGGGAGTACCTACCGATAAACGAAGATACTTTGGGGATCATTTACTTTACCAAGAATTGGGAATGGTCTGGAAGGGTTAAGAGTGGTGAACCTTACTATGGATAGGGGGTTGGTGGGGGTTGAACCATCACCCAAGCCCAACGGCCCAAGCGCCAAGAGACCCCAACTTCCTGAGTCCTTCGTGCTGGGTCGTGTCCTTGCAACTGGAAACCCCAGTAGCTCCGGTCAAAAGTGGCGAAAATGCCCCATTAAAATATGATTTTCGCAGTAAAACCTCCGTTTATAGGGGATGTTCCATTGCTACGTTTTTATTATACCAGTACCAGTTCGATGATTTTTCCGGCGAAAATCAAAGTCCATTCGGAAGGGATTTTCCATTGGGGTAAGCCAGTTTGGAGGCATCAAAAAATGGCGTTATATGTTATACACCTAGACAATCCTAGACACCATGGAAATGGTGGATCAAACAGGGATGCCAAACAGAATTCACCGACCAAGGGCCCGTCTTGGGGGAAAGTAACCATCCCCCTACGGAGTCCAAACTCTACGAAAAATACTGTAAGCTGATGTTTCAATTAAACCTCACCGATAGCTAAGTTGACTAACTGGGTCAAATAGGCTTATTTTTTATTGAGGATGATATAACTAGATAGTTTCATTGGGGGGTTCAAACCAACTTACAACTACAAGGCCCCAGCCTATTCCTGGTTGAAAAAATACACATCTTGCTTCACCTGCAAGGCAGACGCGCGTTTCCACTCCTGGTTGCTGTCGGTGGCTGTGTCGTAGCTGCCCAGGAGAAGCTGCTCCAACCTCGATGACAGTGGCAGGAAGCCATCCACAGTGATTTACCCTCCGGTAAACTGTCCCATAGCTATGGAACATCACTATAAAATCACCATTTTCAATGGGTAAATCCACCAACAAATGAGATTTAATGTTGACTTAATGAGATTTAACCAACAAATGTGGGGATAGAATGGGATACCGTCTGGCAATCAACATGTGGCAATGGAAAATCCATTAAAAATTGTTCTTTTAATGATTTAATGGGATGTTTCCGTACTAAACCGTGCTAAACCCAGCTTTTTGGGGGATGGTGATGTCACCCCTTTTGGCTGGAAGTCATAGCCTAGCGAAACTAGGATGCCCATGCGAAAGAGCATTGCCAATTACTGCATCGATACCCTGCAAAGAATATGCACACGGATATGTATATATATATATATTTATATTTATATTTATATTTATATCTACATTTTTTTATTTATATATATATTTATTTATATATATATATATACACACCTACACACACATATATATATATATATATGGGTGTGTGTGTGTGTATGTGTGTGTGTGAGCTGGTTAGTCGATTTTCCCGTTTTTGATAGAGCTTCAGCTGTGCTGAACTGGCCCTCTCCAGGCGGTTGAACCATGTTGAACCTGTGCCACTTGACCCTCTTGGATCCTGCCCTGACACCCCAAGTAGTGGATTTCCCCTCGGGAAAATGAGCCAAATCATCGGCAAATCGGAATGAGCTAGTCGTGGTTACCGCTGGGGGAGATCTATTTCAATAGATCTCAGATTTTGGAAGTTGATAAACTACAGTACCCTCCAGTACTTGAACCGGGCAACGGAAAGTCTGGAAAGTCTTCATTTGCTTCGATGATTGTCCTATAGACTTTCCCATTGCCGTGAATTGTCCAACATAGAGGGGATGTCTTTTTGAACTTTCTCTGGGTGATTCCCATGTCGGTGTACCCCCACCGTATTTCTGGATCTCCGAAGACATGGGGATGTGTCAGGTCATCTCCAGCAACCTTTTTAGGGTGTACAACATTGGAATTTAACCCCGTTGGCACCAGGTTCAACCCAAGGCCATAAGTCGTTAGTTTCTACCCTCTGGTAATTTGTAGCTATTGAAAATGGCAATTTATAGTGAGTTTTCCCATTAAAAATGGTGATTTTCCATAGCTATGTAAACGTTTACCAGACGGTATCCATTTTAGGTATTCCCCAGAGATAGAAACGATTTTCCCGTTTCCTGGGTTCCAAAGTATCACCAAACTAGGTGGTGCCCTCCCAGTTGTAAGTGAGTTTATAACCATTATAACCACCATTCGCTATAGATATACATATCGTAAAACCCTATAATTATAGTGAAATTGGAGTTATAAAGCAACTTAGCTGACAGAAATAAACTATACATCCCACTAAATCACCCTTTGTGTTGCTTAAATCACCATTTTCCCTATGGTGTTCCACCATTTTTGTTGATAAAATCACCATGTTCTTCTGGCTTTCGACCTTGGACCCACGTCTTTCCGAAACCGCGCAGCTGTTTCAGGGCGATCTGGGAGTGGCGCATCGTCTCAAACTCCACCGTGGCATCGCGGCCCAAAACACCAAGCAGAATATCTTGACCCCCCGGGTGCTTCGCCATGTAGTCCTTCCTTGGGCAGTGATGAGCAGGATTAATATCTATCCATATGTGTGTGTAATTATGCATTTGTTGCTGTAATTTATTGATTTAATTTTGTATATGATTTGTGTTTGTTTGCTTTTATATAGATACTTACTTGTATTTTTTATGCATATTCATTGGTATATGTATGCACAAGTATGCATGTACACATAAACATCATGGGGATATTGGAAAAATCCTTGTCCATCGCATCGACATGCATCGACCATGGCTGCAGCTGAGTCTCACATCGTAGACCTTGCCGAAAATGATGAGCCATCCGTTCCTTAAGGAATGGCTGATCCGGAAGCCACAAAGCAACACCTATTCCCGTAATTGATGTCCCATTTGTAGTGGATTTCCCATTGAGAAAATACTGTAAGGCAAATCATCTTAACCATGCAAATTTATGTTAAGTCATAATCCCATTCATATTCCATTGTCCCATCAGTATATCTAATAATCCCTTCCCCCTAATATTAAACACCCCCCAGAAACCATGGTATAGTAGGGGATTTCCACATGATTGGGACCATTTAGGGAGCGTTTAATATTAGGGGGGTGGGATTATTCCAGTAATATCCCAATAATGTCCCGGCAAATCCAGGATTCTGCTCCACTTCTGCGATGCTAATGCGCCTTGCAGGCCTTGCCCCACTGCCACTAGCCCCGTCATGGCCGCTGACGCGGCCGTGCCGGTGGGGGCATGGCAGGTTGCCCATGGTGGGGCGGACACGCGTTGTTCAGCACAAATTGGGTTTGAGAAGTCATTGAATCTCCATCACTGAGATCTTCTTACACATTTTGGCCTTAGAAAAACTCTTCTGGGCAACATACATCAGAAATAAACCAAACTGACCCGGGATGTCTCAATTCTGACCATCATTTAATCCCATGGCCAGCCATGGGGTCGCCCCAACAGTGCCAGAAATGGTCCTTCGAAGCTGCGGTATGCAACAGTCACGGGGGTTTCCTAAGTCATGGACGTACCCCAAAATGGATGGTTTATAATGGAAAATCCTATTTAGTATTCTAAAGTGACCAATTGAGCCAAATGGGGATAGCTCAAAACCAATGAAATTGAAATTATTAAATTATATATCATATATAACCATCCATTGACCAGCTATTTTAGGGTACCGAAGCTTCCAGGGTTTTGACTCATAACCATATGCGTGTTTGCATTTATAACACCAGGCTGCTCACATTGATTCTACAGTTTTTGATACATGTTACACCACATGTTCTAAGCCAGACACTTGTCATATCCTGTCATCTTGAAACCAAACCAGACAGTGATATTTAAAAAAAAAAACTGAGGCAATGGCTAGTTGTAGAACACACAGCCATCTTAGAGATCTGGATGAGTTCTGGATGATATCTTTGAAACCATCAATGACAGTTGGCCTCTATTTTCCCTCAAGTCAGCTTCACACTTGGCTACCTTCAAAACATTTTACAACTAATACAACCGGTTTTTGTGGACGTACCCGGCAATCAAACACGGCAAGCTGGGAATTTCCCGATGATTTGTGAGTTTTTAATGGAAAAATCATCTATATAAACAAGTGGGAGACTATGGGTAGCGGCGTGCCCCACAGTCTCCCAAACCACGGGTTTTTTTCAAACCCTCCTCGTAGCCGATTTCTTTGCAGAACTGGAGGAAGTCATCGCAAGAGATCCCTTCTTTGTCCTGTTTCGTGGCTTCAAAAATCCATGGGCAAACCTTGGACCACGGCTTGAAAAAACCCATGGGCAACCCTGGAGATGACCTCAACCAGGTGCCTAAAAACCCAGCCCAAAGAAAGGCACGGAAAATTCTTGCCCCGGCTATGGATAGTTTGGGATGATATCCCAGGTATCCAAAAAATTAGACCCCAACTTCCCCCCAAAACCATTGCCAGCGGCAAACAGAAACCATATTAGGACATTACCAAGTACAGTGTAGCTACAGGCTTGAAATTATGCGCATATGTATGCAAATACAAGTATATATAATTTAAATTCATAATGTACGCCATTAATAATTACATTTCCCAAGTTATCGAGAAAAAAACACATACCCTCTGGCGATCATAGCCCCGGTTTGCAGATGATTTACCTTTCGTTTTAATGATGGTTTTCCCTAGTAAACTGCTAGATTGCCATATTCCATGGAAATATCCTACAAACATAGTAAACATAGCATCAAAAATATCCCTATCCCGGAGGGGAAAAAAAAGGTAAAAATCACCAACAAACTCCTTCAGGCTCCACCATTTCTCTGCAAAAAATTCCCATGATGGTTGGTTATCAATCTCCAATCCAATCAAATAGGATCAAATCACCATGTAATTCATGGGTTCAATCAGTTGAACCATGAAAAAACACCCCCTCATCCTATGAAAATTGCACTAGTGGCTATTTTAAAGTTTCCCTAATTATGGATTATCATCCCCAAAGAACTTCGGTAATTTTTCACTCCCAAGAATTTCACCAATCAACCAGGATAGATATTTGGAATGATTGCGGAGTGAAATCTCCATATTTTTCTCATGGTTATGTCTCGTTACATCAGTGAAATCTGCCCATTTTTTCATGGCTGATTGGTTCAAAACCATTCAAATACTAATTTTCATGCTTCACACTGTGGATGGGCCAGCGAAATCCTGCACCACCTAAAGGATGGTTGACACCCAATGGGATGTTGACCACCTATCAACTGCTGCAAGATTTCGCAACCATCCACCGTATCCCCAGGCGCCTGCCATGGCTTCAACTGCGCCTGTGTGGGCGCGTAGCCTTCCAGCCGTGCCAAGTGTGCCAGCTGCGGGGCCGTTTAAGGAGCCCTGGGCCTGGCGCAAACAAGTCGATTTCATGGGGACTTTCTGTGGATTTGATGTGGTTTTCATGTGAGTTTATTCAAGTTTATCTTGATTTTATTGGAATTTTAGATGGATTTTAGGTGATTTTACGGGATTTCATGGCGATTTCATGGGGATTTCATGGGGATTTGAGGATTTATGAGGATTCGGAATGGGAAGTTGTCCCGATTTGATCGGGTGAGGTTAAAATCGAGATTCACATTTAACCAAGACGATTGAGATTTCATGAGCATTAACCAACAGAAATAGTGATTTTGGTTGGATATGAAAAGATATTATATATATATATATATATGTTATATAGTACCAACAGTATGGTGTTTGAGCAAAAGACAGGCAGGGTATCAGGGTTGTGCGAAAGCCCTATCGGAAATAGGGAAATCAACGTTGTCCGTTCATTTTTTGGGAAAACATGTGCAGTTCATAATGTTCATTATAATTGGAAATATTGGGACATAAAGGGAAAAAGTCGTTCAAATCATAAGGGGGCTTTACACTTCAATGACATCTCCATTAGCTTCTCATGCTGAAAATCATGAGGTTGGGACCTAGTTATAGGGAGATCTACCAGTTTCCGACTGGGAATTGTTAGGTTCCCTGAAATGGAGAATTTCACCTTCAGAAATGCGGATTACCCTCTGGTAAACTGTCACATAACTATGGAACATCACCATTTTTAGTGGGAAAATCCATGAAAATCCACTATAAATGGCCATTTTCAATAGCTTTTTGTAAGTTTACCAGAGGGTAGTCGGGTTGAACAAGGGGGATCCCAGGTGTCCCATCGACAACTTCCCTTGGAGACGGAGTCGGAAATTTATGGCCTCAATCCATTGAGGTATTTGCGTCGACATGGGAGGACCTGTATAACATGTTTACATATGAATCACATGCGCATGTATACATATTTAAATCTATATATACATGTGCGTGTGTGATTACATATGATTATATATGATTACGTATGATTATGTATGATTATAATTATATATTATTATTAAATTATTATATATGATTATATACAATATGATTATATATGAATGGAGCGGTGATCTGAAAAACAAAAAGTTAAGCAGCAAAACAAAATGAATATGTGTTGGTCTTATTTCAAAATGTACCCTCCGGTAAATCAAACATAAACCTCCATGGCGCCTTCACAAAGTCTTCATAGGCCACAGTAAGTCGCCGCACCTGGCCACTCTTTAAATAAAACATGAACAAATAAATGCCAGGAGATTTATCTGGGTAAACTATCATATCATAGTATTTGACTAACCTGAAATAAGGCTATATGATTCACCTTCCTAACCATGATTCCAGTGAGGGAGAACAGTGAGGTCGTTCAAAAAATTACCCAGACAAATGCCATGAGATTTTATGCACATGATTCATCTCATACATACCCTCTGGCAATTTAACGTAGCTATTGAAAATTGCCATTTATAGTGGATTTTCCCATTAAAAATGGTGATTTTCCATAGTTATGTGACAGTTTACCAGAGGGTATGTTTTTTTCATAAAAGAACCAAACATGCCCTTGTTTTCGCAACCGGCTCTTCGCAAAGGCTTGGCGGCTCGACATCTCTGGGGGTCCAAACACTTTTTTGGCCAATTCACCTATAAAAAATGCCCCTTTTTTGTTGTGGGTGAAATCCCTATAAAAATCACCATCAAATCGCCCTAAACTACCCATCAAATCGCCCTAAAATAACCATTTTATCCCCCAAAATAACCAGTTTATCCATTGGAACCCAGGATTTCGAACTGCTTTTTTCGTCACCAGCGCCTGATCAGCGGCACCTGCGGCCGCTAGAGGGCACCCAGTTGAGATCGGAGAGATTTTTTGGCCACGTGGAACTAAGAAATGGCTCGATTTTTGAAGCCACTTGTAAATGACTCCTCAAAATTTTCGAAAAATCTACTGTACAGCATGGGACTAAAACAACCATTTCATGGTGATTTCATATGATTTCATGATTTGATGGTGATTCGTGGAGAGATTTGACCATGGAAAATCCGTGGGAACTAGCCTCTGGTGTCATCAAATGTGGTTGACTGGGAAAAAAAAACCAAACAAAATGAGATTTGCTGGGAAAATCAATGAAAATCATCTGTACATGGTGGACGTTAGCTATGTTAAATAACCAGAGGCTATTTGGAACATATTGACAGCAACATCCAAATTAAGTACGGGGATGGTGTTAATGATTTGAAAAAACTCACAACAACTCTTTTTCAGAGACTGTCCGTTGGCGAATCTTTCCACGTCACATCCAGAGGGTAGAAAGTCACCTGGTGATTTCATGTAAATCCATGGCCAATGATGGGGAAAATCCTTTATACATATATATAATTATACACATATTACCAAACAACAACAACAACAACAACAACAACAACAACAACAACAACAAAAGAACTACCGTAACCTGTCGTATAGTACCTGGCACCATCCAGTGGCCTACCACAATCACTAGCCGCACCTTCCATAAAGCTGGCGACGTGAGCAAGGTGTGATGTATTGCACTTGGCTATCTTCCCCACTTTAGTGGTTCAATAACCCCCCTTGATGATACAAACTTGCCATTGTCTGGAGTCTACTGTCTACTCATGTTGCAAAAATCGAAGTGGACGAAGTTGAAATATCTTCGCCTGCCGAGACAAAAAAAACGGATCAGAATCTGAGTTCCCTGCAGAATCCTTGAGACTTCCATCAATTTCTTAGGTTTCCAGCTGATCATTTTGATGGTTTCTTGTCTTGATCAATGGCAACTCGGTGAAACGCTCGAGAAACAACTCCAAATGTCGAGCTATGCCGCTAACCTTAAACAGGAAACACACGTGTATGTATATATAAATATGTATTATGATTTATTCATTTATTTATATTTCTACTTATATTGAAATTTATGTTTATATTTGTATTTATATCATTGCATATCTACAGGCAACCTGATGCATACATGTATCAATTAATGTATCTGATCATATTTCATTTCATCACAGGTATATCTGTGTGTGTGCACGTGTTAGGTTGATGCATACTAGTATTAATTAGTCATAATCCTTAATTGTGAGATCCATTTCTATGGTCATTTGAGATTTCTAATATGCATATTTTTTAGACAAATCCCATGATTAATCATTATATAATGCAACCTAATTAATGATTAATTAATACTACTAATAATGATTAGTTCTAATTAATCATTAATACTACTACCACATTTTAATAATCAATATCCAATGAATTCTAGAAATGTGGATTTTTCTGTGGAATTTTCGAACAAATCGTCATTTGATAGTGTGGAGGCCATAGCCATCTTTTTGGGTGCAGGTGATGGATCCGTCAATGACACATTGTTCCCATTGTTCCCTAAGATTCCCACGATTCTTCGGGAAAAAAATCACATGATTCAATCATTGATCATCAAAACTGATCTCAAAACTGAGGTAATTCATGATCATTCCCATAGTTCCCCAAGATTTCCCGAGACATGTTCACCCTAACCCCCAAAAATCCACGGAATCCACGTCTTGGCTCCGCGAAAAACGCTCCGCTCCGCCGGCACGACGTTTTCTCCGCGTCATCGCGGCTCTGTTTTCTCCTTGGCGGCCTCGGCCAGATCGGCCAACAGCTGTCGGAAGGCCCAGCTGACCACGAAGCGCAACCAGCCGCAGCAGGGGAAGGGCCTTGGGATGGCAGTTTTCGGCAGTTTTCACAGTTTTCCGTGAAGAAAACCACCAGTAGAAACCTGGTTGGAACGCTAGATTTTCGAGTAGAAAACTCATGGCGCCGTATGTGAAAAAAAAGGCGGTTTACCACATCTGATCGAACTTGACCTGGCAGACCTGGCTCCGGATCATCCACCGTCTCCACATGGTGGCACTACCATGAAGGCATCAGGGGGTTACCTCAGAAACCATGGTTTAGGGAATTTACACGTATTTGGCACCATAGAATGGGCTGTTTAAGATGAACGGGGCATTAGATAGATAGGATAGGATAGGATAGGATAGGATAGGATAGCTAGCTAGATAGATAGATAGGGATAGATAGGGATAGATAGAGATAGATAGATAGATAGATACACAGTATATCTGAGATCCGCCGGACAGCTCCAAAAACTCCCCCATCCACGCCACGGCGCGTGAAGTTGGAGGTCCAGGTGATCACCGTGTTGCCCTCCACGTCTTGGAAACTCACCCGCGCGCGGTTGTAACCTTGGCTTTTCATGGCAAAATCACATGGAAAATATGGGAAATTCATGGGAAATCCCGCAATAAATGGAGGTTTATGGTTGGAAATTGGTTGGGAACATCGAGTTTTTGAATTCAGATGATGAAACTATGAAACCAGAAATGATCATTTCAGCAATCATCTCTCCGGATCAAAACAGCACCTTGAACTCCAAGCAAATCACTGCCGTCAATGGATTGGTTTAAGGGAAAATCTATAAAATCTTAACCGGAAACCATAGATTTTCCCATTATTCATATGGGGCTTTCCTGTAATCTTTCCCTTAAACCAATCCAATGATTGTAAAATCACCTGCCAGGTGGTGCCTTGTCGATTCTGTTGATATATCTGCCATTGCCAAACCTCGTGAAGCTACAATACTTACCGGCATCATTGGTTCCCAGGTTGCTCAAAACAATAGGCTACCCCAAAATCCAGTGGTGCAAATCATCATGTTCTCCATCTTTCTTCATTTTCAGACACCCATATTCTGTTGATGAAATATTGAAATCAACCAGTCCGACAGTCATCTTTCGTAAGCACTTAATACTCACCCTAAACTGCCGGTTGAATCCCCAAGAATTTCTTGATTTGTGCTGCTAGAACCCGATCAAATCCCATTAAATCCCCTGGTAAACAAACGTAACTATGGAAAATCACCATCTTTCATGGGTAAATCCACTATAAATGGCAATTGTCAATGGCTTTTTGTTAGTTTACCAGAGGGTAAATCCCCTGGTGTTTTCCATGGTTTTCCCATTTAAAGCTCCATGGTTCAAAATTGCCTCATGCGACTGGTAGGCCACGGCTTCTCAATGGTATACTCCAGAAACTGGCCTCGTTCGGCCTCGTTCGGCGCTCGTGACAATCCTGGGTTTACCACCGGGCCTTCCATTGTAACCATTCATTAACCATCAATTATAGACTTATAACCTTTAATTCGGTTATATATCCCCATAGAATGGGGATATATTAAATCAATGGGCACAATCATTAGTTTGTATGCCCATTCATTAACCATCATTGATAATACAGTGGATGGAAGAAATCCTACACCACCAAAAGGATGGTTGAAACCCTATAAATAATGGGATAAACCATCTATCAACTGGTGCAGGATTTCGCAACCATCCACAGTATGTTCCATATATTTTTCCCATAAAACACCATTTCCTCCACCTTCCACCCTCCAACATGCTTGGAGCAAGTCGCCTCTACAACCCGCTCCACGATGAACAGCCCCACGCGCCGCGCGCAGCCGCGGCCGGACCTCGGGTCGCCTTCTTCCAAGATCTGGGGGACGCCCAGGCTGCCACCTGCCATGGTGTCGGATGATGATTTTTGCAGGTAAAACTGGAACAATGGCTACAAACCAATAAGAATTCAGAATGATATTTATAACCTTAAGATGATTTTTGGGGGTAATAAAATTGTGAAAAATTGCTATATACATGAATAATTTGAATAATAATAATGATGTTTATAAATATATATATATATATATATATTTATATATTTATATTTATACCTTATAACAAAGCATGGTGATCGCCAAGCTACAGCGCATGGATTTTGTGCCCTTTGACATTGCACGTTCCAAGCAAGATCCACCTGCCAGGTGAGGGTCTCTGACGCCCGCCTCAGTGGTGCCGGACCTCAACTGCCCTTTCGCCAGATCTCAGTGCCGGACCCCAATTATGAGCGCAAGAGGCCACATAGAATGTCAGCATAGGAATATATGAATGTCAGAATATATGCCAGATAGCATGTCAGAATGCCTATGCCCGTTTTTTTACAAAACCGGACGGTATGTCAGAAACTATGTCAGAATACTGTGGCGGGGATCACTCGAAGAAAGTAATACTTGGGAGGTGTCACAGCTGGTTCTAACATGTTCTAAGCGTAAAACCCAGACACCATGTGTATTTAAACATGCATTTATGTATACATATTTAAATGTATAGCATATATATATATGTGTGTGTGTGTGGCTATGCTAATGTTGAATCATGGTTAATAACGATCAATGTGATTGGATTTTTTGCTGGTTAACAGGGGCTTTATGATTATATATGATGATTTTATGATGGATTCATAGGCATCTAACCAACCAGCATGGGGATATTCGTGTGAAACGCATGTTCTCACAATCTTTTACAGTTTGCAACTTGGTTACATGTGGTTGGCTAACAACTCTCCCATGGCTGGCTGAACTCGCGTTCGAAACTTCCAAGCTCTCGTCCCCAGACTCAACAGCTGAACCCTGCAGGATCAGAAAGTAGGTGGAGCATTGTGGTAAGCCCAATATTTTTTTCTTGATTTATCATCCCCAGGTTGTTTTGTCTGTTGTGCTGTTGTTGTTTTTTTGTTGTTACGGGGTGTGCCATGCAACTTTAGTTGTAAAAAGAGTTTCGAATCTTGGATTTGCTCAAAATTGCCGGAAAAAAACAAATATTCAGATGCATTCCCTATAGATTCCCCAAATGGTGGATTGAACAATGCGGTTAAAAAAAAAAAATTGCCGACTCGGCAAATCCAGGAAATGCGTGGTTACTTGGATTCTTTATGACGCGCACACCTTGTCTCCAAATCAACTCCAGAAACTCATCGTAGCATTGTTCCTTGGCACTGGAACTGGAGGGAAAGGAGAGCCTCCAAGCATACAACTTGCCAACACTCAGCCGCTCCCAGTTGTGTGATAACCAACTACGGGGATGCTCGCTATATTTTCTATATTAGGGTTTTATGTTATGCCTAGAGTTCAAGGACTTGCGTTTGCCCCTCTACCATCCTCTTACCAAGCAACCAACCAGTCAGAAACCTCCCGAAATCACCATGATTGGAAGCTGATTAGCTGATAGCTACCTCGCCTGGTCTCATCCATTTCCCCGCATAGTGAACATCCGCCAAAATCCTTGCTTTAGTAGTGAGTCACACCGTATAGTGGATCTATTCATGGATCTCCCTCTCTCTCTTTCTCTCTCTGTCTCTCCATTGCCCAAGAATATTTAAAGTGCTAAAAACTGACGGTCTCGGACCGTTCTTGGACGTTGAGATGTCGAAAAAGTGCGTGCACAACAACAACTACAGCTACAACTACAACTACAACTACACTACACGACACCTACAACTACAATACAGTAAATTACACCTACAGCCGCAGCCTACAACTCAACTACCTCTACCACTACGCTACACTACCACTACACTACAACTACAATACACTACACTACCACTACGCCTACACTACACTACAATTGCAACTACAACTGCAACTACAACTGCACTACACCACACTACATCCAGCAGTTGTGGGTGAGGTGACCGACCACTCCAAAAGCACAACTCGAACCACCTTTCGGTCGATCAGTTCGCTCTGTCATAAATGAATCACAACAACTCACCTCTCCTATAGTTTCCTATCTTTTGAGACCTCCGCAACCACCTTGTGCGGTACTACTGGCAATGTATTATATTATGGGTACCCTCTGGTAATCAAACATGGCAATTGAAAATCATCTATAATGATGTTAAAATGGGAAAATCATCTATTAATGGTGGATTACTATAAATGATCTTCCCATCATAAGAAGACGGCAGGTTCCTTCCTGGCCATTCTTCATCTCCAAGAGGGATCCCTCCCAAAGCCAAGGTGCCACATCTAGCCGCACGAACTGCTCCTTCGGATTCTGCAACAACCCCGGGAGCTGTTGTGAATCGTAGCAAATCACTTTTTTGGGGGTTACCTCTTTATTCATCGAGGCTTAAAAAACGCGCTTGACGTTAAGATGACGAGTTGGAAATTCATTCTATACTGGATCGTAAGCTCGCGACAAACCCCCAACAAAATCAGAAATGTGACCACAAACCGACAGCGTATACCCAACAGAAAACTGTAGTAACCCCAAGAGAGAAAAGTCAGTTACCATTGTTTGTATAGGATTTTACCAACTTCTATCTTTTTGGGGTTGCTATTTTCGCTATTGGGCACCTCTTGTCCAGATCAGAAACACATCTTTCCATCACTGAGTCCTCCTTCACTGTGGTGCTGCCCACGTCCATGGCGAGTCCCTGCGGCAACCCCGTTGCTCCGAAGCCAAAATTCGGCAAGTCGTCTTCGTTCACTGCGCAGTGATTAAGCCGCAGTCACGGTGATGATTCAAGTGTTTAGACCCCCAAAGAGGGAAAAAAAAGAGGAAAACATGGTCGCCTGGTGGCATAGCACGGCTGTGATATGCTGTGACCAGTTGCGAAGTGATGATTCTTGGACCGATGCATCTTGGATCATCTTGGCCGCCAGTTGAGTCAGTAATGATCCGAAAAATGCCACGGATGTTGGTGGTTTCCCTTTGAACCACAACAGCTGCCACGGATCACGACGAAATGTGAGAAAGGCCTTCAGCTGTCTACTAACCAAAAAAAAAAAGTTACTGTATTTGTTCTGCCTCTACTTTGCTGATAAACTGAATATTCGGCTATTAATGGTTTAAATCCATTATGATCAACGTGGACCATGCAGGACTTCAAAGTGATCATGCCAACTGCACAAGTGAAACCACAAGACTCCGCAGTGGCACCATTTGCAAACTTTTTGGCCATTAAGAAGAAGATCCTTTGGAGGTTTCTTTCTCAGAATCTTATTAAATACCACCTAAAGGAACCACAGTTGAAACCTTCGAACATCTAATGCCATGATAGAGTCAGCTTTAGTAACAAAAATGCTCGGATGTCCATTCAATGTGAACCAGATGTTTTCGACAACAATATTGTGTTTACTTTATCTGCAAGTTATTGCCAAAAACTCAAGGTCCCTTCCAAAAACAGCTCAGTTGTCCAACAAAACTACCCTCTGGTAAACTAACATAGCTATGGAAAATGGCCATTTATAGTGAATTTACCCATGAAAAACGGTGATTTTCCATAGTTATGTGACAGTTTACCAGGTCGGGTACCTTGAAACACCGAAAACGACCTGTCAAGAAAGGTCGATCTTCGAAGGCGGATGATGCTGGTTACCTCTGGGGCCTCCTACACTTCCACAGGCCCCACATATTCCGCCACCTGACCAGACGCCATGTTTCGATTCCATGATCTTCCAATGATACATGGAAGAAATGTCCCACTTTGGAATCGCTAAGTTACCTAAAAAACCATTTTATAACCTCCAATATCATCAATATCACCTCAGTTTGTGATACATTTGCATATATCTATAGTCTTCATAGGGAGGTTTTCCAAGCAACATGGCCATCACAGTGGGGTGTTTATAGGTCTTTATGGGTTTTTCTTGTGATTTGGGATCAGCAAACTGGCTCTGTAAATTGTTACTGGGTCAAATATCGAGCAATATCCCCCTAAGACCGCATTGTAGTTAGTTCATGTGAATTATATCCCAGGTACATTGGCCATATCCCAAATACCCTCTGAGAATCTAAACTGGCAATGGACTTGTCCCCAGCATTTGATGATTTTCATGGATTTTCCTATTCTCTTGTGCACATTTATGGAGATTTCCCTGCCAGCTTTGTGGCTGCTAACCAATGGCCCATCCAATCCCTATGGCTTGACCGGTCAACTCCAGCCCTTTTTGGCCTCCTAGTTGATTTCAAATGTGTTTAACTACAGTTGAGGATACGGTAGACATGAATCTTCTATTGGCTTAAGCATAAACTACTTTTTTCCTGGTGACTTCCAACCCTTACTCGCAAAAAAAATGGACAGTTCGACCCTGAAATCTTCCACTCTTCCGACCAACTCCTGGCAGGGTCCATTTGGTGGCGCCATGGTAGGCTCAAATTCCCGCCACAGAACTAGTCACAAACAGAAACAAATACGTTATTCCATGGATTTACCCAACTGTAGTTATATCACCATACTATTCCATAGTATACTATAGTTGTACTATTTACCACACTATAGTTATACATAGTGATTGTCCAAAATTTACATGTCCAACCATGCATTGCCATTGAAAACCTGAAGAAAAACAGGAAAAAGTGGCGAATTTCCCCCATTTCTTGGGGGGTGAAGTTGGTCCCAACGAAATCCACGGCAGGCCCCACACACCTGCGGCAAGGCCCGTGCCCACGAGCTCCAGGAGGCGGGGAGCTCCAGGGCTGGTGGCTCAGGGCACCACAATCTGGGAACGACGAAAAATGCTTCGTCAATGTTGATCATAAATTCGTAGAATTTCCCCGGATATCAATTCTCCTGGCATATTTATTTATATATATATATGTATAATATATATATGTATAATATATATGTGTATAATATATATATTTATTTATTTATTTATTTATTTACTTATTTATTTACTTATTTATCCATTCTATCCCCATGAAAATCGCACTTAAAACATCTCCCTTTCCCGGGCAAAGTCGAGCCACGGTCCGCACAGCAACCCCTGCCCAGTCTGCTGCTGCTCTCGCAGCGCGCACACACGGTGCAGCAGGGCTTGGCAGGCCAGGTGCTCCTGAGAGGGACAGCTAGTGGATATATGATATGGGTATGAGTCAAAATGTAAGACCTGGGGGACCACAGATTTAAGTCTATTTTTAGTATTCACCATCCAACTATCGGGGTACTCAATTTTGACCCATACCCATATAGCTATGGTAAATGGGCTTGAGACTGTGTAAGGTGGTGCCCCATAATTGGGATGGTTGGGTTCTTTTTGATACATCTAATGCCAGTTATAAACCAGTTTTCAATGGATTGGTCGAAGGAAAATTTTAACCGGAAACCCCCATATGTATCCATATGTCGTGGCAAAATCCCTGGTTCCGGCTTCGATTTTCCCAAACAAACCAATCCATTTTCAGTTTACCAGTGGTTAAATCATGCTAAAACTTGGGTCTAAGATGGAAATCTGATGGCAAACGACTAGGTAAATCCAAAAACAAAAAAAGGTGGGACCCTAGGCGACCCGTTCCGAAGTTCTGAATGCGTCATCAAAAAGGGTAATATATATTAACCTGGGGCCTAGGGTAAATGATAGGGATTTAATCAATGGGAATTCCAGGATCCTAAAATGGAGGTACTGTATCATATTTTTGGCCATGTTTTGGGGGGATATTCCCTTACATAGGCCTAAAAAAATCTAAAAAATAGGCCTTGTGTATGGTAGGTACCTCCAATTTAGGATCCTGGAATTGCCATTGATTTTACATGATTTGACCATTCATTATCCCTTCATTATCCATAGTCAAAAAAACGATTTCACCCATAACACGGTGACTTCAATGGAGATGAGCTCCGCGCCAGACCCAGAATCATCTGGTGGGACTGTTCAGCAAATTGGCTTCTCAAAATGGGTGGTACGGTCCAAAGGGCTTGTTTAGTGGGGAAACTGATGATTAATAGTGATTCATGTTGATGCTTGGTTGATGTTACATGTTTTCAACAGATCAGAAACCATGCCTCTTAGTTACAAACCACTTGAAGATCGGAGAACCCTGGCTGCAAAGGCTGTTGGAGCAACCCAGCAAGCGCAAATCATTGGCGCAGGTCTTTTGCACCACAAAAAATGGACGAAATCCACGGCTTCAACATCCACATCCCGTGGTTTCCCTGTCATGACTCCCTTGTGAACCGAATTTTGCTGGTTTCGGAGCCCACATTTCCTGAGAGAACTCCGTCCCGTCGCTCGCCTCCACCGACACAGCTGGGAGGCTCTCAACCTGCGGGCCAGGAGAGATTCAGGCTACTCTGTCTGTCTTTCCAGTGGCTTATTACACCAACAATGACTGGTTGGTGGTTTGAACCCTCTGAAAAATATGACTTCGTCAATGGGAAGGATGACATCCCATATATTATGGAAAATATAAAATGTTCCAAACTACCAACCAGATGAAATTCCACAATAGTAGCGGCGTAATATACACACTTGACATTGACCTTTGAAAAAAAAAAAACATTTAAAAAAAAAACATTCCACTTCAGGAAACCTGATTCCAATCATCTCGTGTCCTGGATTTACTGCTTAAAATGCATCTGCTATCTCAACGATGGAAGCCTCAGTGGACCTTTCTGGGACCTTTCTCTTGCCAGGTCATTGGGGGGCTGTTCCTTTGATACCCTGATATATGTTGATTATCCTTTGGAAATACCCTCTGGTTATAGTGATTTAATGGGATTTTATAGTGATTTAATGGGATATTAATGGGATATACCCTCTGGCTATGACTAACATAGCTATTGAAAATGGCCATAGAAATAGTGGATTTTCCCATTGAAAATGGTGATTTTCCATAGTTATGTTAGTTTACCAGAGGGTAATTATGAGCGACTTGTTTGGCCCGAATCATTCGCTAACAGATATATTTCTTTTCAAATGAGGATTTGTTTGAGTGGGATTTGTCGGAGTGAAAAACGACAGAAACCACATGAGCAATTCTTCACAACCGAAATTTGAAAGCTTGAGCACAGCGAAACCACTGTGTGAGAACCCTCCAAGTCATACAGACATGGACTTTTAAAAACTACAAGGTCATGCCCCCCAGTTCCAAGTTGGTCTATAAGTCCATTAACTATAGATATATCACCTATAAACCATAGTTATTGGAGTTATAAACCCCACAAGTTTCCTCTCCACCCGTCTCAGCTAGGCGCATCTCCAGGCCGCATCTCCCCCCCTTGGTTTCCGAGCCCTTTGGAGGATCTCGGCAGCCTCCCGGAATGGTGGCGGAAGGTGGATCTATTGGATAAAACTACCGGTATCTACGCTCTGGTAATTTAACATAGCTATGGAAAATCACCTTTTTTAATGGGTAAATCAACTATTTCTATGGCCATTTTCAATAGCTATGTTAAATTACCAGAGGGTACTGGTAGTGAAGCGTGGCTGGAAAATCTCCTATAAACTGAGATTTTATGGGGAAATACCTAAAGATATCCCCAATAGATCCCATTGTATCCCTCAAAAAAATTGATGGCGAGTCCCTACCCCGGATATTTATCCAGAGATTGATAGCCATTACCTCATTATATTCCCATTCGTTATAACTCCCCATAATCACGCCCCTTCTATATGAATCTAGAAGAGCCCCCAAACAAGATAGAGAAAAAAATGCAGGATGTGAAGTAGATTAGATGTTGTTGAATTTCCCATATTGTTTTGGCGTAAATCTTTAATATCTGTGGCTGGGGGTTGCTACAATGGAGAGCTGTTGGTTACATCCAATTAATCATGAGATATATTCTTGGCCAAAAATGCTGGTGATATCTCTATTGAGCTCATCTATAACATTCTACAATTTAAAATTCCTGTGATATCGCCATCAATATCCTCATTAAAATTAACCATCTCCAGTGCCATATTTGATTTGCCCAGCGCCATATTATTTCACTAGACAACGTATCTTGATGGTGGATTATTGGTATCCGAATGTATCCCACGTTATCCCACTAATATCCCACTAGGATCACCATCAATTCTATCGAATTAGCCATATTGCAATTTCTGGGTTCTAAGTTACAATGATACCCCCATTGATATCCATGAAATTGTGATATTGTACGTATATCTCTGGTGGATGACCATATCAAATGGTTGCTAAAATGTGAATCTTCCCTGGATAACCATATCACGATGTCCCACGATTCCCCTTTATCCCATGTCCCAAAACCATTTCACATACCCTCTGGTAAACAAACATAGCTATTGAACATGGTGACTTATAGTGGATTTACCCATTAAATGGCGATTTTCCATAGTTATGTTAGTTTACCAGAGGGTATACTAATGGTGATATTAACGTATTCAATGGATACAGCACTAGCAATGTTATAGTAGCCATATCAAGCCTTTGATGGTTTATTTCTTGGTTGGAAATATCACCATTAATATCCATGAAATCGTGAGATGGCAAATACCTGATGGATAACTATATCGCCATTCCCATGCTATACCATCAAAATGCACATATATACTGTAGATATTAAATAGGTTCATTAACATCAATCAACATCAATTAACCATATCACAATTTCTTAGCTGTAAATTCTCATGGCATCCTCATTTCTTGGTTATTAAATAAACGGTTTATCAATATCTAAGAAAGATTGTCGTAGATACTTCATACTCTAAGATTCAGTATCTCAACCCCCACGATTGGATACTCATATATATATATCACCATTCATGTCCATGAAGATCTTAGTATGGCTTTATTTCTATATAATCACCATTCATTAAAAAATCGGAACATCCATCAATATGTTATCCATTTCTATGAATATGTGATTACCCTCTGGTAAACTAACATAGCTGTAGAAAATCACCCTTTTTAGCGGGCAGATCAACTATTTGCATGGCCATTGTCAATAGCAAACTGATAAATTACCAGAGAGTATGGGATAATTATGCAAATAATCCACCAATAGTCCATTAATGAATTCATTGGGATTATCCATTGAAGTGTCATCCATTTCCATGAATCTGGGCAAATTATAATAATTTATTAACCTGAAATATTGGAATAATTCCCCCAAAATAAACCATTATTCCAGTGAGGGAGAAGAGGGTTCGGTCATCAGAATCTTACCAGATGAATATATAGTGGTTATAAATAGAATGTCATTAATATGATGGTTGATAGAAATAGCATTGAACTCGAGGTTGATTTATAGAAATACCCAAATGAATTAATAAACCACTATTTCAATCAATTGCCAGTAAATCTTGAAATTTTACCCATCTGGGTATTGAAATCTCCGGAATACCAGTGGTCTATTGAAATATCTGAAATATTATCCCATTAGATACTCCCATTCTACTACCATTTATGTTGCTTAAATCACCATTTGTCCTATGGTTTTCCTATGGGTTTCATGGTGAAATCACCATTTTTCCTATGGTTTCCTCCAGTTTCATGGCTCAAAAGCCGAAAAAAACTTCGCTTGGAGTCGCCTCATCCCAGTGCCCACAGCAGCCCGCCGCGACCGCCGAAGTGGCCAGGCCCTGAAAAAATCTCATGGAATTTACCATGCAAAATATATATGGCAAAAATAGATATAGATCTGATACATGGGAATTGGAATATGTCAGAAAAGAATATCCCAGTTTCCGACAGCTACCCTCTGGTAAACTAACATAGCTATTGAAAATGGCCATAGAAATAATGGATTTACCCAGCTATAAAATTGTGATTTTCCATAATGATAGTTATGTTAGTTTACCAGAGGATATGTATGGCAAAAAATAGATATAGTTCTAAAAGGATAAATATGATGTATGATGGCCAGGTAGCTATTAAATATCATGGGCAATGCTTCCAATTAACCAGCCATGATTAACTATCTTGGTATTTTTTTCACTAACCTGAATTAAAGCGATTTGGGGATGATTCCCCTAACATAAACCATGATTCCCAGTGAGGGAGAACAGTGAGGTCGCTATAATTTACCCACATATGGTAAAAATAGATATAGTTCTAAAATTTGGAATATATGGGAATGGAATAGATCTCATTCAGTTATGGTGATGGAAATGGGATGATATACCCATAAAAATAATAATCAAACTAGTGGTTATTAATTAATGGGATTAAGCAAGGAAAGTGGTGTTTTATAACCAACGCAAGTGGTGATATACAGGGGTGCATCAATATTGCTATGGAAAATCGCCACATTTGATAGGTCGACAATTCATATATAAATGGGCCGTTTTCCGCAGCTAGGCTACGTTAAATTACCACAGGGTAAATGGGGGTTAACCACGGAAAATTGGGGCCCTTGGGCGAACACCCCTCACTTTGTATATTCCATGCATGACGAGAGCTGTCGCAGAGAAGATTTCTGAGTGAAACCCAAGCAACCAACAAGGAATTGAGGCTTAAATGAACTGAGATGCCCTGCAAAAAAAAAAACTCAAGAATCATATCCCACTGTAACATGTCACCAAGATAAGCCCAGATCAGCAAGGTTGATCTGAAAACAGGATACCCAAGAAATTGATGCTTTGACATCACGTTCGCATTAGAATGGCTATCAATTGCAATTGGTGGGAAATCAACCATTTTAGGACAAACCTGATGATATCCCACTATATCCCTATTATAATCATTTATAGTCCCTTTCACTAGTGCACAAGTTGCTCACACTTCTTTTTCGACATGGGGATAGCGATCGGGACAGATCTCTGTCATTGAAAAATTATTGTTGCTATCATACATCGATCACTTACACTTTACATCACTTTACTAACCTTTCAGACCTTGATGGACAGAACATGGGACTACCCGCACTTTCCCCTTGAAAAATTATTGTTGCTATCATACATCGATCACTTACACTTTACATCACTTTACTAACCTTTCAGACCTTGATGGACAGAACATGGGACTACCCGCACTTTCCCCCCGCCACGACTACCGTGGCCCCACAACAACTGTGGGTCCCCCCTTCACCCCGGACTTCCCGGGGCAAAAGGGTGAGGAAGGTGGGTGAACAAAAATACGAAGGGGGGACATGAACTTGTGCCAAAATGGCACGGGTGATCAACAGTTCTTCTGCTCATGCATCATCACTGTTGTGCACTCTGTAAAAGGCAACATTACTGCGTAACGGTCAGCTTTCACTAGTGCACAAGTTGCTCACACTTCTTTTTCGACATGGGGATAGCGATCGGGACAGATCTCTGTCATTGAAAAATTATTGTTGCTATCATACATCGATCACTTACACTTTACATCACTTTACTAACCTTTCAGACCTTGATGGACAGAACATGGGACTACCCGCACTTTCCCCCACTTCTCGTAGTCCAAGATGACTTCAACCTTCAGGTAGTCGATGATCTGGTCAAGCTTTTCCCATTCCAACCTTGATGGAGGGTCTGCCACATTACTTGGTGATGGAACACGTGCGTACCACGATAAGCTGTTGTTTTCAGAGTCTCTCATCATGGCTTCCACCAACATCTTTCTGCTAGCGACTGACTTGGTCGTTCCGCTCACAAAAGCTTCCTTCACCCCCTCATTGTCAATGAAAAAGATGACCCTTGCACTACCAACTAGGTTCACAAACTGTCTTTTGATCACCACTATCGGCAGCATCTCTGCTTGAGCTATGACCTGCTCATGCCCAAACGACTTCCACTGGTCTGTGATGGCCCCCGGTACCTCAAAACCAAATGCAATCGGTTTGGCTGTCCTTGGTGAGAACATGACTGCCCCACAAGATGCGACACCACCTTCATAAGCACCATCTGTGAAGATGATGCACGGGGGTTCAACATCCCAAGCGTTCAACTTTCTGGGTGGCGCTGACTCCAACATAGTGGCCGCTTGAACCAGCGCCTCCTCCACTTCGCTGTTCAACTTCTTGACATACTTGCACATGAGAGACCTGAGTTTGATGGGCTCGAGCAACAGTGCTAACCAACGCCCACTACACTGCGACTCTGCAAAGTTGAGCCTACCATATACCCTTGCAGCCATGCTAGGAGGAAAGGATCCCATGCTCTTGGCTTCCTTGATCACCTCTCTCAACTCACTGGCCCTTTCAGGTTTGTTCCTCACTTTGCAGACTCCCTTGTCGGCTTCTGAGAGGTCAACCACCACACCTAGAACCACGAAACTGTCGCTGGGTGGGAGCCTCTTCTTTGGCTCCTCGGCTATCTGCCAGCCCAGGACCTTGAGGGCACTCTCCATGATCACCTGAGATTTCACAGCCAGGGGGGCTACATCCACATGCGGAAAATCATCAAAATAATTGACTACCGGGAGCATGAAATACCTCTGCAGCACCTCTCTCAAGCCCCTTGCCAATCTGTTGAACCCCATGACTGCTCCTGTTGCCCCAAATGGGAGCACATGAGAAACGAAAAATGAAACTGTCCCATCTGTTGGTTCCAGCACGCCAAGCACCGCATTACTACGGTCCGCGGGCCTCAAGGGCAACTGTTTATATGCCGCCTTGAGGTCCATGCATCTCCCCTTGAGACCCACAGCTTTCGACCTGAACTCTGGTGCCTTCAGACCTGACAGCTGCATTCCACTACTCAATGTCACTTGAACATCTTGTCTGTCAGGGGGTCCCAAGACTCTCATCCAAGCCGCAGATATCGCCACCACCTCGTCCACTCCACCAAGGTCCAGCTTCTCACCTGGGCCATAACACTGATTGACTGAAAATTCACTGAGGTCATCAATGTTGCGGATCTTCGACCCTTGTAGAATACCAAACCTCCTACTTGGGGTCCACAAGTTGCCTACCACTGCCCCCACTTGCTCCGCCGACATAGGTCCTTGAAGCCAACCCTTCTCGACCTCAGAGATGGTCGATGCCCAGACTTCCTGGGCAACGTCAACAGGCCTGCCATCGACTTGAACCTCCCGCTTGGCCATGTGAGGTGGGATTTTCGACTTGACCTCCTCCTGTGAATACTTTGCAATCTTCCACAAATCATCTTGTGTAAGCTGTGCAGGTTTGAACTCTGGCTGGAAACAACCTGTGTCCCGGCCTTGACCTGTGATGGGTAACCCAACTGCTATGTCATGAGCCAGGTTGGTGTCCCCATACCCAACTTGTCTCAAGACTTCGTCAAAAAGCAGAAGACTCTTGCCTTGCAAGATTTCGGCTACCTTAGGTTCCATTGCCCTGTGAAATTCCAGCTCTCTGGGCGCCAACTCTGCCGCCCTCCTCTTCAGCCATCTCAATCGTTTAACACGCTCTTCATGTATCCAGTCAGTCCCCTTGGTGACCACATGAAACATGGCTGTGAGGACGTGGTCAGGCACCTGTTGACATGTGTCAAAAGGGTGCACCAGCTCCAAGGACCTCCTAATGCTGTCTTGGAAAGTCATGGGGATTCCAACCAGTACTGACATATGCACCGATTTGAACTCGTCCCCGCACTCTTCCCCGCTATTGTTGGACGGTACTGCACTAATAAGCCTGGAACCTGCTGGAAAAACTCTGCCTGCAAGGGTGATCTCACGGTCAACCCGTCCCTTCCAGTGCTGGACCACATTGAGGTCCACCTGGGCAGTCACCAGGAGGTCCACGACCTGTCCATCTTCAGGGAGCATACCTGGGCTACGGCGGCCACGGGGTTGTCTCCCCGCAGCGATTTTCCATGCCGCATTGGACTGTATGACTGGTGAGGGCCCTTTAGGTTCTAAACTGATTGGCAAACGTTTGGAAACTGCACAACGACTGATGATTGCTGCAATCTTCTGACAAAGCTGGAGGGGGTACTCAGCCTCGCTTGAGGCATCATACGCCCACTTGCCATCCAATGTCCTGCTTACTGACCACTCCTTGTGCTGGTGAGACTTGTCACACCTTGCAGCCAGGGCATTCAGCTCAACGCAGTTGTGCAATAACGATGTCCGTTTGTCACGAACTCCCCCATGCATGCAAACATGAAAAGTAGTGAAAAACACTCCAGGGAGATCAAAGAGAGCAGCAATGCATGGCACCAACCACATGTAGCTGCCGGTGGGGTTCTCGATAAACACAATGACTCCCTTTGAATGTGCAAGTTGAAAAACATATGCAGCTGTGTCGTAACATAGATTTGCTAACCGCACTCTCTGAAGATTGCGCCCGGACAACCCGGGCAGCCCGCTAGGCCACTGTGCACTCCTCAATGGTGGTGGCTGAGGAACTCCTAGCCGGCGCAGGCGAAAAGGGATGGGCTTATCTCTGGCTCTGGATGCTGTCCCACATGGGGGGGCCATGGGGATGAAGAAGACTGTGCCACCTTCCACCTTCTGCTCAATAAATTTGCGAGCTTCTCCCTTAGTTAAGTCCATCACTATACAAGGTCCTACTCGGTTCTTACACTTCTTGTGATCAATGCCTATGGCGAAAAATCCATGCAACTTCAAACATTTACTTAGTTTACATGACCCGGCAAACAACTCAAGAGTGCATGGCTGCAAGGCCTGCACACTTTCACCTAGCTCGGCGGAGTCATGTGCACCATCACGGTGCATATCTGTACAAAGATTGGATTCCGGGCTGATGCTTGCATCAGCAGACTTAAAATCAGCTGCCCCACTCACATCTGTGCGGCCGTCGGGTCATTGGGAACATTGTTGGGCTCCATGGTCATCCTTCCAGCACTTCATACACACATGCAGCCCTTTTGCACACTCGCCATTCTGCACCTTGTTGGTGCAGTTGTTCAGCTGGAACCCATAGCAGATCCTCTTGCCCTTCTTCATGGGCTGGTACCCCCATAGCTCCCTCGGCATCTTGATGGGCATCTTCTTGACCTGAGGGGTCACTGGGGCTTCTTGGTGCTTGCCCTTCTTGTCCTTCTGCGAGCTCTCAGCTTCACGCAATCTCTCCTTCAGGCGCTGGTTCTCCTTCATCAGCTTTCGTTTGCCGGCCCCCACTGGCTCTGTGTCCTGGTCACCAGATGATGCCGCCGCTGATGATCTGGCGCCGGGCAACGGCATGAGCAAGGTGGTGAAGGCTGGGTGCACCAAGACTTTGTCCACCGCCAGGTCAGCCAGACGCTCACCATTGGTGTCCCTGCCCAAGTCACCTTGGAGATCTTCTGCCATGAGCTTCCATGCCCTCCGGTCCGCCTCGGCCAATTGCTTCAGCGTCACTTGGGCATATCCCATGGGTGGCTCTCTCTGGTACTCCTGGAACATCCTGTCCACCAGCTTCTCATGACTTGTGTAAGTCATGATATCGGCCACTTCCATGGCCAACCCTCTGCGCATGTATGCCTGCCTCATCCTCAGGTCGGTCTTCAGGTCCGCGTCTGGCAGTTTGGTCTCGTCATGCGCCTTCAGGTGGCCACTTGCGTCCTTCTTGATCAGCTCCTCGGTCTTCACATTCTGCATCTCTTGATCCCTGGTTGGGATTTCATGAGGCGCCAGGTAGCGCAATTCGCCTTCAACCTTCATTGAATGGCACTTGTCTACCACATGATGTGCCGGCTCCAGCTGATCACCTATCTGGAGGTGAGGGTAGCGCTGCTTCACCTGCGCCCACCTCGTCTTCCTTTCCACTGGTGGTAGCTTCCTGGTCTTGCTCCCATCGGCTTCCTGTGTTCCCTCCAGGCGTGCCCTCAGCTCTGCGGCCACTATCGTGTAGGCCTCATGGCACAGCTTCCTCAGTTTCGGCAGATCCTGGTGATCGTTCCTCCCCAGTATCGGCCTCACCACCTGCTCCATGAAAGCCGTATCGTCCCCTGTTCCCGGTGCCCAGCTGCTTGCAAAGGCAAAGGTGGATAGGGTGGTCCATCCCTTGCCACTCATCAGCAGCTTGTAGCCATCCAGCCCATTCTCCTTCAACTTCGCATCGAACACGGCCTTGGACTCTGTCAGAGTCGCCATGTCCCCGGTCACTGCGGCTTGAGCCACTTCGTCGCTAGCGGCATCAGACCACTCAGAGAAAAACCGACTGCACTGAAACACATGTTCATCACAACTGCACTACCACCTGGTCACCTGCCTCATTGCACATGTGTCGAACTACCCAACATGTAACAAGACATCTCTCAACTGTTTCGTTTCAAACAACTGCACTGCATCAACTGTTGCACACATGCAACTACTTAACTGTTCTAGTTACTCACATCTTCACCACCTACTTAACATAGACAACTGACATCCCTACTCTCACTCACTCCTTGCACCCGGCAGTCCTCATAGTCGCACTTCACACCGAAGGACTTCCCTCGATCATCCACCTGAGCCGGACAACCCGGTCACTTTGATGGGAACAACTCCCGCCAGGACAACCCTGGCCACTTGCATGCACATCCGCCAAGTGAAACTCACTCAGCAACTCGCCATGATGCTCAGCTACTGCGCACCAGACTAGTTCACTCAGACACTCCACTGCGCTCACTTTTCGTCGCAACGAGCTGAGATCATTGCTCCAGTTGGGCTCTGGAGTAACCTTCACACACTTTGCACCTGCTACCAACTGCATGCACTTGCTCATCTAACTTGACTATCACAGCAGTGATCTTACGGCCACACGCCAGCTTACCCTCTTCAGTGCTGGCTCTATGTATGGTGCCTGTGATACCATGCCTGTACAAATCAACACCTGATTTCTTCGGAGGACCTACTACCGCCTGTACAACTGCCTCGAGGTTGCGCTCAGTTTCACTTTCATCCACCTCACCTCCGGACTCTTCACTCTCTGTCGACAGCTCTCCAACCTCGGCCAACCTCACACTCTTCTTACCAGGCGTTGGGATCTCCTCCATACTGAGGTCGCCTCTCTCCTCCACCAGCAAGTCGTCATCAGCATCCTCAGCATCTCCCATCTCTGCCGGCGGATCCTTCCATCTCTCGGATCTTGGCAGGTCAGGTCGAAACCTATACATCCTGATGTCTTTGATCACCTTCATCAGAGCATCAAGACCGCCAGCCAATGCATCCCTGCTGTAGATGACCAGGCTCGTGTCTTTCGGTTTGACATGATACCCCATGAGTCGCCTCAGCTTCTCCGAGACCATCGCCTTAGCCATCCAGCTAAGGGCAGTAGCCTTCATGGAGTGGGCCCCCACGTTGCTCATGTCCATCTTCTCCATGGAGTATCTTTTCAGCAGCTCACACAGCCAGTTGGATGCCTCGGAGGTGGACAATCTGCTCTGGCTCCATCCTCCACCTGTGATGGGGGCTGGCATGAAGGGGCGACAAGGGAGAGCTCTCAGGCCAGCTTGAGCTCTCAGCCTCAAGAACTCTTCAGCCCATGCCACTCCTGAGACTCCCCTGCTTGGGGCCACCACTGGCAAGATTCTCCTTGCCCTTCCCACGAGGGAGTCCGTCTTGTGGATAGTGGTCCCTCCCTCTATGTAGTCCCCATCAAGCTTCGGCTCTTCCTCGATGCCCTGGCTGTCTCCGAACCTCAGTCTGCCGTACACACACAGCAGGCAGTGCCCAGCAAACAACCTATCTTGTAGCGGGGCCAGCGGGTTCTCAACCAAGGCTTCCAAAGTCTGGATCTGGTGGACAGTGAGTGCATCCCTCTGTCTCAGAACCCTCTTTGTGACGTAGCTCCTATGTGCTGATCCAGCTATCCTGCCACTGTCCAGCACCTCATCAACGCCTTTGAGCTGCAGGGTGCCCTTGCAAAATGCCAGGGCACTTCTGAAACTGCCTGCTCTGGTTGCAGGAGCTCGGTTCTTTCTGAGATCATCCACATACTGGTACACTTGTTGTTCACGCAGAGGAAAAGCTGCAAGATCTCTGGCTTTGCACCACCTGACATACAGCATCATTGCGCTGAGCCTCACTTGGAGGGTGCCATTTTTCTTACGGGCAAAGATGTCCTCCAACACGTTCTCGCCTGTCTCATCCAACATCTGCCCGGCCGCACATTGGTCTCCAGCTTCATGGATGACCACCATCCACCCTGCCATGAGCTTCGTCCTCTCGTCGGCCTCAGCTTGCTGCCAGGCTTTGCGTTCTCTGTCAAGAGGTTTGAACCCGCTTCTCACGAAGACATCTGCTGGCATCTTGTCATCCTCCTTCGGCTCCACGATCTCTTCCTCGACCATCAGAGCAGCTTTCATAGCACTAAGGTTGGGCATCCCCATCACTTCTGGTGCTTTGCCTAAAACCAGACCAGCGAAACCTCTCTCCCAAGGCATCTTCAGGCAATCCGGTATGTGGGGCTTGAGCTTCAACTTCTCACTCAGTCCCATACCTCCATCCACGGGCTTGACGACCTTTGCTGCCTGTTCACCTGAGAGGTCTACGGTGGCTTGTCTCTTCAGGATAACATCCAGCACTTGCTGCAAGTCACGCTGTTCAGTTGCAACCTCTGGGCCCTCTTCACCTTTCCAAACTGCATCTAACTCACTCTGGTACTCTTCATCGAAAACCTCAGTGGGGCTTCCCATGTCCACGTCCTCTTTGGCACCGCTCTCCATGGCCACCAGCTTCTGTCGCATTTCATGGATATTCCCCACTAGAGGGTCCAGGCTCAGTAACTCATTGGTAACAGGTTCATCCTCCACTGACAAATCCACAACAGTCCCCCGCTTCGTACCCCCATTTCTGGGACTCTCTTCATCACTAGAGATTTCCATGGCAGCCATGGTGAACAAAAATACGAAGGGGGGACATGAACTTGTGCCAAAATGGCACGGGTGATCAACCGTTCTTCTGCTCATGCATCATCACTGTTGTGCACTCTGTAAAAGGCAACATTACTGCGTAACGGTCAGCATAGTCTCTATTGTATCCCATAGTATTGCCATTAATGCCAAACTCCACAACTCTTGAGGTAAAATCCGAATTCCCTATCCGTTTCATATATTTCTACTATATGGCTGGCTAACACTGCTAAACCCTACAAACATCATCATGTTTCCCTTCAAAATTTGTCATATATATTTTTTCTTTCATGTATATCCATAACTGGTAATTTTAATCCCCACAGAAGTTGCCGACGCGTTTTGTGATGAAACATGTCCCCGTTTCTCGCAAATCTAGTCAAGGTGGTGCCCCCCAGTTATAACTTGGTTTATAAACACCATTCAGTATAAATATATTATATCTAACATGCATAAACATCCGGCCATGCACCATAGTTGGTTTTGATCTAGTCATGTCCTCTCTTATTTTGCGATTCCGAACCGGAGCACCACCAACGCATTTTCATCATTAACCATTAATTAGCCATGATTAACCATTACCCTAGGGCCCTAGGGTAAACTGACATAGATGTGGAAAATCAACCATTTGTAGATGATTTTCCTACAGAAACCATGTCCATAGGTTTTCCACATCTACGTTAGCTTACCCCCTCGGGTATGTATGAACCATCGGTTTATTATGGGTGTAAACTACCACATTAACCACTAAAGCCACATATGTCATAACCATTTTCCTATATATTTCCCATTGGCATCACCATATTTCTCCACTTATTGACCGTCACTTCACCATGTAGAAACCATTTATGAACCATTAAGTACCATTTTTTCATGTTTATTAATCAATGTGGTTAACCGTTAACCATGATTAGCCAATTTGATGGTTTATTGATGGTTAACCAATGTTTTTTTAATGGTGTTTTTACATAAATCATTTTTTTACAAAAAAAAAAACTAGTGTTAAACTAAAGCATGGATTATCAAACCATGTTTGTTTAACCATTGTTTTTTACATTAACTAATGTTTATTAAAATCATTCACCATGGATCTGTCTTCTACCCGGCACCTCGGCACTGCTCCAGCTCTCCGAGCACGCTTCGCGCCAAGCCAGCGCACCCTGCTGGCCAGGGATTTTGGTGGTGAAAAATGATGACTTTGGTGGGAAAATGGTGATAAAAATTGAAGATGGTGAAAGGTAGTGAGAAAATGGAGATTCAACGTGGATATAAGCAAGAGAAATGCTGGATGTAAGTAACACTTATTTGTCATAGTTTCTGACATATCACCCAGAAATATATATATATATGGTAGAATTGCATAATCTTCTTACATTCAATTCTGGCATTCTATCTCGCATTCAATCTGACATTCTAATCTGGCATCTTTGTGGCATCTGTACTGACGTTTTCCATTCTAGCTTGCATTTGTTCTGCCACTTTGATCCGGAGCTTGCGGTGGAGGTCCGGCGGGGAACTCTCTGATCCTGAGCTTGCTGTTCGCCGGGGAACACTGCGATCTGGAGCTTGCAGTTGAGGTCCGGCGGAGGGAGGAGGAAGGCGGGCAGGCTGACATAAAATCTAACAACCCTTACCGTGGGGAAAAACTATTGAAACCTGGAACCTACCAAAGAATCCTCTAAAAACCTTCTAAAGCATTGTTTTATCCTCTAAAAATCGCTGCAGGCCCTGGAAGTCCGGAACCTCATCGCGCTCTAAATGCTGCTGCACCTTACGCCTTGGACGCCGAGGTTTTTTTTTGGGCGAAGATGTAGAAAACCCAATGGTTTTCCTAGTAAAATGATCTGCAAATAGATACAAATAGAGGATGCTCCACATCTATGCTAAGTTTACCCTAGGGTAACATGCTCTGAAGTTGTTTTAGCAGGAAAACCGGATGCCGGATGCGGTTTTCCTATGAAAAGCTGTATGATTTTGGGATATTTTTGAGATGTGCCCTCAACGGGTTAATTTTGTTGTGAGATCTTATCTTACCCCTAAAAATATAGGTTCTCCATGGTTCTCCTCTCAAAGATAGAGATGAACATGGATGGGCCGTGCAAATGTGCCCTTTCATATCCTTTCATCCATTTTGAATCCGATGGGAATCATGATCATTTCAGAACATTCAGAATGGAGATGTGATGCCTTGATCTGAAGAGAGCTGGATCCAGGGTCAAGGATTCCATATAATATAGGATTCTTCCATTCACTGACGGGATCAGCATCTCCAACCTTAAGGGGTCAAGAGCCTTGTCGAGCCTTGGAGCCTTGTGCCCTGATGAAAGGACCTACCGAAAATTTCACAGGATGTTTATCCATGTTTATCCCATATCATGGCCATTTTTTTTCCTTGGATCTGCTTCAGGGGCCCGAGAAACAAATAAATCTTAGAGAGCCCCCGATCTACCACCACAAACCTGTATTGCCAATCTTAAATTTCAGGAAAAACCGTGTTCTTAGCTGACCAAGTCAACAAAAATTCCCATCTACGGAGGAACAAGATACAAAATATATATGGCAATGTGATATATATATACATATGTCACATATGGCTGTGCCTGAAAAAAATCGGAGTGTCGCTCCCAACGCAGCACGATTAGCACGGCTCTCCAAGCCGCAGGGTATCATTGCCCAGTAGTGACTGACCTGGGTGCCGACCGACGCAAATCTCAGAAAATCAAGAAACAAATGGCTTTCGAAGCTGTGAACAGTGGAGATTTTACCCACCAATCCATGGAAATTCCTATGGAAATCTATGGAAACGGAATCATGTGAGATCGACCTTTTGTGTTCCTGAAGGATGCGATTTGTCAACCTGGATCCAGTTGACCGCGCCTAAGCGTTTCAAGGCTGCAAACGCCATGGCTTTTCGCCGTCAGCCTTGCAGCCGAACTCGCTGAGGCAAGTGATTAAGGCAGTAGCATGAGGTCACGGATCCATCACAACAGGCTATGATTAGTCGGTTTTTGTTGAGGTTATCAGTTCTGGGAGAGGCTTGAAGCATCTTGAAGCTATATCACTCACAATTTCCCAGACTTTCCAAAGATTATTTAGTGATACAGACAATTCGCAATGCTTTCAGCTGCAATTACCGTACTAAGTTACTAAGCTAGTTGGCTGTTTCGAAGGACATCATTTTCAAAATGAAGATTAAATTTGAACTTCTACTGCTACAGCACTGCTACTCTTAAATATTATATTATCCTTAAATATTATATTCTCAGTGGCCATTTCAGGAACCTTTTTTTCGGAGCTACCATTCATATCGATCCGCAGGATCCGAGGCTGAAATCTGGGCAGTTTTTGTTGGGCAGAATTCCGCGGAATTCTTTCGCCACCTTTGAAAGTGATTTAAGCGTGTGTTGAATGGGAATGATTTTCCGATTTTTTCTAATATAAACCAACTTGACATTTTCCTACAAACATCTTTGGATAGTTTTGGGGTGCTTCCCCATGCAGAAGCCATGATCTGTGATGATGTTGTGCTGAGGTCGTTCTAATCACCAAGATCAATGAATCGGCAATGCTTGTGCAGTCACCACTGTTCAACTGTTGAAATGATTACGGGCCAGTACATCCATATCGTATTGTGGCACAATGTTTTTATTGGGATATACATAACATAAATATCCCTAATCTTACCAATGGAAATTTTCTAAACATCCCCAAAATGTGGTTTTATTCTTGAGCCGACCACATTACTTTGAGCCGAAACCACCGGGCCATCCCGGGCCCAAAATGGCCGCAGCGAATCCGCGGTGAATCCGCGGTGAGCCCCCCACCCGTAGCTGTCGTGATTTTGGATCGTTTCAGTTAAGGAAATGAGTACCCTCTGGTTATGTCAAAATAGCCATTGAAAATGACCATAGAAATAGTTGATTTTCCCATTAAACCTGATGATTTTCCATAGTTATGTGACAGTTTACCAGAGGGTACTTCAAACGACCCACCATTTGATCATTCAAAATGGCAAGTCTAAAGTCCAATCCTGCAGGAAAGACACTCGTAAAAATCCAATCGTATCCGTAAATGCTCTGCAAATGTGGAAGTTCTGTAACGTTCGGATGTTAGGTTCTGGCTTCCCCACGCTTGAGTTGAAACACCCAAGTGAGTCCTCCCAATTGACTATCGTAATCATTGCTTTAAGTGAAAATCAGGAAGCAGAAATGTCATTGGTCAATGGATCTTCGCTGAAATGTCAGCGTGGCAGCCAAACAATTGGTCAATGGGAAATTTTGACATGGAAATCTTTCAACCCCGGGTCCCGTGACATTGCAAAGTTGCCGTTGCCATCCGTAAAAAATGGGTGAATTTTTTAGGGGTCATCCCATTGCCCCCATGGCCCCAGCACCAACTGTGAGCATTTCTTTCTAACCCTTCCGCCGGCTACGCATGAACTTACCATTGAGCCAATCACGTGATGATCACGTGATGGAACTGTACAAAGATTTGGCACAAAAGCCCTGTCCTCAGCACGAATGTTATAGTGGCTGCGTGTCTTAGTTTATTGAGTGCGAGGGACACAAACTGTCGGATGAGGATGAGAATAAGGATACTGACAACGTTGATGATAATTACTAATTGTTATTCATATGATGATGATCGTTGATGACATTTTGCAACCCCTATAGCAAAGGGGGGGCCCAAAACATGGAGAAAAGTATCGTAAATTACTGTTCTATCTTTTTGGTGGCATTGCATGGGCTTACTATATGACAGTATCATTGGGGACACTGATCCCCTTAGATCATTAAGATCCAGCTGTTGGCCATGGTTTCTGCAAGATATACCCGGAGTGGTAATGCAACAGAGCTATGGAAACTGCCAATCTATGGGTGATTCACCGATAATAAACATGGTGATTTTGCATAGCTATGATAGCTATGTTAAATTGCCAGAGGGTAATCTAGAAATTGAACTCCTTACCAGACATGGCCAGC